ATTCCGCGTTTTCGTTGCAATTGGTCATCCCTTTAAAGGAGTACAAGCCTACACTACACATATTCTCTGACCCCAAAGTCTATAAACTGCTCCGTTTCATTGTAAGTGGGGTCAGGGAGCCAGACTACAAGAACATGATTGGTTATCTTGGTAGTTCAGTATCTACAAGCCCAAAAAGTGAAACAAGTCAGTGCAACAATATTTGCTTTGTATGTAACATATACTGAAAATTGCAGCAAATGCAAATGTTGTACATTCCCTTTAACAAGCTGAGCATGGCTTTGCTTTTTACCATTTTCACAGTGGCACAACTTTCCTCAGGGTGGCCCAACTGTCATTACGGATATGCTCAACTCTCCTCACCTTGTAGGAGACCTGTGCCATCATCTGGAAAAGCATTACCCTGACCATAACATATTAGTTCTACTTCAATATGAATATAAATGTTTCTGCCAAACTTGCAAATATAGAGAAATATTGTCCAAAATAAGAAAAATGACTTGACTCTCCTAGATCATATTTCCAATTTATATACGAGCAAGTCTTATACATATTACACAATTATATATATAAAGGGGGACATACAGATTACTTATCCATTTTTATTCATTTTTGTTTCATCACATCCATTTTGAAGTCTTTATTGGGCTAATGGTATGACGAAATTTTGATGTATTAACTACATCATAGTAACTGCGAGATGCATTGCTCAATAATATTCAGGGTGTTGCATAGTGGGCAGTATAAATGAAAGCATTGTGACTAGTCCTAAAAGAGAAAGCCTTCATGTTCGGAGAACTAGAACGAGTTATTCTCGTGACGACGGTCAAAAGGTACTGACCGAAACGTCGAGTGAACACCATCAATTCTTCTCCGAACGTCTTTACTCTTTTAATAATGAATTTTCGTAAACGTCCCTAGTTTCTTTCAAAGCAAAAAAAAAAGGCCGAATCGAACGCGGTGTCTTCGACGATATTATTACTGTCTATTTTGAGTATAGTTCGCATTTTGGTTTAGGTTGATGAACAGCTATGATTAAACGGGGGTTCTTTGTATGATTTGGGTCTGTTGAAAGGTAGGCTTATAATCCAGGAAACAAATATGTGACCCGTTGTCGGTCATATTATTCACATCTGCATGTTACTTTTAGGCCGCTGTGCTTGAATTGCTTTTTTAAAGCCGTTTTGGCGGAATACTTTCTACTTTCTTGGGGTATTTCATCAACATAAAATTAAACTGCTTGAAACAATACAAGGCGATTGAATTATTTTCCCCCAACGTAGTTTGAGCATCAAGTCACAAAATGTGTTGTTGATGATGGAGTGGTGGCAAAACGAGTTTGGGCATATATTAATATTGTTCTCGCTAAATGTCAAAGTAAAAGTCTATTTTTAATTTAGAAAATGGAGCATCACACGACTTAGATCTGAACCAAATGAAATCGTCACGGAGGATAAGTGATATAGTTGAAAAAGCGTCATATTTATTAGGATCTCATTTGTTAGATCAGATCTGAAAGCAGAGACTTCATCTAGAAACACTTGGCACGTATTTTCGAGCAGACACAGTTGATTGGAGGTATTTCCTGAAAAAAAAGGTGAAGATATTTAAGTTAGTCTCCCCCTATTCCAAGCAAAACCAGGTATCAAAATCGGTCATTTCACGGCAGGGGTGGGAAAAGGGGGTGCAGAATCCACAAAAATATCAAGACGATGTTGTTTTGTTCAAATTATTTTGAAATACTGCCACAAAATGTATTTAAATAGACATCACTTGCATAGGGGTAAAAAAGTGCTATTTAAATCACGCTTTCAGAATGACTTAAGACTGCATTCATGTTTTTATTTTTTTTAAATGAGCTTTATCGGCCTTTACATTCCAGTTGCCATGTATCTGTGTTTTATTTTATAATTAAAATAAAAAACGTTCTTTATTACCAACTACTAAATTTTTTTTTTCATCTGGTATATTGTGAACTGCCAAAAAAAATGCATCGAAAACAAGCTATAAACTGACGGAAATGTTCGTCGATCGGCAACGATTAATTCACTATATTCTTAACGATAGGCCAATCTAGTCGATTAATCAAATGGATGAAACTTCTGGTGACACTGCAATATTCCGTGTCAGCTTAGGCCTTGGAAGTTTGGTCTTTTGTTGGAAACGGTCGTCTGTAGTAAGTGTATGTGCGCTTAGTCTATGGGAGAGTGTTATATTACAGGGACAAAGGGAAACACAAAGCATTGTCCTCGAAAGTATAGTAAAACAAGAGTGGGTGCGATAAGCATCCCCGTTTATACACGGGATTACACACGGGGAAGACAGGAAATGAGGCTAATCGAACACTGCGGTGTATTTACCTAGGCATTCTGGGGGAAAGTCAAGGTCAAATGTTGTTGCGCGCGGTGCGGAAAGGGACTTTTAAAATGTAAAAACACATTGGGCACACTGTCGTCTCCGTATCTGGTAAATTAAGTCGTATCATTGTAATCGGAAAAGATTATGAAAGTTGAAATCGGAAGATAGACTTTGAACTATCACACAAAAATGTGTCAATCTCATTGAACACCGTAAATAATTGAGAATATTTGTGTCATAAATCCCATGTAATCACTTTGTATTCAAGTTCCCGCCATCTTCAATCTAGCTAGCCACGAAATCGCCCGGATACGCCACCGCCAGGCACCAGAGATCCGCTCGCGAGCTGAGGCAGTGATGGTTGACACTGGGGCAGACACGAGGATCACGTGATGCAAATAATATACCCAAATGCGTGTAAATTTACTTACGCATAACTTAATCAAACGAACGACTTTCCCTGATCCTGCCGGACTCGGGTCAGTGTCCTATTCTACCGGTGAGCGCATGCAGAGGATAATGTTCGTCGGCTTATTTGATGCTTTTGAATCCACAGTATTTTTACTGTGATATTTTACTGTGATAACAGTATTGCAGATACCAAGATTTAAAGTTTACCTGTGTAGCCGTATGTTGAATCGGCAATACTGAGGTTGTTCAGCAACGCTAATGAACCTTAAGTTCGTTAAATGTTTTGAAATCAGGTAAGATGGGGTAAACGTTTCGACGTAGGTCAAAATTGCGCTTAAGGCCAAAACATTTCGAACTTTCAAGCTGGACAACATCACAACAATAAGGTTCCTGTTCTGTTCTGTTCTGTTCTGCAGAATCCTACAGATGTAGATTGTTCTTTGCAACAAAATGAAAGAAGTATAGTTGCTAGACATAAAATCATGAAATGGATGATAATTAAAAAAAAAAACAGGTCTGCTGGATCAGTAGATTCTAGAAGAAACAACACAAAGTATTGGCTTGCAAGGGATTACGTATATTCTGAAGATTGTCACAAAATTTTACAAAAGAATCAATCTGAGTATATAGGGACTAACACGCCTGCCACTCTAATCATTTCTAGGAAAATCTGAGTATGGTACGTTGGAACACTTCATAAACACGGTAATGTACTCCATAATTGTGAAGCCTCCGACAATCGTTGTAATATTTTCTCCAAATAAGTCCTTTTGATTGAGTACGAGTTTCAAATTTCAAAAATATCGGTTGTATCAAAGTGTTTTAAGCACTGCGTTTTCAGTTGTAAAAAGTTTGGTCTTCTGAAGACCCCACCATTATACTCAGCATAATTCATTCTAGCTCCCTTAGAAAATGAAAATGCCAACGTTTACATAATGGAAAAAAATACTCTGTTCCGACACTCATCCCTGTCTTTTTCCTTTTACCTGACTTCAATTTTCTAATCCCTTCATTCAAAGAATGAATAAAAACAATAGTTAGATCAGTGTGGTGCTGTAAGGCGCTTTTCTTGTTTTCCACATTTAAACATATCATATTTGATGTTATTGATGTAGGTGCTAAAGGAGTAAAATTCACTTTCAAATGGCAAACGGAAGAAATAAAAAGTATTTCATTTAGTAACTATGGTATAAGGTCGCACGATTTTCATGATCAAAAGTTTTAAATGCTAGCTATTTTTTTTTTCGAAAGAAATGGAAAAGCATCTAAAAGTCTGAGTTATACATTTGGTACTATCTGAGTAACATAAGTTTACTATTCTTAGATAGCGATGATAGTCATCCTACAATCACAGTACTTCATGCCGTTTTAAAATTCATCAAAGTCATGTATATGTTTTAACGCCTACTTACTTTTTAAACTTAAATTCCCAAATAAAAGTCATTCACATCCCTATGGTCTCTGTGAGCAACATCATAAAATGAATCAACTTCTTAGATTTTAAAATGTCCATAACCTATAGGAGCTTGCAAATAGAATCTGGGTAAATAAAGCCATTACAATTGATTAACTATGCAATATTTCTGCAGTCACGTCTCTGGCTCAACTTAATCTATTAGCAAATGACAGGTACATTCCTTGTAAGTGCAAAGTACAATGCAGAAAAAACTCTCACGTTACAAAACACTGGCAATTTTAGGATCTGTGGCTTTTAAGTTAAATGTCAAATTTGCCCATTTCTTTTTTGTAATGTTTCACTGATAATTTACTTTTAGTTTTCTTAAAGACAATTACACAGTGAAAGCAGCTACAACTAAAATTTGTTATCCTGTGTCTTGGGGCGTCAAAATACTCTGGCATTCCTATCCGTTTTGCAAGAAAAATTATAATCAACTAATGAAATAATTTTGCTTGAACACCTTTTACATGAAATGGTAATGTAAAGAGCTTTGATCTTATTTAAAAGCGCTACATAGGTACCTGTTATTGTTATTACTTTAAGAAAACCCCGTAACACAATGTACCCTTCTTAAGAAAAGGTTCACATGTCACCACTGTGCTGACATCTTTACAGAGATGGTTCATCGAAGATTAAAAACAAAATGTCTAATCTGAAAGTTTGTCCATTTGTTATGTTTATCACAATTTAAATTTAACTTTAACCATTGGTATTACAGTACTTGATCTCTAGTATCGAGGGTAAGCAGACATAGACACGGTGGAGCTGATCACTACATCTCGGTGTCACAAACATCCGCTGGAGATCCTGAAGAATTAGAAAGACATGCAGAAACAATTAAAATAACAGACATTTAATGATTTGTGAACAGATTAATTACAACTTAAATGTGCATTAAATATGGTCAGTTAACACTGATTATGAATGGAGAACTCTTAAATGTCTGACGAAATTAATTGTGCATGTCGAAAATGATAAGGCTCTGTTATAAAGCCGGTAACTACGTACAAACGAATTGTTGAACAAAGTCATTCAAAATAAAAACGGGATATTAATGTCATGTCGAATGTTCATCATTTTAACCGCCTATGGTGAGAAATGAGATGTTATATATATATTTTTTTTTACAGCCATGTAATCGCCCGCATATAACTTGCAACCAAGATGCCATATTTTTTTGTAAGAAATGTATTTCCTTGATGAAGACTGTACATGATTTTTCGATACTGAATGACCGTAACGTTTCAAAAAATTACTGAAAGCCATTCTTTCTAGCAACTTGCTTTATTACAGACTGCGTTCTAACAACTTAATGAGATTTGGCCCACGTCATGGGACTTACCTCCGTCTGGTTGAGGGGTATTTCCTCCATTTTGGAACGTCAGCATCTCCGCTGGTAATTCAACCTCCTTATTGAGGCATGCGGAGCTCCCCGCGCGCGAAGTTGGAAGTACCAACTTCTCAACAGTAGCAGGGCTCACTAAAGGACCAGCAGGAGAAGATTCATCACGAGTAGATCCATCACCCAATGAGGAGGCTTCAGCACCTGCAACAACACCTGCAACAGGTGTTTTGCTTGAGGAAGTTGAGAGAGAAGCAGGTGGCCTTCCTGATGGGGCGTCAACCCTCTGGCTGTGGCTTGCCTGGTTCTCATCCTCCTCAACGGCATCTTTCTGATCTCCAATGTCGTCGTCAAATTCAGGATTGTCAAAGGCTTGCTGAGTACAGTGGGGAACGTCAACCAACTGCTGCCCATCGACATTAATGTCCGATTGAAAACCAATTATGTATCTGTTGTTTACAAAAAAGCGAGGAAAACAATAGAAAAAGGCATCAGTCTTTTCATCCTGACTGTCCTAAAAGTTGTCATGTTCCGATACTAATAGTAGCAGGATGATAAAAGAAGTATGTTTGATTTCAACTATGAGCCTGTACTGGTTTTGTTTTTATTGTATTTCCCCGATGTACATGACGGCAAGTCGGCTTCCCCTGCAATAGGCGAGCGAGGCGAAGCCTAGTTAAGCCATATTTTGAACTTACTTCTTGCTGTGTTTTTTCTTGTACATGTAGAAGACCACAGCAGAAATGACGGACAAACCAACCAAACAGCTGACCACGCCGATTATCACTTTAAACCTAAAAAACGAAATGTAACCAAAAGTTAATTGGATTTGTGCTCAAATTGTAAATATTAAGTTAATGGGCCTTATTCAAGAGTCGGCCATATTGAATCGAAAATTAGGTTAAATCTTAATTTTTGGATTTTGCGAAGACAAATGAAAACAGGTTAATTTATAGTAAATTCCAGTCTGCTTCACTGAATCATTAATATTAAAAAAATACAGTAAAATAAGGCTGCATTGTGCCTGCATAAATAGTCTGGCGCCCATCCCATTCAACAGTTAACAATGAATGAAATACATTCAGGAAACTCGACAAAAATTGCCATCTCGTGAATAAGGCCCATTGGATTTCTTGCCCAAAAACTGTGCTCATTTCAAAAACACTGTGCTTGACGTTTTGCCCACTGACTTGCTGTCATTGTGTTATGTATACATCGGTATTTTACTGCAAACATTGGCAAAGTGTGGTTTCAAGGAGTATAATCAATTCTACAATTTTAAAAAAGCATTGCAACGGTTAACCATTGGTTCATTTCTATGTTAAATGGAGTTAGTAACTTTTAACTTTATACGGCTTATTTGGTCACTCTTTGGTTTACCATCTGTAGCAGCAAATGGTAAATTCATATAGTTCAATAGCAACTATTGTTTTTATCGGTAGGGAAGGGCACATTTGCATTCGTTCATCACAATGAAGCCATGTAAAGGACTTTTACGTTTATACAGTACCTTTGCATTTAAACAGCACCACGGCTACTCACATTTTAGATTGAGTTTAAACTTGTTATGATTAAAGCTATTAACTGGGATAAATTATAATCCTTCTTTAACTAGCATTAAATTTGTGAATCATTATTATGTAACAATGTTTTTTGTTTTGATTCTACTACCTTGACTAGTCTAGATCTGAAATTTTTGGACACTGGTCTATGTACATACAAACTAGGTAGTACAACAATCACATATGACATCCAGCACAAATAAAATGAATAGACATGAAGACGTTCATGTTAACAGTAGTTACCTCCAGTTCAGGGTATCACACAAGGGATCAGAAAATGGACAGGAACATTCAAATCCATTCAGATGATCGTAGCAGACGTATGGATATTCGCACGGTGTGGATTGGCACTCATTGTAATCCATGTCACAGACGTCGCCAATCCAGCCGGGCTCACAGTGGCAGGAGTAGGATTCGAACCCACTGCTACGTGCAGGGGAGGTACAATCTGGATCCTCAACAGGTCCTGTGTGTCAAGAGGTAGGCACAACAAAAGAATCAAAGCCTGATTTGTGACATCTATAGACCTGGAACCTGGGTCAGGTTTTTGTCAACTCCTGTTCCTTGTGAACAACTGGACTTCTGTAAAACCATGACATGAAGTCGATCAAACTACTAATGACTCAGAACAGGAATCGAGAGCAATTCTAAAATATGGAAACACTGTTGCAAAAACAACACACAAAATATACATAAAATACAAATAACAATGGAAAGGTCCGTGACTAATGAGGGAAATCGGGCGAATGTCTTAAACTGTTTGTGTAAGACATGCCCCCTTTGTGTTCTACAGAGATTGGCAGAATGACTTTCCACATCTCCTCATGGAATATCGATATGACTTCCTGTCAGAGACTTGGGCAAATGTATCCATTTTCTATTTTGTATTTTAATGAAGGATTGAAAATAGTTATCAATGGAGTGCAAAATAATACAACCACGTGAAGAAATAAGTAATACCAAATGAGGAAATTGTATTTTGACAGAAGTAACTCACCTCTGCAGACGCCATCATTAATGCAAGGATTGACCAGCACAGCAATCTGTACTTCGAGTAGCTGGGACTTGGCTCCTGACCGGTCGTCGGCTAACACAAGGAAACTATCCTTGCCGTGATAGTTGGTGTTCGGGGTGTAGGTGAATGTTGTTGTTATCCAGCGCATGTCCTCCTGATAGCACAAGTTTGAACACAAATGTAAGTATAAGTCTAAAATTGATTCAACTAACCTCAGGCAATTAAAATTCAAATTGGAAATGCATTTCAGACAGGAACAGTTTATGAATTGTATCTAAGATTGAAGAGAGTCATCACCAGTGGCGTAGCCAGGATTATTATGATATTTACACTTCAAATGACATGCTCCGAATTTAAAAGTTAGAGGTGCAGGGCAGTGGGTGTCGGAATCAGGGTTAAATTAAGATTGATTTAATGGAGGTACTTAATTCCGGTTTTTAGTCCATCGCAGTTTTCGAGTCCATACACAAACCACTGACGGTTCAATTTGGCTATTTCAGTGTGTTTCCTATTCATATATATTAACTAATTACCACGTTACCTTTTCATGAGGCAACTTTAGCCCACATGGGATGACTGGCCCCTCCCCGTCTCCAGAGGGCTCACTGCAATTCTGCGTAGACGGCACAGTCTTTACTTCCTGTGTCAGCGTCAGAGTGCCATAGGTTGGGGGCTGCGTTATAATAGTCAGTTTATCATCGCTGTCAACGTCATACGCTCCAAGCTCAGCCCTCAGGTCTTTGTAGGCCACATTGGATCCTGTGTTCTGCTCTACTGTTAACTGTTTATTCAAGCATATGGGAAAACTTTCAAACTCTACACCTGTGGTAGAGTACATTTAACTGGCATAAACTGATGTAAACAAAAATAGGGCTTTTACCATTAAAGCCTAATTTATTTGCGTAAATAGCTTTATGCCGGTGGTAAGATACGTTTGAAATCCTTATAGTTGAAGCGTTGATGAATAAGACATATTAATAGGGACGGTGTACGAATAGGCTTGCGAATTATTTGCATAATTGATTTCAAGTGAGAGTTGGTCACAAAACGCCACTGAAGTTAGAAAAGGAAAGCACCAGGAAACAGTATATCGACCTGAATGTGATTTTTCGGAGAGCAATTATTTTAAACTAAATGCCATTTTCAGGTATTAACATTTCGGACAAGACAGAGAAACATTACTTACCAAAGCAATGCGCCCGTTTCCGACATCTCGGCCATTCAGAGCACTGTACAGCACAGGGACATCGTTGATCGGTCGTACTTCAATTGTAAAGTTGACGTCAGTAGAAAGAGGTTCGCTCTCAGTCAAGGTCTTTATCTCTTTCACTGAAGAAGGAGGAAGGGATAATAGAACTGTCTTTGATGCTTTCGTCACGAATTTGCAATTAAAAAAAACCAGCCACTGTCGATTTCATACATTAACATTACATTGGTAACAGACACATATAGTGGAATTATTTTTTGTACAGGAACATGCCATGGACATTTACCAGTGATTAGCAGAGTGACAGTACCATGGCAATCAGCACAAGGTGTATATCTGAATTCACCACTTTCTGTGATGGTTGCTATCCCTTGCACGTCAGTGTTGCTACCAATCTCAAAGACTAAGATGTCATCTTCGGCATCGCTAGCTTGGAATGTGTACACCAAAGTTCCTGCAACAAAGTCAAGAGATTATGTGCATGTGCAGAATATACGGAAGAAGAAAGCTTCAACAACCAAATTATCCTGATAGTTACTCAATCCCAGAAAAATAACTAGTGAAACAGGAAAGTCATATCGATGGACACTTTAGTAAACTGATTACAATAAACGGTACATTTAATTTGTATTTTTAGGAAATGTGTTTTCCACGTTAAAAATGCTCAAAACTATGCATGCTATTATAAATTTGAATTATACAATGTGATCTTTCTTTCACGCAGGCTTCTATTACCGTGATAACTTACCTTCATCCTCTTTCATGAACATTTTCTCTACCAGGTTTATGATTACTGGCGGGGTATTCGGGATGGCATCAAGAACCTCAGCCAATGCAAACTGAGTCTCATGGCTGAAGTAAGACGTGTCAGATGGGAAAGACTCCTTTTGCACAGAACGTCGTTTTCGGCCTGGCTCTGAGGATGAAGAGGCAGGAGCCCGTGTAGAACAAACCTACCCAATGTGAGTAAACAAAGCACAAGTTGTTGTATCGTTGAATAAAATGACACAAAACACAACACATAATTTGGGAAAACAATATTGAGGGCACTGCGTTGTTAAGGAAATGAAAGGTTTGTGCTGGCTCCATGACAAGATACGCCTTTTAAGAGATAATATGTTCTGTAGACCGTAAGTAACGTATATGTTGGGTACACAATAAACAGTCAAATTGGCGTGCTCTGATAATTTTGAGGATTAGTAAAGACACATCATGAACTGGAAGTCCTCTAGGTGTGAAACCCTTCTTGTGTATAATGTGAGCTAAAAATGACGATAATGCTCTTTTTTTATTATTTTTATTTTTATTTTTAATAGAACTTTATTACTGTTTTGTCTGTTTAAACAATGGAATGAAGACAAAAAAAGTAAAAAAGAAATAATACCAACCTCCACATTGACCTTGTTCCCATCATCAAGGTAAGTTATCCGATCCACATCACTGCATGTCTTGGCTGCATCTCGCCATTCAGAGTTATCTACACAAACGTTATTATAATATCATGGTAGTATAAACGTATGGTCATAATAAGGTTTATAACCACACAGTCCACACTTATGATCTTTTGTTGTGGCTTCACTGAGGGTTGGGCGGCATATAAATCATATATATCCTCCCGTCTTATTAAGTTGTAAGCGATGTAAGAACTCTGGCTTATACATATTACAGGTTTTGTTTTTCAGGAAAGGAAAGCACAAGTTGAAAGTGAAACAAAAATGAAGTTAATCTTGTGGCTATCGTATTTAAGAAGAAAAAATATGATTAGTAAGTGTATCCACAAATCTTCACCTTTGTCCCAATAGATGAGTCTACGTTTTGCCTCTGTCCAATTCCTAGGTGTGCTGAGTGTTACGTTGATCATAAGTGGTCCACGAAGCTCAGTCTGCCCAAGACTCGTGATATAGAAGGTTGGCTCATACACAAAACGTATTCTGGTGGGAATAAACGGGACCTTGTATTTGAAATGATTTATTTTGCCTTATTTGTTTCCTTCCCTGTCTTTGGTCATCATGCTTGAATACTGTTATGTCTACATACGAAAATCATATGATGAATGTAACCATAGCAGTCAACTGAAAATAAAGTCTGTAAAATGGTCTGATTTGTTCATGAAACTGTTTAATAAAGGGAATATACATCATTTGCTTTTGCTGTAATTTTCAGAAATGGATGGAATTGGGGGGTTGAAAATATATAGCAAATATAGTTACACTGACTTTTTTGAGGTTTTGGGTTCGAAAATGCTATAAAAAAAACAAAGAAAAACAATCATTTTCCTGTAGTCTGGTTCCCTGACTCCATATAAGAAGAAACAGAGCAGTTTACATACATTGGGGAATTGTAAGGTCAAGGAACTAGTCTAGCTGGCTTGTACCCGTTGATAGGTGTGTAATCGATTGCAAACAAGTGTGATGGTCAATTGGGGCCAGTATTTGAGAAAAAAAACAGTTTTTCCAACGCTGGTCGGCCGACCAGCGTTGAAAATTGATACAAACTTACCACTTTTTCTTGAAAATGACAGTGTAACAGGTGCCATGATTTTACAGGATGCTTTACACTGTCATTCACTAACAGTCCAGCAAGGTATTTCAAAATGATTTGGTAGTTTTTATTTTTTGATGTTTGCAAATGTTGTATTTTCCCTTTAAGGCCTTAGTCTAAAATGTTACATATACTTTGACTCCAAAGAACCTCTTTGACAGTTAATTATTGACATCCATTATCTTTCTTCTTCAATTTACACAGACTATGCTAGTACACCGCAAAAGAAATTACCACTCTTCTTCTTTTAACTGAGAACATTCTTGCGAGTGTTTCTCTTTCTAGAATCAATAAAACGGTATTTCTTGACATAAGCATTGGTTAGTCTGACCAACCTGTGCCTAAGCAGTCTTGATGTGTACTGGATGGTGTACAGGGGATTGGTGATGTAGGGTTTATAATCCAGGGCAGCAGCCGATGTGAATTCCTGGTTGGTTCTATTGACATCCAGCAGGCCTAGGATGAGTGAACCGCCCTGGTGTAAACCTGCAATACACAATTAAGAAATTCACTCAGAGTTAACTCGTTAATAGTTTTATCTCTGGAGTGAAGACACTCACATAGAGAAGCAGAAAATACGACTTGGATGAAAGCCAAGCCTTTTTTAACCAACAAAATGACAACTCAACCGATAACCATGACTAGCGTCCTCATTGGCGTTTTGGTGAACCCTAAATAAAGTTTGAGTCTTCTATTGTCTTTTTCTAACCCACAAGAGTTTAGAAGTGCTCTAAAGATCCATTTTTTTCGAGCAGCATTGAACTAGCTTCTTCATTTGATCCTCATGTTGTTGTATCCTCTTCTCATAAAATATTTGTGTGTATCTAACTGTTCCAGCCCATTTTGTGTTGTACTTAGTTGATGTTTCTCTGCGCCTTCAGCATTTCATCAAGGTGGATCTAGCGCATTACAATCTTATTTTATATTATTATATAACATAAGTTCGATGTATACCCACCTCCCTTTGTAGCCACAGTGAAATCAAAGTGGTTATCTATCGACCTCTTTCTCCTCCTTTGACTTGTCGGTGATGTCATAACAAGGTCTGTACCATTGGTGGATTTCATCATCATATCACTATCTCCTATTGGATATTATAATTATTGAAACTGGGTAGTTACAAGTTGGCAAGCAAGAAAAAAACTCGTTGGACCAAACAGCATTTAGCCACTTGCATCACCCATTAAAAATATGTTGTGTTTACACAATACAACTAAGTTTTGTTTGTCCGCCCACCTCATATTTTACAAGGCCCTACACAAAACAAAAGTATGGTGGTTACAAGGTTAAGGAACCCAAGAGGTAGGCGCTTTAATTGCTATAGTTGTCTGTTTTCAAAATGCACGCCACGTGTCCGTGGTTAGATATTTTGTTTAATACTGACCTATAACAATGGTAGTTCCAGCTGAGACGGTATCACACAACATAGCTGCGTTACACATTTTCATCCAGGTGTACAGACACCTAAAATGGCAATTAAAGATATGCAAACCAAGGCTATTTACACGTTTTCAGTTAGTCAGGTGCTTACGTCAACGTTGTCATTTTAGTAAGCTTATGTCACATGTTGTTAGCTTATGTCACATGTTGAAGTCTGATTCAATATATTTTGTTACCGGTACTTAATGTTTTTTTTAATTTTAAATAACGAGTAACTTATATAGAAGCAAATTACACTGAGCATATCACAGTTTGAAAGGTTGGCCTGCTATTAGCCGTTAAAGAGGTTTGTCGAATAGAATGCTTTTAAGCTCGCTCAGTAAAGATCCCAAGATGGCCATCCATATGACCATCTTCCTTTCATCCAATGTTACCCGGCCTATGATACTGAATTGGGTTAACACACACATACAACTGTATATGTACCTGTAATCGTGGACTCCCTATTTTTCTTTATTTTTTGTACTCGTTTGTACTTGTTTGAAGACTTCCCACATGTTTTGTACACAATCGTCAATTGTGGACCCCATTGTCCTCTATTGTTCAATGTTCCCTATTGAATGCAGAAACAAACTCATACAGAGCCATACTCAAATTTGTATCCTTGTAGAGACATTGCTTTGTTCTCGTGTACAAAATTGTGAGAGGGTCGAAAGCTAATTTTTAAAATTTTCCTATTTTAACCAGAATTACTTTGCTGTGTTGAAATTCGGACCGAATATCCTTTACATAAAATAGTAATTTGCGACTCATAAGTATTCCTTGGAAATTCCTTGGTTTTGACTAAACTCCATATTTTTATTTGTAATCCCTATGGAGACCTATTAACCTTTGCAATCTTTTGTTCCGTATTATACCCGGGTCTCCACAAGGCATCACTTTTTGAAACACACTTACTTCCCAGGTTCCATATTGAACTTGGCAGCCTTTTTAGTCACGTCCACTTGAGTGGCGTTATTTGGCGCTTGGAAGTCCGTGATATTGAACCTTTCTTCCCGTTCATCGGCTCGGACAATGATCATTCCATTTTCTATGGCCACTGAGCCAGAGGAGTTGCCTCCAACCACCATGCAAGGAACAACGTCATCTAGAAGCTCAGCTGAACTACTCACACAGTACTCTACAAAGAGGTGAGAAACATCCTAGATAGTTACAATGTGACTTACATTTTACAACATTGATATGTGGAACTTCTTGCATAATGGATAAAGTTGTGATCTGAATGAGGTATAGTCAGATACCAACAGAAAAATGTCTCATTGACATAGCGCATTCAAATAGAGTGGCATACATTTATTTGTTCAGATGATGATATGTTTTAGTTCACAGAACTGTAGACAACATGTTCTGTTTTGAGCCCATGTTGCCAGTGTGTAAAACACAGACAAGAGGAAACTCAGAGTCAAAAATTAAACTGTAAGTCCATTCTCGGTCAGTACAAAACTATAACATTTGCAAGTTACTGCTAAAAATTGCAATTCGCGTCAGTTATTCATCGCAGGGTCTTGTACAGAAAATAAGCATTTTTTAAAACAAAATCTAGATTGTAATCTTGATATAGGGACTCGGCAAAATGAACCACCACAGTCTCTTCAAGTTGTCATACCATAAAGGACAATTGATTCATCATGTGGTTTTGACCAGGTTGCACCAGTCTTTGCTGCGTCTTCACTTCGCTCCATCTCTGGAGGGTAAACGTCTTCCTCGAACTTCCTGCTAAACATGGAAGTGGTGTTGACGTCATCTGCCGTGGGCTCCTCAAGTAGTATCGTTACTCCTGAAAATGAAAAGGGAATGTCCGTTACTTTATACCGTAACTTTGTGATTCGTAACTTTGTGGGCATCTAAAAGAAAGTCATTGGTCCTGTAAGATATGAAGCCTGTTCGACTGAAAGCCTTAAGTCTAAAAAGTGTTGGCTTCATAGGAGCATTGTCTTCAAGCCTGCTCCACTAGTTGTAAGAGCCACATAGAATGACGTGAATGTGTAGTGCAGTAGGCCTAACCGTTCAAAACGCTTATTTAGTTATCGGTTTGTGCGTATCAGTCAGTCTACCTATACCTACCATTACATTCTACTGTGGTTTTCAAACCTGCTCCATTGATAGACTTCAGATTCACTAGTGTGTAGTGTTGATGCGGTGGAGTAATCTTGTCAAATCACTGCTGTATGTCTGTTTGTCTGTATGTCAGTCTATCTCGACCTACCATCACATTCTGATGTGGTTTCCAAGCTTGCTCCATCGATAGCCTTCAGAGTCACATAGTATGTGTACAGTGGCGTAGCCAGGAATTGTTCAGTAGGGGGGGGGGGGCCGCTGGGGGGGGGGGGGGGCTGGAACATTTCATGGGGGGGGCGTCATGTAGATCAATGATAATTTTTTTAGAAACTCAAAATCTCAGTTGGGGGGGGCGACTGGGGGGCGACAAGGTTTCATGGGGGCGGTCCCTCCACGCCCCCCCCCCCCCGGCTACGCTACTGTATGTGTAGTGTTGTGATGCAGTTGTCCTGTCAGATCACTGTCATGTTGTCTGTCTGTCTGTCTGTTTGTCAGTCTATCTCTACCTACCATCGCATTCTGCTATGGTTGCCGAGCCTGCCCCATTCACAGCCTTTAGAGTCACATAGTACGTAGTGTTGTGGTGAAGTGACCCTATCAGATCGCTGTTGGTGGCTGTCTGATTCAACCCAACGTTGACAAAGTCTTGCAGATCTGTTGCCCCTTTAGAGGTTCCTATTGCCCAGTAATTCTCCTAGAAAATACAATTTGAGACATTGTTGCTGTGTTTTGCACGCATTTTTGGACATACGTTATACTCCCCGGTGTAACCTAAACTAAGCGAACTATATTATGTTGCTACGGTTGTTTCATATAGTGTGTAATGCATATATATAAATTGTCTAAGTAACGGTGTTCCAAAATATCAAGAACAAGTCTTTCGTAAAAACAATAACAAATAAATAAATGTTTTAATAAGAACACAAATTAGTACAGATGTATAACACATTGTTCACATCGTAGCTACCTTGACTAAGCTTTCCATGTCAATGAAGCGCCATAAAACACTGATGGTAGAGTTTGAGGACTGGAATGATGTCGGCTGGTATTGGTTAACATTGAGGTCGACGTAGAAGAACAAATCTAGCTGCGCCGGTGTGTCGTCAACGTAGAACCCGTTTGAGGATGCTATTGCTGTTTTCCCATTTCCAAGGAAAGATTTTACTGCGGGGGGAATCCACAACAATACACATTATTAACATAATCTTCTGGCTTGAGGAACAATTTACGGAACGACCAGTAACAATGCGCTACACTTACGACAACAGTGACAAGACATGGGAATAAGGAAGAATAGAACAGTTGCAAAAATTCCTAGTTGTAAAGGTATCACCTCACCAATAACCTGACGGAACATTCAAAAGGTGACATGAGTAGCGGGATTGAGTAGATGAACCAAACTGCACAATCTGATGGTTTTCAGAGATTTATTCAGAGCTTCAAATTCTACAGTTTTTAACATTTAGTTTAGAAGTTTTAATCCACGGGTGTTATTTGTTTTGGGACTCAAGATAAACAAATTATAAATGAGGCTTTAAAAGTGTTCTTTGTTCTCCTTGAAAAAAAAAGGCACAGAGGCAATATTTGGTCTTATATAACCAATTTTGTGTCAAACCAACAAGACATTATTATGACACTGCAAAACCATTGCGTTTTATTGCGCACTGCTCACACGTAATCATTGTGTTGCCTGTACAACTCCACTCTCCAACACACTTTACAAGAGCGTTTGAGGCCTGATTCATAAGACAGGTTGTCCCACAAATACCCTTACAGTCGAAAACCAATCAATAAAGGTATATTACATGTGCATTTTGGAATATTTTGAAATTACCTCCTAAAGGCAGATAACCAATCTACCATACAAACTTTATTTCATATAAAACGATGCATTGGAACAAAAACTACGCTTCATCGAACTCAGGGGTTGATAGATTGTCTTAGGCCACTTACCTTGAAAATTAGAAAGCGCAGTTAGAAAAAAACACACAAAGGATTTATTTCTTTTGCTCAAGAGTAACGTGTAACGTACTGTACAGGTTTCGATCTGTAAACTTGATAAATAAAAAGGTGGCCCAGGTTTTTTTTCCAAGACCTGTAATGTGACTGCTTTATCTTTTGAACAAAACATCATAATGAAACCTATAAAAACAAGCGCGGGGGCCTGCCTCGACTCCATGGGCGCGTACGCGTTACTTCACTTACCCCTGGCCGTGATGTACACGTAAACGATGCTGACTGGTTATTCACAGCGTACTGCGCGCGCATTTCAAAGATTGCACGCTGGGCGCGCCCATAATGCACTCGCGTGCTTTGCACGTAACGTCACGTACGGAAAAAAAATGTTATTCAAACTCGAGATGCCTGTACGATATGGAATATGGCAGCCTCGTTCTTCGTTAAAAAAACCCTGTATCTTCGGTTATAAAGGGACGAAAAGGGTACGTACATTTAATACAAATCTTTGCTAAATAACGCAACGTCCAAACGTTATGTTTCAAAGGATTGATTCTCTAAAATCGCAACTTTAACATTTTAAAGATAGCGTCGGCACGTAAAACGAAAAACTGCAGCCTAATTATAATGTGATGTATTTTGACACATTTAAATTACACAATTCCAGAGGTTGAGATTGCGCAAGGCATGATGGGAAAAGACATGGCGCAGCAAGATCTCGTATCCATGGAAACGAGGTTGCGCGGAGGCACAATGAGCTCTGACCCGGATACGAATACTTTTCACCTCATTTAAAAAATAGACGCGCATGCGCATTGAACAAGACAAAGGGGCGTGTTGTGAAAATTTTTACCAAGGGTGCATTTTCTGACGACGGCATCGCATTTGGTCACTTGTTGGTTAATTTGTACTTATGCATGCTGTGGGAAACTTAGGGCCTCGTTTTTGGTCCATTTCCGGGGACAGACCTACCACGTGACATGTAGAAGCTCATGCCAAAAATTTGGAAGACCAATTATTCTACTCAGCATTACATTAGACACGATTTTGAATACTACCCCTACTTTTCTGAACATATGCCCGATTCAACTGTTAGTTTTTCTGTGTGTGTGGGACAACCTGTATCACTAAACATTCCGACTTAGAAATATAAACTGTGCCAATGTTCACAGACAATGTTTAATGCAGTAAAGTTTAATAATAAACAAACTGTTGGACAAAGGAAAATACTTCTGATTAAATCCGAGTTAATTCATGTATTGTGTTTAAACTAATATCTCACCTGTCAAGAAGATTGGAAGCGATCCCTCATATTCTAGAGAAGATGGTGTTGTTGCATTAGTGTCATTGTCAAGCATTACATTTAAGAGCTCGAGTCTTGGCAGAGTCAGGTTGGTGATTGTGAACGTGATGGGAACAGCGTCAAGAGTACACGAAGGATCGCACTGGTACCGATCGCAGAGATTGATGCATGGAACGCAAGGCCGGGCAACCTGTTTACGGAGACAGAGGAAGAAAAGAGAGGGAGGGGAGGGGTAGAAGTGCGCAAAGTATTGATTAGATCGTAGAGACTGACTTTGCTTGATTACAGCCAGTTTCTACTGGATGAATTCATACTCTGTATACGTTTGATTCCACTGATTAAGAGGTAACTCATACCCAACACATAGCAACTGCGTTCGCACATTTCTCTTTGAAAGACTAGATTCATTACAAACTTCAATTCCATCGTACATGCTTCCCATGTGTAGGCCGACACCACGTACAATAATTCCATGTAACGTTCTCTCTTAAAAGGCAATGCGCCAGCAGCAGCAGCTATTGCAGTGTCATTTACACAAGCTTTTACCAACCTGTTACCGATGTCCTAAACTGGCCCATGGCTTTGTTAAGGTTTTCAACTACTTAATTCATTATTGTCTTATAGGGCAAGCTCTTAGTGATATGCCATACTAGACCCCCATTAAGACCAAACGGATCGATGGATTCTGCGAGAGAACAATCCTTTACCTTTACGAATGTCATGTTGTTTACTAAAATGAAACGAAATGTATGCAATCCTAGAGCCTCACCCTCTTATATGTACTGCTTGCACCTGATTCAATTGGGAGTTACTATCTGGGTCAATAGAACATTACTACTTGCGAACAATATCAGCTTGGAACATTAACACAAAAGCATGAGCACACACACTCTTTGATTAAACTTATATGATGCAGTGCGATTCCCAAAGGCACATTCCGAAAGGACAAGAACACTAAACATAACGATCCCGTAAGCTAATTTAAACTGTTTTTAGGATTCTATTGAACTTGATATCGATGGCTCCTTTCCTTTAAAATTTCTTTCCTTTGAAAGTCTTATAACTAAATTCTCCAACATAGCCAGTTATCAGATAAAAATACATATATTTTTAAATTTACAGGGTGTATATTCAAGTTTTTAGAAACCCCGCAGATGGTTTTGTTTTTGAAAGAAAAAACAATGTACCACATGTAAAAACAATGTACCACATTAATTTGTTTGACAATTATAACTTACCTCCTTGAATGCCACAACATCTGTTGCTCCTGCTACTGATCCAATTCCGGCAAAGTAGCGTGAGACAGGACTGGTTCCTGCTCTAAATTGTGCCCCGTAACGACACAAATTGACCGGATCGGGTGGCATCCTGTTTTAGAAGAAATTTACTAAGTATACCAATTAAAAAATTGACAAAGTACATAGCAATGAATGGTACGGTGTATTACAAGTGCTCAAAAACGACGATAGAGGTAGTCAAACAATATAAGAAACTAAACTTATTTAGGTAAATAACATTAAAGTAAACAGGGTACAGGGAATTTTGACATACCTCAAATTCCTGAGTGTTGCTGTGACGAACGGAGGGCTAAACGGGTCTTGTAGCTCGGCGATGTAGCTGTCTCGATTGAAGACGTGGAGGATGAGCTTAGTGGATGAGGACAAGACAGGTATGCCAGTCAGTGAAGAGAGTAGCTTACCGTCAACGTAAACTTCAAAGGTCCATTCATCCTATTGAGAGAGAGGTATTGCAGGGAATGTGATAGGAAAGTAACCTTTGTAATCACAATTGCCCAACGATCTCTATCTTAATTGGCAACTGAGGGCTAAGAAGGTTTAAAGGAATGTTATGCTTCAACATTCTCTCCAGTGATATAAATACCATTTAAAAGAGTCATAAGTTTCTTCCTGCTTTACTTTGCACTTAATTCCGGTCAGAGGCCCGATTTAGACATAGCAGAGAGCACCCACATCGATTGCAGTAACATCAGCAGCATTAGCATTAAGCAATTGTAACTGCAGTATAATCAACATCAGCAATATCAAGGAAAGATAAATGTAAACTGGTCAACATTTAAAGGAATTGTTTACTTTTAATGTTCTTTGTACGAGCAAATCCAACCTGACCTCGGGCACTATTCAATACTAATTCAGCTCTTCCATGACTATACCAAGCAGATATGTGCATATGCATGTGTTTTTTAATAGCTATACCAATAACAGGAAAGAGAAAGTAACATCAGCAGCCCTGTAGCATTACAAGCAGTAGCAACACAGCCGTAATATCAGCAACAACTATAAATATCAGCAGCATCGATGCAAATATAAGTTCATGCAACTCGTAATTATTATTATCTTTCGATGAACGGTTCTTCTTACATCCCATCAAAACGATTACAAGTATACCTCCTCTACATCAAATGGCATGACTTTGAAGTGGATGGAATAATGACGCTCCTCTACTGATGGATCAAAATCTAGATCTACAGGCTGTGACGTCACTGGCCAAGCATTCTCAAAGTAGCGACACCACAGAACAGCTCGAGAGGCTCTGCCATCTAAAAAAAGACATAAAGTTCAAATAAACTTGGCGGTAAGAGAACATTCATCAATATAAAAGATGTGCAGAGCAAAACAAAAGAGCAAAGCACATTTGTAAAAGGCTCATAAGTAATACAAAACGGGTGCAAAACAAACCTAGAAATAATAAACAGAATTATTGTGAAACACGCGGAAATTGTAGTTACTTGACAACTACAAATAAGTCAATGAGGCCTCGTAGGAAGGACAAATGGTTTACACTATTCTCCTATATTAGCTATAACCTGTGTAGTAGCTCACTCCTTCGATGCTTTTCAGATAAACCCAAAAGTGGGATTGACTTGAAAACTCTCATTCCTCCTCAAATAATTGAGGGGCCTATAGAATCATTTCTACTACAGAAAAAATACATGCTTCTTGAGAAGACTGTCTTACTTGGATAGAGTTGGAAGCCGCAAGCTCTTTGGGATATCGATCTCCCACTCTCATCATCGGGGACACTGTCCCCGTCTTCGTCTACCTTCCTGATTGTCCAAGGGCAAGAAGACGTTGTCATTACTGACGCACCGTTTCTAGTATTGTCAGTGGCCGTGATGAACTCACTGGATGTGGTTAAAGGTCGCACAGAGGTAGTGCTCCCATGTGTTGAGTTTTCACCGACTGAATCAGGTATTTCCAGGAAGTTCTGACAGTCACATTGAGGGCACATAGACTGTTATAAAAATAAATGTTTTTATATGACAATATCGATAACTTTTTTTTTATTTAGGGATTATTAACACACGTGGTTACCGCTTAGTAATACCCTGCAGATTAAACTTTGCATCATAACATCAAAGGAGACAACTAAATACAGAACCTACATACATTTCCTACTCTTACTTGATTAAAGGGTTGTTGATAACAGCACTGGCAGATCCCTTCTTGCCAGTTCTCCCGTCCACCAAAGTCGAACTCCCCAATCGTGCCATCTGGACCATCCCAGAATAGGATGCTGGTCACGCTGTGCAGGTCAGATTGTGCAGCTATCAAGTCAAACTACAATGGTAAAAACAGTAAGGTGTGTTTGGCAGCTGCAGCGTATTTCTGTTGCGTATATGACTAAATCATGCACATGACATACTTTAAGTGTCTTTACTGAATTTAAAACACAATAAATTAACCGGTAATAATAATCGTGTATATACTTTATATGACGAAGAAAATTAACGTAAAGTTGCATATCATATTTCGTTATTAAAGTACTTGATTATGAATGTCAGTTTCAAAGCATGAATTGTTTAGGACTTGTTGCTTCCCTTGCTACTAATGTCTTCAAATGTATCAACTTCATGAACGTAGAATATTTATTGACAATACAAAGTGTTTGAATAGCTAATGACACTTTGGAATTGAATGATTACAGACGAAATTGAATTTTACCAAATGCCATGGAATTCGTCTTTAACGAGTTTTTAACATAAGAGTTTGTACATTTAAATCGTAAACGTTTGCAATAAGTCTGAAAAGCTTATCAGTGAGCATCTAAATTGAGAATGACTGGACAAGCAGTGACAATTCTGGACCATAGTCACGCATCAGTTTTGCTCATGTTTGAATAAGAGAAAACACTTCCTGTTTGCACAGCAGAATAGTTCTGAGATCGTCACATCTTGCAGAAACAAACCACCACACTGACCTCATATTTCGAGCTCCTGACAATCTGTGCATTGGTGACGTAGGCTCCAGACAGCATACGGGGTCCCCTTGTGTCCCGCTCCAACTTCAGTGTCAAACTTTCGTCGGTTGCAAACACCTGAGTATTCAAACCAAAGGGACAAAATGAAAAATTTTCTTGGTAAATTATTGTAGGATTGGTGTGGTGAAAACTTTGAAATCATTTAAAATTTCCAAGCAATTTCCATTAAACCACCAGCTTGACAGCCTACCTGCTGTGACTGGTACTCCAAGTCCCACTTGTCCCTGTTCATGTTCCAGAGTCCCCTGAAGTCCATCGCTGACCACTGTGGATCATTGAAGGGAATGTCTCTCATGGGACAGGCTGGGCCCACTGGGGTCGGCAAGTGCAGGATTGTGCCTGCAGAAATGAAGTGAAGCTGTGAACTTTAGATTCAATGGTGTTAACATTAGGAACTGCGTCCCTATGAATCTAACAACCATAACGAAGTACAACCTGAGTAAACAAGGTGCGTTTACCGGAAACTTGGCTACGGTCTCCACTGATTGTCATATCCATCTTGAAGTCCATGCCATCAGCCACCAGTCCTGCTGTCGGCTCTGATGAGTCGACGAAGATGGGACCCACCTGGGACTGGATATTATCTCCTGCAAGATTAACCGCTACAAGCTGGACAAAGTAGGGAAGGTTTGTCTGGTGGAGGAAACAGCAAATAATATACCGAAAATAAGATCTTCAAGCACACCATTTCTGGTCAGAAAAAAGTATGTATCAATCGATTCAAAGTTAAATGGATAAATCAAATAATTTTGTATCAAAAAGTACCCCACCTATGTTGTGAATGACCTATCGCGGTAGAATCGCGTCGACGCAGCTTGTGAAATATTGTCCAATTGCATGCATAGATATAGAATAAAAAGACTTGATCGGCAGCGCGTGCATACGCGCCATCCGGTTCGTTAGTAAAACGTCATACACGCACGCGCACCACTGATTACTAGCGCCCATTGGCTACAAACACTCGAGCTGCGTTAACTTCCGGTTCCAATCGTGCAGAAAGTGCTGGAGGTGACGTCACACTAACGAACCGGATAGAGTGTGCACAAATTTTCCCGTTCCCGCATGGACGCTCTACGCGCAGTATAGTAGTGCGTGGGGCAAAACGTGCGTTACGCGCACCTATATTCCCGTAGGTTTGTGCACAAACTTGTATTTTTATATCCGTAAAAGTAACATTTTTACCAGTAGTTGTTATATATCCAACAAAATTCAATATGCATTTTCAAGGTGGGTAGTCACCTCGAAGTTTGCTCCATTTCCCCCTCGTAATTACTGTTCGTTTCAAAATGGTGGTGCGCGTTGTTAAAAATCTCCAAATAAAATCAGCTTTATCCGAGAAAATGTGTGTAAAGACATTGTTTTAAACAAAGAAAAGGAACAAGTAGAATGTAAAAACTGCTTTAAATTACCGTTGAATTAGTTAAGAAAATTGTGAAATGATTTTACAGATTTGATTTTAGAGATTTGTGTTACAATTATTATTCTTTTTGAAATGAGAACAATTTATTTGGATTGCATTTTATATGGATGTGACTTTTAATGACAATAATATTGCCCCTGAAAACTGTTTTAAGAATGAAATGAAATTACACTCCCAAAATGCTCCGCACTTCTGAATAACCTAATTAACTCTAAGAGTTTATTTACATTGTGCTTTACTTTTAGTACCCATTTTAGCCTTCTTGAAAATTTTCGGATGCCGGATACGTCACAAGAGGTCAAAATCAAAATAACACAAATTAATTTTTTCCATTCTTTTTTTAATGTAAGTGAAGGCTGGGGGAGGGCATGCCCCCCCCCCCCCAGTATCCAACAGTACAAAACTGCTGCCGTGAATTGAAATTAAAGGACAGCGAAACAACTGCGGGAATATTCTGTTTGTTGATGAAGAAAATAGCACTCAAACAACTGGATGCAAGGGTTTTTTAGGCAACGCGCACCAGCATTTTAAAACGGGAAATAAATACGAGAAATAAAATGGACCAAACTTCGAAATGAACATGCAACTTGATAACCCATTTTGAATTTTGTTGGAGAAATAACTACTACAAGTCAAAAATATTACTTTTACAGACATAAAAATGTATCTTTCCATACATACCTACGGGAAAAAAGTGCGCGTAACGCAACTTTAAACAAAAATGGCGGCGCCCATGGCAGAATGCGCGTCTGTTCGCACTGCCGATCTAGACTTTCTATTCTATATCTATGATTACATGATATACAAATGGACGCGGAACGCGCAAAATCTGAAACAAACAAACTTAGCGTACACAATTCCCCATAGGGTTGTCTAAAGGCCCTGTCACACTGTCTGCGATCTTATATGCGCTCTCACTGCGTCCTTGAAAAATAGCTGGGGCGCAACAACAACTACTAGATCGCAGCGACAACTACATAGGTCGCCAGATGGGCGCCAGAGGGTCTTAATGGTCTCCGATGAGCGCCAAGGTCTTTGAACATGCTCAAAACAATCGCAGCACCTCTGCGCTCTGGCCAGGGCGCCGTAATGACGCAACTCGGGCGCTGTGCGAGCGTAAATCGTGCGACATTGGAGTGGCATTGAGGCAGCCTAGGCGCAAGACAGTCGATGTAGTCTCCATGAGAAAGTAACTCGACTGCAATGAACTTGTAGAATAATTTTGAAACTGGACTGTGTATTGACCGTTTTGTCGTGGTATTTATACAGCACAAGTGACGTCACATGAGCGTACTTTGGTCGAATAGAGAGCGCGACGCGAGCTACTTTAGGACGTATCAACAGCGAGCAGAGCGTAGTGTGAGCACAGTGACAGCGCAGCGACTAGATTGAGTAATTGAGCTTGACGGGGGCGTATAGAGAGCGAGTTGAGCGCATCGTAAGCGTGGGAAGAGCACAGTATGAGCGTAGCTTGAGCTTCTTTGAGACAGAAAGTTGTCATTTCTTGCGTCCTCGCTGTGATTGTTAAATTTATGAAATATTTTCGCATATAATGTGACAGGCCCTTTACTCGCAAACGTCGATAGGTCAATTAATTACTAGGAACATAAAACATGTTTTTGCAAATGCTGTTACCATAATCGTTAAAATTTAGTGCAGACATATAAGTCACCTCTAAGTTCACGTCCACGAATGTGAATTCCCACGTATCTGGGCTGAGTACCAGCCAGTCCTGGTTTGGTACCACCGTCAGATTGTTGTCATCTCGGACATGACACGATGCAGCTTGCATGATGCGTAAGTTGAATGACTTGATTCCACTCTCATCATCCCTGTAATCCTCCCACACCATAGAGACTGACTCGGCGCTGTCGGTGTACGCAACAGGCTATAGACGGGTATTAGGGATTTTAAAGTACACATATTATATGAGGATTTTTACTTTTGTAATGAGTCTGATGAGCATTCAAGGAAAAATGCTGCCCAGCCATGTGCGGTAACCAGTGGTATTGAGAAAATGAGCCAACATATATATATTTGCACAGAAAGGTCAAACGTATCCTCCGTGACAAAGAACTAACTTGTTATAAATCACTGTTCTGACAGCCCTCAGCATGCTTTAGGCATACACTAAATAGGATGAGTGATGCCAACAAAGATGTTGCTAGTAGTTTGTAAAAGTGTTAAAAGTTAATAGTAGTGCAGAAGGTTACTAGTAGTGTAGAATGTCATGGTCCAGTAGTTACGGGGTTTGACTCATGTATGATGGTCCGTGGGTTCGAACCCTGCCAGAAACATGGTGTTTGTGCCCTTGGGCAAGACTCTTAACTACAATTATTGAATCTATTCACCCAGAAGTATAAATGGGTACCTGTGAGGGTCGAGGACCGATTGAGCGCTGATATCGGATGCCGCGTCGTCCCGTGGCCTGATGAACGGGGGAATACTTGTAAAGCGCTTTGAGATTGTTGAAACGATGAAAAGCGCTATATAAGCATGACATTTTTAGTGTTGCATATATTAGTGAAACATAACCACTGATGACTACACTTACCATGTAATAGAATGGTCCGACACGTAGCCTACCCTTAATGGGCGGGGTGATATCAACAGAGAAGTGACTTGTAGAGGAGTTACACTGTCCTCCTTCGTTCATTCCTTCAAGACACACAGAAAGAATATTATTAAGAAATTATCTATTGAAATGTAGTATTTTTAAACACTTTTCAGGAACAAATCACTCACCGACAACAGTGACAAAGTAGGATCCCTCATGCGTCAGATTCAGTCCCTTGACAACCGCATACGTGTCCTTGCCAACAAAACTCATTTCTCTCTCGCTGAAAGTCGCCAGAGCCTGCCTCGTACCCAACAAGATATCCCGGCAATCGATATTTTCAAGTTGGACGGAGGAAGGTGAAGATTCACCCACACCAACGTAATACAGTAGGATGGGCAGAGTCGATTGAAATTTATCCCACATGAGTTGCACCTCGGACACAGAGTTCAAGAACTTTGGCACTTTGACCTCGGATCCTAAGCAGTTGTAAATGCAATGCAGAATAAAATATAATACATATATTACCTGAACCATAGCATGAACTGAATAAATTCAATAGCATATACTTTCTTAAATTAAATGAAGTTAGCTGGCCTACCATTTCATTTTTGGTCACTTAAGAAATTGCCAAGGTAAATCTTACGATGAGAAAAAAAAAGAAAATCAAAATCAAGTGACAACGTTAAGGGCCCGTGACCATTCAGCCCCGGTATGAAAAGGGCCCCCGATAAGCTCGTCCCCTCCCAAGAAGTCCTCTCGTATCGTCCCAGCTACCGGCCAAGGAGCTGGTCCGTTGCTAATCTGGAATTCCTCTTTCCTGGGGTCTATTGTTTACAAGTATTGACACATGTAATATATCCCAGAAGTAACCCGCTTGTGGTTTTCATCTCTCAGCGCGAAACAATAGAACACTTTCGTCGGCACAGATCAAAACCCCTGCCATGGGGTTTCGCGCACAATGGGACTGTAAATTACCAAGGCGTTATGGAAGGATTTTATCTTTAATCCGGTAAGTCTGCTATTGTTCTGCTCTGGACGTTCTCTGAAGGGCAATAAATTGATGCGCCTGACTGACTTCAAAACTTCTTGTCAGACAGGACCTTGTGCCGGACGAGACTGGGCTGAAGACCGGACTGGCTTTGGACCTGACGAAGTACCGGGGGGGCCATTTCATACCAGGGCTGAATACCAGGTCACGGTCCCTAAGAAAGTTTGAATATACAAATTCAAATAAAAATCCGACAAAGGTGGTCAAAAGTAATGGATTTAAAACACCAAGCTCTTAGTTTGCACCTGTAAAAGAAAAGAAAGGACTGATTTTCAGTGTATAAAATAGTCGCATTTCCTTTTGTAAATGTTCTCTTAATTAGCGTAACAACGTATCGACGAAATTGTGTTTAAATGTAGTATAAATATTACCTTCAAAAGGAAAAAGTGCAAACTTCGTTAACAAGCATGTTATTTACAGATTACAAATTGGGAACTGCACATAAGTTTTTATTAAACTAACTCGGAAAATAAAAGGAACTTGCTGACATTTGTTGAACAAGCTGTGAACTGCCCTACGTCTTAAAGCATGCTGGGAAGTACACAAGTTATTCGAAACAATGTGAAGAAACCTACCATGTACTGTGCTGTCCATACCAACATTGATCCCTGTGGATGTCACCTCTGCTGTTGCAAAGCTTGCACTATGTGCCCTTACCGTCACATAATATGTCGAGTCTCGCGCCAAAAGGTTGAGGTTAGTGAAAGTGACGGTGGTGTTCTGACCGACGTAGGTGAAGGGCACTACGTTGTCCCTGGTCTTAGGGTAACGGCGGTCAGTTCCGACCGCCGCCTCGTAGTAATCCACAGTTTGCTCTGTGATGTGGTCTCTGGTTACTTCAGCATTTCCTTAATGATAATCAAAGGCAGATATTAAATATTGATGGATATGCACCACAGGAAGAATAAAAAAGCATTAGCCCGGGCCCTGTTACTGCAAAATTCGGCTGCAATAAGTGTTTAGACTTTTATATTGCTATTCAGCCTGTTACAATCCATGTTCGTACTTATAAAGGCTAATTGAACGTGGTAGGTCTGCCTAGTACAATGGACTAGCAGTTACAGATGAAAGTGTTACTTAAGCTGTGAAAAATTGCGTGGTGTAGATGGCAAACAAAATAAATAAATCTTATTGATTTCGACGTTTATTTGTTGTTACGTATCCGGTAATGACTTTGTAGTGCATTCCAAGTGTTCGTTGTTAATGAATGTTATGCTTCTGGTTGTGTCAGTACACACCTGTATGCTCCACCGATTCCTTGGGTTGTGTCCCCTCACCAAAGCCCTTCCAGTTTGCCGATATTGTGTCAGTCTCCTTCTGGTAAGTCAGATCAAAGCCCACTAGGAGGCCATCATAGACCTGGCCAGGTATCAAGGGGTCCAGCTTGACTGTGATTCCATCAGATCGGACCGTGACAGCCAGGCCCATGACATTCGTAGCTCTCACGATTATGTAGTACGTCTCACCATCTGTCATCTTGATATCTGTGTTGGTGTCTGAGGTCCGTTCTATTTCATGAATTAAAACAGAATTGATGTACTTTCTAAAAGTGTGTTTCTTACATTGATATCTTTTAATTGCAATTTGATTATTTCAACGGCATTTATGATATTCAAATGTTTATGTTAAAACAACTTTAGTTGAGGCACATTTGGTGGTTTATGACAAAATTGCCATTACCTTGCACATCTGTCAATGTCTGAATCTCCTGGCCATCAATTCTGTAAATGGCCCATTCATGCTTTTTGATTGGACACGGATCTCCACTGAAATCCCAAGATGCACTCATCTCTCGCAGTGATGTCTGGAAATCTTTGTCGGCGGATTGGTTGTCGGTGACGCCATCTTTGACTTGGAATGGTTTGAGGGGTGGAAGTCCTGCACTGAAGCGGCTGATGTAGATGCCATTGGACACGGCGGTGCTGGTCAGACCGGCTTCGTTGTAGCCTCTAACTGTGGAGTAGACTCTACGGACACTGCTGAGATCGATGTTGGTAATGAGTTCTGAAGTCTGGTCCTTGGAAACATCATGGAAAGGTTTGATCTGAGACCCTCCTGGCGTCGTGCCCAGAGCAACCTCATACTTGGTGATCTTAGTGTCTTCGTCGGTGAACGGCTGCCACAGGATCTGCAGCTGGGTGAGCGATTCTAGACACTCTCCATCCAAGCTCAAGCATTCCTCATCGTTTGTGCAGTCCCATTCTGGCAGGTCGATAGGATCACTGAAGTTGTAGCTGAACACGCCAGATAGCTCCACTACAAGGCCGTATGATGGAGGTGTATCATCAATCTCAATAGGACCAGAGAATGCCATTGTGCTTTGGTTGATAGCATTGAAAACCTCCACAGTGACATAGTAAACTTGGTTGTGAATGAGATTAAGATCTGAAAAGGGCAAAGTTATGCTATTAGTGTTGTATCATGCATTTCATGTATAACATTTGACCAAAACAGTGTCATGCAGAATTATATGAAGGACTTTAATTTCAAAGTGTGGGTGGTGCCTCCCACACTTTTTTTTGGGGGGGGGGGATTATAAAAACCATAATAATGTATGGGCAATTATCTTTTAATGCCTTAGCTAAAACTGGGGATTGTTCCAATCAAAATTCCCGGTGCTCACTAACCTCTGACACTGTAGTGAGTGAAGTAGCCTGGCAAATCACCAGACTGAAACACATCGCCTTGACCCTTTGCTGTCCCGACGAGAAAACCGACATGATCAATTCCAGACTCAGCATCAAGGAAATCGCTCCATCTACACAAGAGGGCGCTGTTCGCATCAATGAAGGCAGGACACTGGACCTGAACGGTAACAGGTGAGTATAAAAAGGGGAGCCATAATTAATGCAACTGTTAAAACAGTGCAAACTGCGCGGTGAGGTGCCTGTTATTTTTTTATCTGTGCGGCACACTGCCTTTCTGTTCTGTAATAAGTCAAAACATATTCCCCAATATTTCTGTCACATTTTCACTTCAGCAATCAAATAATCAAATAATTAAGTCAATTGTTTTAGTCGGGGCTGGATATAAATATCTAGCCGTCAGTAACAAAGGCCAGCTTTCTGAACACAAACGTAAATATTTTGCATAAAAATAAGTTATATTTTGCAAAACGAGACGATTGACTCAATACTAGTGTACTCGTGGCACTTTAAGTCAGGTGACAAGTATATCAACGTCAATAAGAACGGTACAGGTATCGGAATAGTAAAACATGAATGTCTTTGTTACAACTGATGATGTAGTAACCAACAGATAATGTATCACCGACCGATAATGTCACACAAATTGACCGATACTGCAGTATCGGTCAACTTGTGATACAGTATACTGTATCACTACCAGATAATGTAACAGAAATTGACCTAACGTGTAGTAAAAAGTACTACACTATCAGTCAATTGTTATTACATTGTTGGTCTTAACCGATAATGTAACAAATATTGACCGATAGTGCAGTAACATGTACTACAATATCGGTCAATGTCTGTTACATTATCGGTTAGTCATACATTATCGGTCAATTTGTGTGACATTATCGGTCGGTGATACATTATCAGTTGGTTACTACATTATCAGTTGTAACAGCCTTTGTCACAGTTCACCTCAAAAGCTTGACTTTGAACTGGAATGCTGGATGCTTTGTGATTACTGATGGATTTGTGATTCATCACAAGTTCCTCGAATTCAACGCTGTAAAATACATACCTGACCAACACTAGGTGGAGTGTTATCTACGGTCACGCTTGTGGCATGAATAATCCTGCTTAGCCCGACACTGTTGACTGATTCAACACTCAATAGATTGGGGAACCCTGTATGAAACAAAGATGGTTTTCAATCATTGGATCTTACAAAAAAAATTAAAGCCATTACAAAAATAACCAGCAAGCCTCAATAACAGAGTGCAAACTACTGTAAGAGTAATGTGAAATGTTAAGACACAGAACAAATACCCGCAAGCCAGCACAAATAGATCAATGGGAAGCAAGCCAGCAATCAACTACACTTAACTGCACAAGCAACTGACACTCAAGCAGTCAAGCCAGAACAAAAGGAAAACAGTGAGAGCTGGCCACTCAGCCATAACTACCAGGACTACAGAAACAAGCTACTAAGCGAACTAAAGCTGGAAGCTGAAGGAGGCACTGAAGGAGGCAAGCCATGAAGCCTGCTCTCGGAAACTAGTGAAGAAACAAGTCATCGAAACGGCCATACCGTACCTATTTCGGCGGGACTTATCAAGGCTGATGGAATGTAGGATTTGCTTGTTAAAGTGACGGGGAAAATATCAGCGCTTCCAGGGTACTGCCCCATGTAAAAGTACGAAGCCATAATGTCGCTCTCCTCTTCAGTTGCATCCCACATAGCATCAATGGAGTCAGAGTTAGATTGATACAAGTTCACTCCACCGTCAAAGCTCTGCGCATAAAACAAACAGAAAACAGAATGCCGGAACGTAAACCTTGGAAAAATATTCAGTTGCGACATGTCAGCAACAACGAGGCAATAAAATATTGAAGTACATTGTCTTGCTTATAAAAGTGAAAAAGACAAGCCCTTACTTGTTGGGAACGAAATGTTACAGATGACCAATACCTGTCTTAAGACATTCAAATGTTCAAGGACATACAAAACGAGGTACACATAGGGAGGGAAGTCTAGCTATACATGACTTAAAATGAAATTCGATTCCTTAATTTGTGTAACACTATAACACTATACGAGTCCTAGACAAAAGAGGTGAATGCATTTAGTCACCAGATCTGTGATTACGTCGTACAGGCCCAGGTCAGCGATCATAATCTCTGGAGGAGTGATGTCCACTGTGAAGCCATTGGATGTGGATTCTAAGACATTGTCTGCATTGGTGATGGCTCGTAGTGTGCTGTAGTAAGTCACTCCATGCTGTAAAGGCAGAGGCGACTGGGCCTTGCCATTACCTGCCAATTCATGATTAAGAAAAGTTGAATTAAAGATAATATTAATACACACCATATCAACTATATTTCGTTGCTAAAATCTGCTTAGTCTTGTCCCTAGACTACACCAACAGAATTAAGTATAATTGCATTTTGCTTTACTTTATAAAAATGTTGACATGTTCATAGTCATGAACTTTAACACTGAAAACATATTTAAAAGCTGCGCGCACAGTGCGGATTCGCTTAACGACCGACTTGAAATCGTTTCATTGATGGGGGTTTTTCATTTTCTCTCAATAATTGTTTTACAGTTTAGTAAATTTAAATGTAATTGATATCACAAGGACATATTACCTTTTTGCCTACCTCTTCAATTCCTTTCCAATTAGTCTATATGCCCTCAAATGCTTTGTTTGAAAAAAAATCCATTCAATCATAATAAAGGTTTGCTCCTCAAGTTTAAATATATACTGTCCGTCCAGCTTTTTAAAACTAGCTTTATCCTATGGAATGTCACAGAGCCCGTGTACCAAAAAGTCGACATGCCAAGTACAACATCAATGGAAATTTCTCCATATACGACTATTTCCTGTAATGAGATCGACCCACGCCAATCACATTAAAAAATGCTCCTACTACAGACATCATAAATACTGAGAGCTACCATGGAACATGTGGGAATTTTACCTGAAACGTTTGCCTCACTTCCTGGTACTATGCCATCTGAGGTCAAGGGTTGTATATCCTCGCCCCCAGGGGTAGTACCCACTGCCCATTCATAGTGAGAAATGCCATGCACTTGACTCTGAAGGTATTGAAAAACAAAACAAAACGATAAGTTCATTTGGGTTTTTGTTATACCGATATCACTTCTTAAAAGTATTCATGGTAACCAAACTGTAAAACATTTGTTTAAACTCGAGTAATTGAAACTTCAATAAAACAAATGGGATGGGGCTTCTTTGAGCTTGATTTATAGCACAATATTTGAAATATAATTGTCAAGATAAGAATTACCTAAATATTCGAGTTTGTTGAGTTACCAGCGCTGGGGGATTGGGCCAGTGATTTCATGGGACATTGCCCAGTTGTGATTGTTTTATTTCATAACAGAAACAGGATCACGAAATTCACCTTTTCTAGTAAAACAATTCGTTATCATTTGAAGAAAAAAACCATAAAAATCCAAACAATTGCGTCGTGTAGGGTATGATAAATTTCTTTACATTTTATGTAAACGCAGCCGTTATTAACTAAGTTCCGGTTTGATGACGACAGCAGTCAAAATGTGCAAACTGAATACTGATTTAGTTCAGAGAAGATGTTCATCATGAGGTGCAAAGAACTTCTGAATTCATGGAAATTATAACTAATGTTTAGGTGTATGTTTTAACAACACCTAACTTGTTTGATGACGTTACAGCATTTTGAACCCCAAGGTCGACATTGTACAGGGTATCATTATTTTGTGGTACAAATATTGCAAGGGCGGATCGGGGGGGGGGGGGGGCAACAGGGGCCATGCCCCCTCCCCCCCCCCCCCCCCCCAAAAAAAAGGAATCTGGTTTTTTTTTTTTTTTTATAAGTGACGACGAATCTAAACTCATTTTTTTTCGAGGCCCTTAAGCGGGCCACGAACCCCACGCCGTAATTTCTCGGACCCACTTTTTTGGGGACCAATATTGTGTTGCCCCCCCCCCCCCCTCCCCCGCACACACACACACAAAATGTGTTCTGGATCCGCTCTTGGAACATGTCATTGTCATTTGACAATGTTCAAATGGCGGATTTGAATTTTAAACCAAATTCTCCGTACATACAATAACTTCCGGTCTGATGACGTCCTGATTCTGAAACCTTTCAAAGTCACTTGCGGAGTAATTTAAAAAAAAAAAATAAAACCAAGCAAGTTCAAGTTGATGTGCCGCTTGAGGGCGTCTTTTTAGGTCATGGCATCACTATGCCGTTTGTTTGTGTTATGCATTCCTCACTCAACACTTCCATATTCATTTGTCTGTATAAAATGCTTCTTTTTCCAAGTTATATGCAATTTCCATTCTACTTCCAGTAACACCAAAAGTAAAGGTCAAACGGATGTTTGCCCAAGGAAATCAAAATATTACCTGAGGCAATGTCTGCCTGACCACAAAGAATAAGAACGGTACTCAATTCATTTGAAGAGTTATTGTTCAAAGTAATTTCACATTTTTCCCCCACATCTTCGGAATGGGTTCAATTTTAAATTATTTTTTTATTATCATCCATTGAATCGATCGGAAGACATTTGGTTCGTTTTGATTTTGAGGCTTCTGACTGTATTTTAATTTACGTAACTTTGACCTTCCGGTAGACCCATATGTTAAGGTCATGCGACTTTACGTATACAACAAATATGTTTATCAATTAATGATCTATCTGATTACAAAATACGAACATCATTGATTATTTGTTCAAGAGTTATAAGTGAATAAAGATGGCTCTTTTTTTTAAATCGCTGGTTATCTGATACTCGATGACGTTATCATAACGTCAGAGTAGTATGCACCATTCGGGATGAGGGTCGATATTGGTCAAAGTTACAAGTTCATACCACAAACTGTTTAGGAGGAAACCCGCGGGTAATTATTGCCAGTAAAAAGACCGATGAACGGAAAGAAAGACAGATTAATTCCGACCAATTCAAAAATGCCAATTGACCTACCGCGGTGGAATGGCGTTTGAATCGCGTCAACGCAGCTTGTGAAATATTGTCCTATTAGATGATACACAAATGGACGCGGAACGCGCAAAATCGAAGGCAAACAAAATTTAAGTGTACAAAAACTCAATAGGTTTGTCTAAGGGGCGTGGCTAACTCGCAAAATGCGATGGGTCAAATATTCAAAATATTCACGAATTGACTAAGTTTTCGAAATATCTCGGACAGACAAACGACCTACAGTTCGTTTACAGTACGTGTAGGCAACAGAAAACTAATACTCGAGCAGAAAGATCCAATGACCAATAACATTTAAACATTCATTGGAATAGCTGCAAATGGTCGTTGATTTTTATGAAATGAAATGAAACTAGAAAACCTTTGCTCCTTCTTAAAAAAACAGCCCTACCTCAAAGTCGCTAAAGAAGATCGTAACAGTGGTCCTCTCCTGTTGAGCATCTATATCATGTAGCATTCTTGGACCATCGGTTAAGTACCCTGTGCAATAATATATGTAACAAAAAGCTTAAGTTTTAACAATAAAAACTGGCTCTGTACTTTCTTCGATCTCCTAAAGCGCAACACTGTAGTAAAGGCAGAACACACAATTTGAATGTCAGTCGTATTGTAAAGGTAATGATGTCTTATCCCTGCAGCTATGCGTTCGAGTAGGGGTCTACTGTTTTCAACTGACAACTAACCCGTCTGATCTTCCTCAACAACTCTGATTGGTGAGGAGCAGATGACGTCACTGAAAGCCCCTGCACCATTCTCACTCTTGACACACACGTAGTAGACTGGTTGGCAACCCACGGTGAATGTCTCATCACTGCATGTTGATGGGTCGGTAAGTTGGAGATTAAGGTCCAATAGGACGCCACTGCTCTTAGGGCCCATTGGAGTGAATGGTTTGATGAGTTCAAAGTCTAGAAAGAAGTGTATGCCACAAACAAAACAAAGAGTCAAATTCAAGTAAAATCTAGAGAGAAAAAAATGTAATTATGTATCCAGTAGCCAGTATAACATTACACCTAAAATCGAAATGCTCACAAACTAGTAGGCCTACTTCTTTATATATGGATAACAGCAATCTGGGGCAATTTAGACAGGATTTCGCTAGTAGCCTAGAGCCGGAAGAAACAAGTGGAATTGTGGTAGAGATTGTAATATCATATTTTTAGGCGAGTTAATGATATTCACTTTGAGCCGTTCCGACTGCCACCCAGTAGGTCTTGATACCGCTCTGTCCATCTGCAGCCAGCCAGGATGCCTGGATTGATGTACGACTGTTCTGATACAAATATCCTTTGAAGAGTTCTTCAACTCCCCCATCAAGATTGCCTCCACGCACAAATCTCATCTGTGAATTAATTAATTAATTATTTTTGATTGATTAGGATTAAATGTTAACAATAGTAGATGGTTAATTGTGGTAAGAGGTTGGCTATGCGTCTTTAGAGGTTAACCTATTGACGCCTCTAGCAATGCAATTTGCAGCAATTACATGGAAAGGGATTAGAGATGCGACAATATTGTGATTTACTATATCATCACGAGGAATAACCCCTACCAATAACTTTTCAAGTTATATACATTTTGTTAAAGTGCAAATCATTAGCTTTCCAAAGATACCAAATTTATTTCTGTAGATTAATGTATCAAGAAAGAAATGCCGCATGAACTTCAACAGCCGCTCGTCCCGCCATACTTCGCCGACCTCATTTCAAGAAAAACGATCTTGAAAAAAAAAGATACGCATTACGTTGCCAACGGCAGCGGAAACGTTCTTCAATCTTCCACTTTTTGTAGTATTTTTTTCCCTAACAAAACTGCAAAGTGTAAATGTTGGATACCTTGGCTACTTAAAAAAAAATCGATTTCACCTGATTTTACACGAGCACTTTAAACAAGGTTTTGGGGGACGTTCCTCATTTTGTAACAGGTCACTTTTTTACGCCGCTAACTTTAGCAGATCATTTGCATTTGACCACTTTTGTGTCACATTATGCTGCCTGGATGAATACTCACCATGGGAGGACTAGGATCGACCTTGATGCCACTGGTTTCATGAGAAACATCTAGTTTAGCATGGTTCCTGGCCTTCACTCGTGTCACGTAAAGAGCCCCTGGACGCAGTGTCAGACCACTTTGAACGTGGGACCGAGCCGTGGTATCAGAAATCAATTGGAAGCTATTTGCGTGTTGATCTGAGAAACAAACGAACATGCTATCGCGTCAAAGAAAACCAACACAATGGGACGCACATGATTTTTCTTTATTAGCCTGTTTTGATAACAAACAAAAACCTTTCATATATGACTTGAAGCTTTGCATGGCGGATGAGATAAAGTAGAAAGATTGCGGGTAACACCATGTGGAAAGTAATATCTTCTTGGAAGAAGTGTGGTTCTGAAAAGAACACTCAACCAACCGGTTCTTTTCAGAACCACACTTCTTCCAAGAAGGGATTACTTTCCACCCGCAATCGTTCTACTTTAAAGACATTTCACTAAGTTATAGGTACTTTGTCTTACCCCGAGGAAAGATCTTGTGTTTATTTCCGTGTCGCAACTCGTAGATTGCCAACTCAAAGGATTCGATGCCGGATTCCTCATCAAGGTAGTCCCAGTGCACAGCAAGGCTATCAAAATTCGACTTAAAAAAAAAACAATTTTATGGTACTGCCCCAACTTGTAAACGTAACATATATGGAGAAGGTATTATGGGGTATAGTTTGTAGCGTTAGGCCTATGGGCCATCATTTGATGGTTTCGCTGAAAAGGTGTCGCTATGACCAACTTATGATCTTGTGAAAATACATGATCTTGTGAAAATACATAATCTTGAGGCGTACTGCCAGTGGCGTAGCCCGGAATTTTTCAGTGGGGGAAACATTTTATGGGGGGCGACATGTATATCAATGATAAGTTTTTTTAGAAACTCAAAATCTCAGTGGTGGGGGGCGGCGACTGGGGGGCGACAAGGTTTCATGGGGGGGGGGGCTCTCGCCCCCCACGCCCCCCCCCCGCCCCCACTGTTAAACAATGAGTATTTACGTAGAAAAACTAATGACGCTAATACTACGGCTACAATCATGTGTTCGGACCTTGAACGGAAACTAAAAGGTTGGTAAAGCAAAAATATCCTCACCCATCTAATTGATCCCAATTGTATAATTCACGGCCTTATCCTCAGCATTGATAGCCTTGGTAGAGACATGTTTACCAAGAATAACATTTGTACAAGCGTATTAGTGTAAGCCTGATGTGACAATGTGGGAAATCAGTATCTTGACAGAGACATCAGCCCATTCCCAGAGTTCCCATGCAAGGAATCAGGTCTGCAAAGAACGCATTCATTTGAATATCGATGTGATTCACACTTGGACCTACATGATGATGTTGACTCACCTGGAAGTCAGCATCTTGACCCACATCCAGCCCATCTCCCAGAGTTTGCAGCACTGGAGGAGTCAAGTCGACCAAGAACCCATTAGTCGGTGTATCAATGTGATTGAAAGCCCGGTTGATGGTGCGCAGGTTGACATAGACCTGGTCCTTGTGGTGGAGATGGAAGTGGTGCCATTCAATGGAAGTTGTCTCGCTGCCTACCGAATCTGCTCCGTGGATAACCTCGAAGTCACTTGTGCCACTTAGGAAGAAATTGTAAATAAATGAAAACATTCCAATAATATAATTTGAATAAAAGCATTTCATATAATATAGATTTCAAAGTGAACAAAGACACAATCTGAGAATATGACGGAAAACCTAGATAAATGGGTCCCTGAACTACTTTCGATGGAAATTAAAATTCAAGGAAACTGCACCTTTCAGTATGCTTGCAATAGACTGTAACCTGGTAGTCTTCGATACCAGAGTCAGGATCAGAGAATCCTTGCCAGTGAGAACCAACAGTCGCTGGCCTTGATGAGAAGGCTAGATCATTAGGTGCTGGCAGTAGGCCATCGTAGACATCGCCTTGTATTGGTGGAGTCAGATCCACAATCACTGGAGAGTTAGATGGAGATATTAAAATATGACCATTATTTGACTGAATTCGATGAATATAAATACGCATATCACTGGCACTTCAATTTATTGTTGAGATAAAAGCAATAGGCACTTTGACAGTAAAGATCGAGGTATACTTGCAGATATTTTTTTCGGCTGATGATGATCGTAACGACGGTGATTACGATCATACTAATGATTGTATCAGTACTAAGGAAAATTACCTCCATTAGACGAACTCGAAACGTTAAGTTTATCATATCCACCATGGAAGGCTACCAGCGTTGAGTAATACATCTCCCCGTGCTGTATGGTCACATAACCAGAGCAGGCGCTGTGTTCTCGACCAGACAATTTGATAAAGTCTACCACGTTACTCAGGCCAGGCTGGGTCCCAACCGCCCACAGGTAGGAGAAGATCCCAGACTCAGAGTCAGACCAGTTGTACCAGTTCGCACAAATCTATATCGTTATAAGAGAAATGCATTTAATTACAACCTGCCACCATGAAATGAGAGTACTGTCACGTGAATTTAACGAATGACCAGCCAAAGCCGGTGATCAGGTGTAGACAATGTTCAGCATTTATACAAGATGATATACATATTTACTTCTGTTAACATTTGTCACATTATGTTGTCTGACGACTATTATATCATTCTGTAGAGGGCACTAGTCATGCTTCCAGGTACTTCTCGCGTTCTTGCTGTTGGGCAATAAAAAAGTAGCCGAAGTTATTACCAAAGTTGGATGTCATCCCCACTCTATGTTAATCCACCATCAATTACAACGGTCGTTACCTTATTTCTGTCTTTGGTAAATTCCAGATCCTGACGTGCGTAGGGCCCATCAAACAAGGCTCCAGCAATTGGTGGAGTATCGTCTACGAGAATTGGCTCGTCAGCATGGTCTATGGTGCGCAGGTCAACTGCATAAGACAACAATAAACCGTATATGTTATGCATGTTGCAATTGCAAGGACCTATGTTCCAACCAAAAAGAAAGAGTGCATACAATCAGGTAAACCAGGCATTAATTAATTTGCTGCCATGGATAATAAGCATGGGATACTTCAAATCACATCAGTACATGTTTACCTCTGTTGACTGCTCTGATTTTGACCCAGCACGGAACGCCACTTGGAATTCTGAAGTCCATGAAGAGCTGTTTAGCCAAATCGTGAGCCTCCCAATCACGCAGTGATATATCCCTGGGTGTCCTTCCTGCTGCTAGATGATACTTAGACAGATGGGAGTCGGGATCGCTGTTTAAAGTCACATTAAGAGATAAGAACGGTATTTAATCAATTGGGCCAGAGTTGTATATGACAGACCTTTATCTTCTTGTTCGCTGAGTCTAACGAGTCAGAATAGTCACACACGAAATACTGCATTAAGCACCCTAACACCGTAGCCCTTAACTCTATTACGTGATATCTTGGGAGTTGCAGACAAGATTTAAAGTAGAATAAGAACCCCACCGGCAATAATATAAAACTGTGTCTGTTTCTGGGATGCCAATAATTAACCAAACATTCAACAAACTGGAAAAACATATCGAAATATATGCCTTTGGTGTTTATACTTTTGGCTCGTGGGTCCTATGTTAACTTGATTATTTTCATGTGGCATTGTCAATGAAAATATTCTGGAAGGACGTTTATCTGCTTAATTGGAATGGCAGGAGTTCGGATAAGATAATTAACCATTCGGACAGAACCAGTCTACGGTGCTTGATATGAGGGTTGTGTACTGGACAGTAGTATTATAAGGTTCATATTTTGTTGGTCTGCTCATAGCTTAGACCTTTGGTTGCAATTGTGTTGGACCTTTACAGGTCCTCGATTTAGATCGATATCGCCAAAAAACGAATATAACATTGAGCTAGTAAATTTCGGCTATTTTAAGTTAGTAATAGCATACTTAGGTTTGATGTTCAGCCATTTTTCAAGTATAGTTTCGGCAATGGGGACGCACCACCCGCCTCCACTGTAAAATGAAGTGTAGTAACTGTGGCCAGTAACTAACTGTTCCTTTGTGTTCCAAAATATAGTCATCAAAATTGGTACCAGAACATCACCAAACACACCAACTCAATTATGGTAAATGGTTAAAACGTTGACGCCTGTTACCCGCTTTGCAAAGTCTCTGCCATGCTTTTGGGTCCATATCGCCCAAACGACACGGAGGGTATCAATTTTGGAGGGAGTATGTCCCGATTGAGAAGTTAGAAGAACATAGTCAAAATATCTACAGATTCCCCAAGTTTTTGAGCACTTCAAGATAACTTCACGCTCCGAAGTGTGGCAGGTAGCAACGTCGCTTTAAATGTAATTTTTCATAAATAATACTCACGTTGCGTTGATCCGCATTCCAATTCTACCGATGGACGAGTCATAGGTGATGTCGCTAATGCTGTAAATGATGGGTGGAGTATTGTCGATAATTAGAGGATTGCTGTGACACACAGTGAGTGCCATTGGCCCGCCGAACTCTACCTTGTTGAGAGCACGCACAGTGATGTAATATGCACCATCTGTTGAGAAAGATATTAGCATTACATTTTCTCTCATTGTGGAACAAAAGTGGAACCCAAATCCCAAAAAAATACATTTCATATATATAAAAAAAATATGTAACACCAAAAACTAATAATGACTGGAAAACCAATTTCATAAGAATCTTTAAGTTGAAAAAAATACGGAAATTGCTCAATCCATTCAAAGAAGATCACCATTTAAACACAAAAATCCAAAAATGCAATTTCAAGAAACGTCGTCACACTTGTCTTTAAACATCACCTGCGATAAAACCTCTCTGTAAAATTTCACCATATTAAACAAAGTCCTTTTGAAAGCCCATCTTTAAAAAAAAGTGGATCATATAATTTGTTTGCCCAACAAGGGTTTTTAATAAAGACATTGTACAGTTGACAGTTGCTGAAGCAAGTATTCTGTGTCATTTTATTTCTTCTTTAGAATACTCGGAATACACAATAAATAGGTTTAGTTTTGGACAAAACAGGTTTTGAGTCATTGCGTTAAAATGGTGATATTCTTTGAACGAATTGAGCAATTTCAGTATTTTTTTTATCTAAAAATAGTTTCTGAAATTGGCTTTCCAGTCATTATTATTATTATTATTGCTTCATTTTTTGTTTGATGTGAAATAGAATTTTGGGGGTTTGGGTTGCGCTTTTTTTTTTTACTCGCCCTGTATTTCAGAAATGACTTATAAACTGACGAAAAGTGTAGCGTAAAGTTACGTTTGGCATGCATGGAAATTCTAGCAGGACGTTCAGTTTTGACAAGAATATATAGCTACCGATAAACAAACAGTTACTTTTCCTTTTCACCGTCGAGCTGTAATAGATAGAGAAAGAAGTTGGCTTGTAAGGTAACATTACACAAAATACTATTGTTTTCATAACTGTGGAGTGAATTAGGTTAATTATATTACTGTAATTATCAATTCCGTTTTAAAACAAAACCGCTGTGTAAATATAGCAAATCTCTGTCATGTCCTCCAAGTGTTTTAATATTTGGGAAATGAAAAAGTACCTGGCAGATGAACGTTGACGACAAGTCCTTGGTGAGTCCACTCTGACTCATCAAACAGATGAGCGTGGGGGTCAACATGCATGCTGACATCATCATCGCAGACAGCGTGACCAATGGACCAGGTGTAGCCATGGATTCCTGTCTCATTGTCATGGAAACCGTCCCAATTTGCTTAAAAGAAGATTCGAACGGGATATGATTTAATCCATTTATCAAATGGTGCTTTTGGGCGCAGCTACAAAAATATCCCAGTGTTGCTATCACAGGGTACATAAGGAGGACTACAGCATGTTTTATCCGTCATTGAGCAATGTTAACAGCCTGTTATAAACACTAAGTTTCTATTACAAGACACCCTCGCTAATTCTTTTTTTTTGGCTAGCTTAAACAAGATCACATGCGATTAATATCAATCAATATTATGCATGTATATGCCCAATCTGGCCTGTGGGTAAATATGACCCTTGCAGTCAAGCGGCGGCGGAACAGTTTTCAAACTGAGAGGGGAGGGGCATCACCAAAAATGGGCACTTGCTCAATAAAAGCCATCTTCCGTCAGTGCAGCAGCGTATCAAGCATTTTCTTCTTTTTTTGCACATCCGTGCTGAAATGTCGCCACGTTGTTTTTCACACTCCACACTTCATATACTGGGGGGGGGGGGGGGGGGGGGGGGATGGTACCATCTTCCAAAATAGGGGGCGCTCTTCAAAACCGGCCATTATGCAAACTTCGCGTTAAGTTAGGGTTTTGGGCTTGGTTTTCATATTCCTAGTTCATATAAGAACTTTCTATAACATTTTGGAAATGGTTACCCTATAAAATTATCTGAAATGTTAGGGCCGGTTTTGTTTTCATCTCGAGGGGGCACTTTTATGTCCGCAAGAGGGGCACTTGGGTAAATCCGTTCCGCCGCCCCTGCTTGCAGTCAATCAGGGTTGCTAGACGTGCACTAGTAACCTCATTTCCAGTCAATTAGTAAGTAAAGTTTCGCCAATCATTTCTTCTGGCGATGAAGGTGCTGCTTTTCATACACAGCTTGTCCACACATTACTGATGATTTTCAAATAATTATACTCGGTCAAACAAAGATACGTTCATCTCATTGCCAACGAGACTTGTAAACCCGTACCTGCTATGAAAGTATTGCTTCTGGTATACAGCAAATCAATCAGTTCCTCGTAGCCGTTAAATACAGTCCTAGAACCAGGACCATCAGTAATATACCTGAATATAAATCACAAGACAGTGAAAGTTAGAGAAATCATCACAACCAACAAACAAATCCAGTTGCGTTATAAAGCTTTATTTAAATGATACGGAGCCAACGGGAAAAATTCAGGCAAAATGAACATTTTGGAAGTTTGATTAATTAAACTTCCTGTTCTGTGCAATGACCATTACAAATGTCTAAACATTGTGAACACGTTTTTCATCCAAAATAGGCCTAGAGAGCAGACAAATCAAGTCAGTGATAAACAAATGCCACAAACGATTGCTCGCACGCTCGTTTATATTTTTGGTTGCAACAGTATGAATACCCCATATTTTCCCCTTGTTTTGTTCCAATTGTTTGGAAAAGTTTTTCTTAAAAATGTCACACAAATTTCTACACGAAACCCACCCTAAGTTACGTGCTGAGCCAAATTAAAATAACCAGCCAATGAAATTACTTACTCTACACACGTGATATTGTTGTGCAAGATTCTACTAATAGTGATGCGGCATAGCCACAATAGGCTAAAATATTGTGCAAATTGTGATAAAAGCATGAAACTTCGCATGTTGGTTCTTCATGCCAGGATAAAACATTTCAGATATGGAAGCATTTCATATTTGACCTCTGGTGACCTTTAGAGGTCAATGAACTTTGCATGCACTATTCATAACTTTTGTTCTTTAAAAGTTCACTTTCCAATGACCCAAGTCTGTGTCATAGGTCTCCATACAATGAAAATAACCATCAGAAGTGGAAAAATTCATATCTGACCTCTGGTGACCTTCGAGAGGTCAATGACCTTGTTAAACCTGTTTATAGCTGTTTGTCAGATTTAATTTTTAAACCGCACCTTGTTTTTCACAATTCAAGTTTAAATGAAAGGTGTTCATGCTGTAAATAGAATTGTCATATATAGGTCATTTCATATTCAACCTCTGGTCACCTTACGAGAGGTCTTGACCTTTGTAAAACAATAGCCTACATATGGATATTAATAAGATTTTCATAATTGTAAATGCCACTTTTTTCATGACCCAAGTCTGAAGTTTGACTCTTAATAACATGAACAGATTTGACGTATATAGTGCAAATAGTGCAAAGAACGGTATTGCACCTTTTAATTTACAGTCATGTTATAAATTCAGACCCACAAACAATTTTGAGGTGACCTCTGACCTCGTTTCTCCTTGTTTTATTGGCAGACGCAATATGATGGAGATTGGAGTATAATTCTGTGGGTCTGTTTTGTAATGGAAAATGTACATATATGTCAAGCAATATCAACTCTTGCGTATCCACTTGGACTTGGAAAGCCACGTTTTTAACCTTTTTACCAAGACCAATGGTCACATAAGAGAGTGATGCTTTTCCGATGTGTCGCTTATATTCTTTCACGTTAGCGTCTGCCCCTATAAGTAGGAAAATTGAGATTGGTTGTCATGCCCAAAAAAAGCTTTGTGGTCAGACTTCATGGCACCGCTTAGAATAATTATGAAAATACACTCCTTTTGCTCTAATTAGACTAATTCAGTCATGAAAAATGGCATTTGGAAGATTAAACATGATAAATAACGACAATAAGTGTACCCAAAGTTCATTGACTTGAAAAAGGTCATCAGAGGTAAAATATGAAATGTCTACACATCTAAAAATTCATATTATGGAAAGAATATCCAAAATTTAGATATGGATAATAAAAAAGTGGTGTATTGAATAGTTCATTCTCTTAATATCTATAAATAGGGTACGCAAAGTTCATTGACCCTTTGAAGGCCATCAGAGGTCAGATGTACGAGATTCCCTACATATGAAATCTTTTCATAGCATGAGCCACTAAACATTATGACCTGAGGCTTGACAAAAAAAATTGGGGTTTAAAGGGTATATCGTATAAATAACTATAAATAGAGTAAGTGCAATTAATACAAAGGTCATTGACCTCTGGAAGGTCATCAAAGGTCAATTGTGATTTATTTTCGCATTTGCTCGTTATTTACATTGTATGAAGACTATACAAAAACTTAGGTCATAGGAAAGTGAGATTTTCAAGAACAAAAGGTATAAATAGAGTATTCAAAAGGTCATTGACCCCTCAAAGGTCACCAGGGGTTAGATAAGAAACTGCCTCAATATCTCAAAAATTTTGTCATGGCATGAAGAACCACCTTGCGAAATTTCATGCTTTTATCACAAAATGCACAATTCTGTCCCTATGCCGCACCACTATAAAGCCAACCGCCGTTCGTCCCCGGTTTTTAAAATAACGCGACCGATTAACAACAATACATGTAATGTACTTTCATTGGCTAGTTCTCCGCATGTGGCTCAGATTACCAGTACACATTTAATTGCCTCACGAGGCAGAAAACGCAGCAAAATTTAACACACACGGTGAGATATTTTGTGAGCTACGTGCTGAGCAAACGGCCTCGAATGACTTTTTTGCTCAGCTCTCCTGTATGCCGTGCTTCACATTCTTGTATTTGCCTAAAGGGAGTTTCAAGCTATAAGCAGTACTTTAAGCAGTGATATTTACCGATGGTTATTCAATGGTGTGTCTTCAATGCATCGCCTCTCCCACTCCTCTGGTGTGAACTCCGCACAAGCTTCATGCACCACCTCATCCCTGGTCCCATTCACGATCAGCCCCGGTTCTGGTGGAGTAAAGTCTGCTAAGATGCCGATGGATGAAATAATATTCTCATATCCCACGTAGTTCAGAAGCTCTATGTTGAAGTAGTAGAGGTTGTTGTGGACAAGAAGGAGGGATTCGTGGTTGAACTCTACAGCGTGACCCACACCGATGCGCTCATAATGAGAGAAAGATCCGTACTGAAACACAGCAGATTCATAACCTCAACCTAATTATACTGTAAAAATAAAGATCATAATGCAGCAAGTACCATCTTTAGACAGTCTGTCGGCGCCCCAAGTATCTGCTGACATGAATTCCTAGATTCTCTTGATTCTTAACTGATCAGAATGCTTCCGTCCAATTCTTGTACCAATTGCCACACGTTATGTACAAGTTATCCAACTCGCTAATAAGGTTCGAAGTAGGCTACACGCGTATCAGGGTCGAATATGCACAAACCGTCGCCGTTAGTAAGTGCCATATCGCACTCTAAGCTACGCGCACAGTGGGACAGTATGCTGTACGTATCAGTCAATCTTCCTGCGAGGTACGCGGTTTGCGGTGAGCAAAACCCGGCCAATTACCGACTTGACATCAAGTCTACTTCCACCTTGATATGAAATCTACTTCCACTACAAGGGACCCATGTTAAGTTACTTGGATTGAATGCAGTATTCAAAGAGGGGACATAGGTAACACAATTATGATTGATTTGAAACAGAATAATGGAATTTGGAGGTGCATCTAGTTGTGTTCGATGAACTCTATGGGGGTTGTTATTGGGTGAGATTTAATTTTCATGATACCTTGTGAACTTCAACCCTGTGACCCTCAATCTCCTCTAGTAGTTCACATGTAAAATCTTTGTAGTTGTAGTTAATACTTAGACAGTTTTGGAGCGCCAGGCAGTCCCGTGCACAGAAGTTGGGGTTGCGATGGGTGATGGTTGACTTTGGCTTAGAGACGAGGCGGCCTTCCTTGGCAGCGGTGAAGTAGTCAAAGTCATTGTCTGTAATTTGAGAAACGCATGAAAGGAAGTGATAAGCTGCTTTCGCAGTGCAGAGCGTTAACATTGTGTTCGGTTTCTCTAAGTTTTTTTTATTCCTATTAGGACGGGGGCATGAAACTGAGAAAAGTCAACCACGCAACCTGGGAGATATTACAACCTGCTTGACAATGGTATCGTGCTGCTTCTATTGAAACTAATATATTGAGCAATGTCCAACTCACATCTTATTTTTTCCTAAACCCCAAACAAGATATGAGAAGACCAGTGTATTAAGAGGGTCATTGAGCACGTCATGAAGTATTCATGAGCAACTGAATCAAAAAGTACATCCTGCTTACTTGAAAATACAAGGTGCTGCCTCTCCGTAATATTGATGGTATTCCACGGCACAATCTGATCGCCCCAAGTTTCGGGGCCGAATCCAACGCTTTCTTGTTGCATCAAGATGATGGAATCGTCGTACACCACGGCCGAGGCGCGGAGTATGTGCGGGTGACTGGTGGAGGTGAAGTCTGGCGTGATGCGACCCGTCGGCAGGGTGATGTCAAAGGTCGGCAGGCTGCATGTAGCCGTTGAAGTGCCTCCTCCATTATTCATGGCGTACACAGTGAAGTAAAGAGGATGCCCTCCGAGGAGTGTCTACAAAAACAATGATGAACAAATTGTGCATTGGAAATGTCATAGTGGTATTTGAAAAAAAGAGGAAGTGTTACTCGTTTGTAACAATGCTACAAAAACAGTACAAAAACCGATCTTATACGGTTCATGTATAACCTCTTATTTCTGTTAAGAAATTGGGATGGAGGGTTACTGTAAAAACGAAGTAGATAAAATTGAGAAAAACAAATCTTCCCCAACTGTGTACCTGTTGTCATGTTCTCATGTTTAATATAGTTTTCCTCCAGCATGATGTACAACAAGTGAATGACTCCTGGAGTTCATTTCAGGCTCAATACATTGACGTAGTAACCAAAATGCCTTAATATAATGCCTTTCATATGCGACTAAGACTCTGGCAGGTAAATCTGCAAACTCTGGCAGGTAGGCCTAATCTACCCCAACGTCATGAAATATCCAGTCCGTGAGATTCTGAATGACATCAAGAATGCTTCTGACTATTCACTATTAACCTGCCAAGTCAAGTTTTGTAAAAATGAACACAAACACCCTAATTATACGTGCGTATTCTCATTTTGTTTGTAACGGTATTTTAATTTTTACCTGTGAAATGATGGCCGACGGTCCTCCAAACTCTGTCTCAGAGACAACATCGCTTCCTCCAGGAGCTGTCCCGACCTGATAGAAGAACGTCACCAAGCTCTTGTCATCGGCCGCTGCAATCTCAAGCTGGAAGGCTGGCTCTGTGTAGTCTAGTCCGGGAACCTGCTCAACGCCACACATATCTCTGCCTGTCACGCTTCTCTTAGCGGACCCAACTTCATTCTTATATAAAAAATACAAAAAACATTTCAACAGCTTCAAAGTGTTCACGATCTAGGCGTTGGCATCTTCAATGGCGTGGCCAAAAACAGAATGAGGAAATATGAAGCATAATGTTTTTTCTCCGTGTGTGCATACAATTTGATCGTGTTTTGTTTTGTTTTGTTTTTTGGTTTTTTTGTCAAATTGTAATAGGCTAGTGATACCGTTTTCAAAGTCTATATGCTACAAATTTTCGAAGGGAATAGCTGGTATGAACTTAATCACATGTACATAGATAGTTATTATAAGTCATTAATTTTATAATGAATAACTGACGGGTGTTCGTGTGCATGTGCTGTTGAAGCACGAATGTGAGCCTGCAATTCGGTACGTTACAAAATAGCTACTGCTCGCATCATTTTACTCAAACTTAGATGATTAATATATATTATCTCCGATTTTTGCTAATATTTTGGCAATATTTATCTATTTTCTTTTTACACAAAATAACCCCGCTTGTTAAGTAATGTTTTACACCAGATTAATCGTTTGCGGGCTAGATCGATAGACAATTTCCGATAAGAAGCATTTTCTTTTAGTCTACCTGCATGGAGACTGGCTACTCGAGGTAACATTAGGCCTAACAAACACCAAAAAATAATGCAAAAGTTAAGGCAGTAAATTGCAAAGTTTCTGCTAACAAAAATCCTCAAAACTTCAAATGTGGGAAACAAACTGACATCAAGCTGATATTCGGCTCAAATCAGTGAATACTTTGAGGCTTTTGTGGAGGATGTAATTTGCGGCAGAAAGTTCTGCCATATGCATCCTGATTAAAATTATGACCCAGGAAGAACGCGGAAGATGCATTCAATGTGTAAAAGAAATGCTCAATCCTTTCATTTGTCGAGATGTGACCAATTGTTGTGTACGCCCGATCTAAAGCTCACCCGGAGCGTATTTTAATCAGGTGCATTTTTGAAGTTTGTACCTAAACGAGAAAACCAAATTGCCCATATTTTCAGAAATCCTTGTGCTCATTACAAGAAAGAAGATACATCTAGCGCACTTAATAATGTTATATAGGCCAGCAGCCCAGGTAATTTGAACACTGAGGTTATAAAGACGAAAAATTATTATTAAGATATTACATAGAAATAATATAATCTTGTCAACTGCACTTAATATTTAAACTTGTGACCGTTTCACGACCTATCCCTGACGCTTCTTTATAATGTCATAAATTTATAAGATGTTTTAATATATCTTACCACTGGTGTTGAGTATTTTTCAATCGCAGGTGGTGACTTGTCAGGTTCCTTGGTGTGAATATCGAATATGTTTTGTCGCATGGTTGGAACCTGATAGCGCCATATGTCACCCTTGAATAGTGTAATTTTTCCCAGAAGAGGTATTTTCAATGTCACCAAAGCTCGTAGACGGATTATCAGGGGGATCATTTCCACATCCATCTTTATTCTGAAAAAGTGAAGAGCAGTAACGTTTTTGTAGTGTGTGTGTGTGTGTGTGTGTGTCGAATTAAAGCTTTAGTCATTAATTTTGTTTAGACCACTACCGTACTGCACTTTGAATGTGTGTCGACTGTAATATATGCATTTATATGCAGGTGTTGCATGATTCTATTGTGTCCCTTATAAATTTGTTTTGCATTATTTCTTACTATTTTAACCCTTATTATTGGGCTGGGTTGTTTTGAACATCTCACAGCCGAGGAGAAACCGCCCCCCTCCCTCAAATCTCGGCCATTGAGTGACGAAAAATGATTAAACTATGTGGATGAATAGAACAACTTAATACAAACGTACCCAAGAAATGTCATATAGGTCAAAGGGTTTTTGAATTATGGCTACTTAAATATTCATAGGCACCAATGGTAATTCTGCTTTGTGTTCACTACTTATATTGTGAAATTCAGTTTTTGCGCCGGAAAATCTTTGCGCGGCAACCTGTGGCCCGAATGTTATGTTTTTGGTAGAAAACAATGCGCAAGACTCGAGCTCGGGTCGCGAAAAAAAAAGTGCAATTAAGGGTATCGCTGAAAAATGTGAGGGGAGCAGATTCGGCCCCCGGCCCTTTTAGGGTTAACATTCTCACAATAATTCATGTTGGCAAGCTACGATGAATTCACGGTGTTATTATAAGAAGTCAGTTTAAACAAATATATTAGTACATAGGCCTAAGCATTTTCCTTTTCCCCAAAAATTACTCCATTTCCTTTATAAACTTCGGCAAATTGGGAAACAAATCCCCCCCCCCAAAAAAAAAAATGAGGTTGTTTCCAGATATATATTGGTCGATTTATATTATCCACGACCCATCATACTTACCCAACATCCAGTGGGAACTTAGAGAACGTGATCTCAGCTACAGTAGGGAACTTAGTGTGAAGCACATCGGCAATCAGCTCGAGCTCCGCATGCAAGATGAATCCAACAGATATACCGGCACTTGCATACGCGCCTACCATCGGTGTTATGCCACCCTACACAAATAATAGTTGGAAACATATTCTAATTATTTATTTCCAAAAAAAAGTCGCTTTTCGTTCTAATCGAGTGAAAATATTGGACAGACGATATAAAATGGAATTAGTTCGATCGCCGAGATATGTTTATGTTTGCCCGCATGTGACACGAGTGATTCTTATTCATTTTTTGTATTTCGAATAGAAAATTAACGTGCACTCTTGCTATGTTTTGTCGGCCATAGTTAAACTCTTTGAATATATTGCAAGGGAAAACTTAACATCGGAATGTAAATGTATGAGAGCAATCCTGAGGAAAATGTAATGAAGGAGCATGCCGCTTGTGCTGAATTAGTCTGTTAGTCGTTTGCGGTCTATAAAATTCCCCACGAATAGTCCTCAAGGGGAGACTTATATTGGTACGGGAATGAAACATTTGGTCATAATTCCTCTCATTTTTTCTTTCAGTTTACCGACCAATGATTTCATTGAGACCGCTTTCATTTTTTATTTAAAAACCACTTTCTTTATTTTGATTTTTCTTCTCAGGTGAAAACCTTCATTTGATGTTTTTGAAGTGACGCAAGTGATTCTTTTCCATTTTTGTAGCTGTGGTTTATTTCAGAGTTGAAAAAAAAATGTATAACAGGAAATCCTACGCATGTTTCAATCGTACCGTGGCTTTCATGGAAACGATGCCAACGCCTACTGGTATCTCCATGTCAAAGAAACCCCCGGCTTCGATGTCTGAAACAAGTAAAAGTAACTATTCATCAGATGAAATTGGCGTCGGAGTGATGTAAATTCAATATAGTTTTGCCCTTCGCCGACGTATTTTATAAACACTGAATTCTCAGTGTTGTCCAGAGTGGCTGCGAAAAGTATTCACAAACTGATCGGCCTGGACTCGAAACCACGACGTCCTGCTTCAAAGAGGTCTTACCGCTCGACCAGCGAGCTTCTTGGTGTCGGTTGGCTAGATGGAGTCTGATAGAGCAGCTAGTACCCCAACCAAAACATTCAAAAGAAATGCGTTTTAAAGTTTCTTTTATATATCACATATATTTCTTGAGCCCAAACCTATTCCACGCAGCAATCCAAAAATCTTCGATATTTCTTAAAAGACTTTGCACTTTCCTGGTAAAATAACCGGTATTTAGTGGCTGAAACACTTCCGAGGTTAACGATTTCCAACCAGAAATGTCACAATTTCAACATAAAGACAACCATGGGGACCAAAGCTGAGTTTTGAAGAAACACTGTCGGGGTTTCCTCCCAATGTCCAGAGGCTAATTGTTTTGGCATGCACTCTCGTGATTGGTTCAATAAGTACTTGGAACAGTGCCATGAAACATGTGTCGAACTTACCAAATGTCAGATAGATGAATCCACCAATTGGAAATCCCCAGCTCAAAGAAAAGAACGTAGCGTATCTTCTAGGGAAGGGGATCGTCCTACTTAAGATAATGTCAAACTGTTTGAAGTCGTCGCCTGCCTTGCCATTGATGACCACGTCGATAAACTCGTCAATCTTTCAACAAAATAAATGTTATCATTAAAGAATTATCATAAACAATGGTGCAAAATTGCACTCCAATCAAATGCCGTTGATATATTGCTGTGTGCAAAGGCTGATTTATTTCTTTTGTCGAATTGTTGTCTAAAGACGACAAAAATACTAAAAATTTACTCACAAAGGTCCTGAAAACGGCACGTAGTTCCTTCATCAACTGTCCCACAGTGAACGGGTCGATATTCTGAAGATCCAGCATTGCTTCTAACTCACCGATGGACATATTGGCGATATGTCGGTCTAAAGCATCAAGACCTTTCTCTATTGTGAGTCAATGGTAAAAATAAATCACTTTTTTATAACAAATGTCGCTGGGTACTTCTACGAATTCCGATAGGGAGATTTATCATAAACTTTCTTTTGCACGATACCATCACATTTAAAATAAAACACCGAATGTGCGATGTTTCAAACTGGAACATTTTTTTCAGTATCACGAAAACCGTGGGCCTTTACAATTATAAAAAAAAAAAATCTGCTTACCACATGCACAAAAGGTCATTACCAATTCGCAAACCGATTAGCCACAATGTTTTTCTGCTGATCAGTTGATTTTTTTGCCACTTTTAGAAGGTACCCTCAAGGTTGTTGCGAAGGTACAAAAGACAAAATCTTATGCATAATTTTGAAGATCTTTTATAAGCAGCGTGACGCACTGGCCCGCAATGACTTTTACGAACTCACAGGACGAAAACTGCCCCTAATTGCGTCTAATTAAAACAAAAGAGTGTAGGGCTATTGAACACTTGAACCTGCTGTTCTGAAATGATTCTTGGACGGGAAAGCTCTTACATTCCTCAGTAGATCATTATCATGTTGCGGCCATGTTGATTTGTTTTTTCATTCAAAGCAACGTAACCAAAGCGAGGCTGGTAGGAAAATTAGTCAAGTTCCTTTTTGCACAAAAAAAATATTCAGTATTGTTATTGGATACAGGGAACATGACTGAAATGGTGGCAGCACGATAAAGGACCATTGGGAAAGTTTACCTTTTGAAAGTTCTTTTGTAATTGAAATGTACTTACGTGTTAATCCTCCACCAATGATGACATCTCCCTGCCATGTGCCCGAGTCATCGCCTGGCGTAAGCCTGAACCCAAACAGACTTTCTTCACCTAACACAAATCAAAGGATTCGTGTTTACTCAGACTGCTTGACAAAGGAGCACTGACTCATTTGAGCATATATTATCGTTGGAAGTAGGTGTTAGGGACAAGTGCCACGCTCAATATTGAAGAAGAAAAAAACACTCAGTGTTTAACTTGCAACCGTTTTTTTTGCAACAATTTACAAACAGTGTTAACTTCATAAAAGTTGTTGTCATAGATTTATCCAACATGTGATTTTCATAGCATTCAACTTTAAACACTGTAAAAACAAAAGCGTGCATAAGTTGAACACGGCGTTTAGTGTGCATAACGTTTGCAATGCAATGGGAATGTTTGTAATTTGTTTTCCTGGAAGTGAACATTTTAGCTACAAGCAGCTGCAGAGCCAGCTGTGTGAGGCATTGTTTTGGGTAAAAAGATACCTGCTTAATGAATCCAAGACCGTTAAACACGTTACAATGTTTATAAACATTTGCAAAAATGCGTTTATAATGCAATCAAAAATTAAATACTACATGTTTTACAGTGCACTGAGTATTTTACTCGTTTTTAAGCATTACCTATATTGACGGAGAGAGACAGGTCCCTTCTCCTTCTCCTAGTAACTGGAGTTCCATCTTCATTACCGAAGACGAGAAGGCCCATTGAGCGACGGCTCGCTGTGCCTGATTCAGCAACCCCTACATTAACAAGAAATGATTAATTATGCCATTCTAATTGCTAAAGAGCATTAAACATATTTATAATTCACCATATTTATTATGTGCATGGAATTCTTGTGGTATGCTGACCAGTTATTCGTGTTCTTAGTTACTAGCCTCCTTTAGCTGAAAACAAAATGACTATGTTTAGAATGCCTACAGGAAGTAGTTGAAGCACTGGAGCAGCGTTATTTTTATTGTTATGCAACCAAACTTTTGACGACTCATTTAAGACCCACTTCAAACCTAAAAAGCTGTAACTCACTGGGTTTGACCACTTTCTCCGGCTGTAGCTTCGTCATAGCGTTATCCTCTGCTGAATATGAGATGGAGCCTCCACTAAGAAGGGTCTTAAAGTAGGCCCTGGCCTTGTCTACAAGACTAACTGTCACATCCTCCATAGCGTCCATTCCCTTGTCAGATTCACTAGCACTTTCAAAAAGCGTGATAAGAAAAACAAATTGTGTAAACTTACTTGGAATTGAGATATTGGTTTGTTATGAGCGAATTCAATTCAAATCAATGCAACTTTATGTCCATTCAACCATAACCTAAAAGAAAATCAAGAGGCAGAAACAAAAATAAACAAAATGTGTATACACATTTTGTTTTTCTCATACATGTGTATGGGAAAACAGGAAAACAGAAACAGACATATGAAAGAGAGTGTAATTAATTAATTAATAGCTTGATTAAGCCTAGGCCAGTAAGTGGTAGTCATCGAAAAGACACATTTGATTGTACATCAAGCAGATGCAGACGATATTATGTATAATGTGTGTGTGCGAAAATAGGTCTATGAAGGATAATATTTTGTTTCCACTCACAGGTCCCCCACACTTCTTCTCTTCCTCCTTGTGCTGCTGCCTCCACCTTGATCATCACAATGTGATCCTGAGAACAATGCATCTCTGAGAATGACAATGGGTTCATCACACACACCCTGCCAGCATAAGCTGATGTCTAGATCAACGTCATAGATAGTATTGTGGGGACGCTCCACATCATACCTGCAAAGAATAAGAGTCAGTGCATGCTGAATTATAATTGTCCACTCACAGGTCATCCACACTTCTCCTCTTCCTCCTTGTGCTGCTGCCTCCACCTTGCTGATCAGCACAATGTGATCCTGAGAACATTGCATCTCTGAGAATGACGATGGGTTCATCACACACACCCTGCCAACACAAACTGATGTCTAGATCCACGTCATAGATAGTATTGTGGGGATGCTCTACGACATACCTATATATAAATATATGAAGGTCGTAGTGTGGGTTTTTTGGTTCAAAATTAATTAAAAAAAAAAAAAAATTGGGGGACATTGCAGAGCGATTTTTCAAATATTCACTGATGCAACAATGCACATAAAGGGCACTGAATCACTGTTTTAACACAGGTACAAAGCGGTTTTCTGTTTTTAAGTGTCATGAGTGGACACTAATTCTTAATAGTTTTTGGCCAGTGGTTCTCAATCAATGCTCGGTCGTGGCTGAAGAGATGCAAATAAGGTTTGAAGAAAAAGCTAAAGAAAAGGCCTTAAATTAATATGAAACCATTTGACAGTGTTCAAGTCGATAACATTTATGTATTAATCTCTTATTACTGATTACCTTTTTTAAATACTTTGTCAAATCCACCAGATGCTTACCATACAAAAATATGTTGTAAGTTTTCTCGAAAAGCTGTTAATGACAGAAGTGATATATCACAGTTTGCCTCTAGCTACTTCAATACCAATCAAAATGTATGTATGCATTGCCCTCAACTTATGGCTCAACTTACCTGATTTTCAGAACTCCAATGTTTTTCTCAAAGGCATGACCTGCAGAGATATGAAATTAATAAGAATAAAATTGTACATTAGGTTCTGTAGAAACACTGGTAGAAACACTGGTCGAAACACAATTCGAAACACTTGCAAACACACAGATCTTTCTCAACACCGGCAATAATCGTGCCCCCCCCCCCCATTGTCCCTAATCCTCATTCCCTTTTTTTTTGTAGCATAAGGTCTCATTGTTTTTGTACACGAATTTCGATCGTGGACTATCGGTCAATTGTGGACTATTGTTTGTGTCCTAACCATCTTTTCCTAGGTCCACGATTGCCGGTGTTTACATACTCATACTAACGCATGCTGACTGATCGTTTTCAGTACTTTGAAATAAGACCGTTACTAGAATGATGCTTAAAATGATAGTTCTGAAACACTACAATAAAGTGGGGAAGCACTTTACAGACTACTTTTTAATATCTATCCTTTAAATTTAGTTCCAAGCACTACTATCTTCGTGAACAGAATTCTGGATATTATAAACATTTTCTTACTTTGAAGTAGTTTTATGCTAATTGTCTCCAAGTGACTCCACTTTTCAAAGCCAAATGAAAACATGCCAGCGCAGGGGTCTAGCTTCATCCACACAGAAAATGACCTCTGAAATATGCCTAGGTCAAGGTTTAAGCAGCATCCCACCCCGAGACATGACTGGTCCAGGGAGCAGTACGGTCCGACGGATGATGGCAGAGCAAGAGAGCTGCAGCCTGTTGGACCATGAAGGAAGAAATTGTTGTACCAACAACAGTTTAATGTTTTCCACTTTTCATGTCATATTGCAACGTTAACCCTAAAACGCAAGGTCTACTAGTCCTGGTTCCTGTAAAACGGAACACAGACTTGGCACAGTAAGATATGACAACTTGCCGATGGTTGATGGTGTGATTTGCTCTGGTGGCCCTCTACACGGTTGAGGCAGGAGAACATCAACGCTGACACCGAGACGGTATACTACGAGGCCACTTGCGTAATCCCCAATATCACCATCTGAGAAAAATATAACATGGATAACACTAACACATTGCAAATCTTTTCCAACAATACGGTGAATAAGTATACAAATTAAACTGATTATTTTTAAGGTGGACTTACCCAGGTCTTGAGCCCACTCCAAAGTACCGTTGGGATGACAGAATGGTATTGGTGCTGTGAAGTCCTGAAGGATGACAATGTCAGGAGCACAGACTCCAGCGATGCAGAGTTGCAGGGAGAGGGAGAGGAGAAAGTTACGGTTGTCTGCAGTCTTGTCGACGGTGAAGGTGAGCCAGACCGCATTACTAAGTCTTTCACTGGTGACCATGCCCCACCTATAACTAAAGAATTCAGAGATTCGTTACTAAATTCATTTGAACAATTGCAAATGCTTCCTGGCTCCATGTGCTTTCACCACTACCTGTGCTGTCAAATTTGTGTTAAAATTATTCCCTTGGGATTGGACTTCCCCTCAAATAAAGACGCTTTGTCATACCTGATAAGTGTGAGATTGTAACTCCAATTCTCAAAACCAACACTCAGCTTTAAATCACAGGGGTCTAAAATCAGCCAGACCCTCAGAGTGCGACTGATGATGCCGAGGTCTACTGCCAGGCAACACTCCACCCCTAGGCAGGTATCTGAATAGTGACACACACCCCCTGAAGGAATGCTGGGCAGAAGGGGAAGTTGTGGACAGGCTACGGGAACAGACAAAAGTACATTTCAGGGCGTGATGAACTTGTAGTAAAATGTATTTCAAAAAAAATATTTATTTTGCAGGTTAGGAACAGAAGTTCAATAGAAACTTATTCGAGTATGTATCCCGTTAAAATAAACACCTTGACTTGTTCGATAATGATAAAGTGAATAATATTCTTGAACAAATGTCATTAAAGCTACAGTGAACGTTTCATGTCATGCTATACTGTCTCAATACCTCCAGATTGCCTCGAACGGATCACAGGAGGGCATGGTGAGGAGGAGACAAGACGAGACGGCAAACCAAGAGCCTGAGCCACAGCCTCAACTCCAGCATCAGCACTTCCGAGTGGAGAGGTTGAAGTTATTCCTGACGGTTACAGAACAAAAATGTACCATGTTATCACTATGCTAAACTTGTGTAGCATATAGAAACACAACGTATCCTTTTTAAGAGAGAATCGTACCTATTATGTTATTCCAGGAGATGGTTCCATTAGGGTAGCAGAAGGGGAGTTGGGATACTGCACCATCCAAGACTATGATATTTCCTGTGCAATGATCATCAATGCATGCATCTATGGACAGACTGGTTGCTATTTCCCCATCAGTTAGCTCCAGCGTGTACCTGTATTATCAAACCCAGGGATACCACTAAGTTAATTTGTTTTTAAATCGTTAAACGACAAAGGTTTCATATCATGAAATCGTGAGGCATCATGACAATACAATTTTCTGTTTGAGGTCTCAGTCAAATGGCCGAAGAAAACGTATATTTTACAGGTATGATATACTAATACTAAAACCGTTACTTGTTGTTCTTGTTATTTGGAGCATGGCGGCCCACCATTACATGGTAAAAGAACACCACATCACTCTTTTATTATTTGCAAATGTCCAGACAATCTTCAGGATCAAGCCTTTATCTCAACATGAACAAGCATAGAAATGCATACCTGATCATGACAAAGTTTCCGATGGTGATCTTTTCACTACTGTCAAAGTCTAGGTGTGAGAGGGATTTTATGTATTGCCAGTTGCCAAAAAGCAGGGTCAGTTGGCCCAGGCATGGATCTATAACCATTGATACACTGAATGAATGATGCAGCGGTCCAAGGTTCACATCCAGGCAGCACTGTATGCCAAAGCAAGTATTGAGGATGCCACAGTGAGCCAGGGAGGTCAGGTTACTGGGAAGCTGCATGCTAGGACAATCTGGAATGAAATGAGGTTACAATGTTACATTTGATTGTATGATCTACTAGCTGTTCCAATTAGGCAACACTGTATGCCGAATGAAGTGTTGAGGATTCCACAGTGAGCCTGGGAGGTTTGGTTACTGGGAAGCTGCATATTGGGACAATCTGGAATGAAATGATGTTACACTGTAATATTTGATTGAATGGTGCAAGGTTCACATCCAGGCAGCACTATGCCAAAGCAAATGTTGAGGATGCCACAGTGAGCCAAGGACGACAGGTGCATGCTAGGACAATCTGGAATGGCATACTGTCGAATAGACGATAAAAAGTACAGTACAGCATAATATAACGTGATTTAGACTTTCGAGAGAAAGTTACACGTTCAAATTCATATTGGTTTATAACAAGAAGCTTACTGTCATACGACTGAGGCCCATTGGGGTTGATACACCGTTGACTGTTGAAAAAGTTGGGGTCAATTCCGAGGCGTGAAATAAGGGCCAACGATGCTCCCTGGATGACCTGTCCTGATACCATCTTTATGAAACCATCCGCTGGAGTGAAATAAAACGTTATTATGTGAAATAAAACGTTATCATGAAGACAGCATTACATGTCCAGCTCCGTTTTGTTAAATTTGGAAAGGCGGCAAAAGTGCCACAATTTTCAGCACTCTAGAAAAGACACCTGTCACTCTCACTTCTTCCGCTCGCAATTCCAAAAATATAATTGAGCTGCACTCCACAGCTCATGATACTATCGCCTCATGCAATAAATCCTGGAAGCTGCGCTATTTTCCCACTTTTTTACATATATTTTTTCGAATTCTTGAGTGAATGTGGATCATAAGCCAACTTATGGTTAAAAAAATATGATCAACTTAATCTCTGCCATATAAATATTGGAAACGATTTATTTTGAGTCCCAAGTATGAGCTGCCTGGAGTGTATTTGACCGGATGAAGTGATATGTTAAATATGTTTAGAACTTTGACCAATCAAAGATATGATATGCATGCACAACATTTGCGCCTTCTGTCCCCTTTTCGGATTGCCGATACTTTTGAGAACATTTACTATTCTGAGATTTGAGAATCCATTTATTACTAGCTAAAGTAACGTGGAAGATGATCTCTGGCACGACGGGGGACGCCAATAGAGATGCCTTCTCTCGATTTTCAATCGTTTATCCTAATGCATATATATTTTGTGCAAACGTTACCTAAATCATTACCGATGTTTCCTTTCGTATTTGAATAACGCTACCTACTGTAATGTTCTCCGCTCCAACGTTAATTAAAATCTGCTGATGCGGCTAAGCAAAAAAAAGGCATTTACCGCTAATGGTTACATTACAGACAGTAATGAATCATGTGATACCTGCAAAATATCACTCTCACCTGATAGACTGTAATTGCTGAAGTCTGGGTTGCACACTGGAATTGGGATGACACGCTGTATATCAATGTCGGTACACAGTTCATCAATGCAGTATTCTAGCGTCAGGCTCAGCTCAAGCATATTAGTGTCGTTCCGCTTATTGATAGAGTATCTGTTATGTTATAGAGGCAGTTTTGAAAGGGTATTTACAATGTGTCCTTTCTTTAGTTCAATTAGCTTTCAAAAGCAAAAGTTTAAGACAGCTCCCTTCCTGCATTCGATAGGCCTTATTAGATGTCTGTTATCACATGACTTGCAAATGACACAGCAGTATTATATTATGGTTATTGGCAATCACAAGGAACACCTGTACAGGAATGTAGAGGAAGAAGCAAACAAATGTTGGCCTAACCACGGCACAAATCCTGCATACGTCCCTTCACTTAATTGTAATTCATTTACTAAAAGCAAATATTATATCTTCAACTTGATCTTTGTTTAAAAGAGGTAAACATAATTGTAAGAATCCACAAATAAATATTGCATAGGCTATTCATTACTCTTGACTTCATTACCTCAGATTCATTCCTGAAGCAACAGATACTGTGACTTCTTTTCCTACAAATAAAGAAACAATATCACGGGTACGTTATAACTGAACAATTAAGATTAATCTGAGGGAAGTATGTTATTTTTTTATTGCTGACACTTAACCAAATTTGGACTGGGGATGGGAACTCATGAGAAATGTTCTTGAAATAGCTCCAAAAACTTTGTCTGATCAGTATGAACATTTGTGAATTTTTTTCGATGGCCAATATGGTACCAAAATAATGTCTGAAGCGAGTGCATAGTTTCCATGAAACTGATTTATAAGTACTCGTGGTGGTGCATTATTTTGCTAATTTTATACATTTTAAGTATGATAACCGTGTTTTTGTTTTGCTTTACTCTATATCGACTTATTGTGTTCGCCATTGGTGCAAACAGCTGCATTTAATCTTCTCCTTTTCTGAGCATTTTTTTTTCCTGAACAATTTATTTTTGTTTCGCGATTCTAATTGACAATCCGTTAGAAGAAGTAAAATGTTGGCACACAATCACATCAAACTGATAATTAATGTGGGTATAGTGCTTTTCTAGCTTTGATTTGGGATGCCAAAATCCGTAAACTAGATAAAAATGTTTGAACTCAAGGTGAAGGTACAAAACTAAATATCGCACATAAAAATGACAGCCCAGTAGTTCAAGTTTAATTAGCTGGCTATGATCGTTCTAACACGGAAGTTGCTAAACCACAAAGAAACATCAAGCCCACTGATAACTTAAAATGCAGTGTGAAACTCTACTTCCACTGGTATAGGGAGCATCCATCCCTTTTCAAGTTCACACCACTTTCCTCTGTAAACCCTCAAAATCCGCTCATTGGATATGGCTATATACACAGCAAAGTCTCACCCCACTGGTAGCTGAAGACAGAGCCATGGAAGGACCACTTCTCCAGACCCAATGAGAAGGTGAAGTCACAGGGATCAAACTTGAACCACGCCATGGCCGAGACATCAGCTATCTTCAGGTCCAGGTCCAGGCAGCATCGCAGTTCCGTGCAGGAATCTCCAATTAGAGTACAGTTGTCCAGAAGACCGGTAGACCTCGCACAGGCATCTTACAAAAAGATCAGCAATTTATAGGCCTTTCTGTTTTGAATTATTAATGTAATGTTGTAAACTGACATATATCTGATGTAAACGCACGAAATAGTAGAAATGCCTCCGGCAAATATAGAATAAAAATAACACTGCACGGCAGCAGCGTATACAGCTTTTGATGGGGGGGGGGGGGGCAACCGCGCTCATCTGCGCCGAAATGTACACATGTTTGTTTGTTTTCCGGACACTTGGCCTCCGTAAAATCAAAAAGCGGGGGGGGGGGGGCAAAGTGCTCCCCCCCCCCCCCCCCCCCCCCCACTGGATACTCCACTGCTGCACAGACTTTGGTAGTCCATGAAACTTAATATTGTTGATGTACCCTAACGTGGCGCGCCCCTAACGTGGCGCACTTTGATTTTTCGCCTGTAGCGCCTAGCTAGAGCAAAAGTTTTAACTGAAATTTCACAGAAAGTGAAATTTCATCAAGTTATAAACACTCCCGTTCATAAATAGCGAATTTATTTACCCGCTACAAATTTAAAAGAAAAACTTATTTTGGCGTGATTTTCCGATTTTATTTTCACGTGCAAAGTGAACCCTTTGAAAATGCCCCGAAAAATAAGAAAATAATTTTGTGACAAACATCTGGCTGGGTATGTAAGTAGAGATAATAATGATTTATCAGAATTTATCAAGTTTTCAGAAATTCTTAAATGTTAGTTTGGAATTTCCCGAGATTTATTTAAGTGCGCCACGTTAGGGAACACTTTGCCAAATTGTGCCCAATTTCCGGACGCCACCGTTTTTTAATTTCGGCTTAAATTTTATGAAACCGAAATTGTTCACAGAGGTTAAACAGCAAGCATTAATAAGGTAAAAGTACCAGTATTTCACTGCATGAATTTGAGGTTTGTCAACAAAGAGGTTTGGCAACACTACACGAGGAAATTTGGGTATGCTTCGAAGTGCGCCACGTTAGGGTACACCACCATAATGTGTCTGGAACCGTGAAAATCATACCTAGTTAATGGATTTCAATACATAATAAAGGCTGATCTCCGACGCTATGAAATGAACCCTTGTAGTGACACTACATTGGAAATCCTTGGGATTTTTAAAAATAAACAGCCTCGTATCTGTAAACATTGTCTTTCAATGTGACATAACACCTCTTACAAGTAAATGTCCAGATCATAATGACATTAATCATATTCGAATATTTGATTCATGTTAAATATTTATTATGAAAAGAGAAGGAACACCATTGCAGGAATGCTCTGACATGGCATCCAGATGGCAAACGAAAAGTTGGCAGGCCAAATCAACATGGCGTAGAACAGTGGAAACGAAAGGGAAGATCTTGGATGGAACTCATGTAATGAGACACGGAATAAAGCAAAAGACAGGAGACAGTGGAAGAAGAGTGTGGAGACCTTATGTGCCAGCCGGCACGAAGAGGATAGATGAGATGAAATATTTATTATGCCTGACATACCCCGTCTGTGATCGGTGCATGCCTTTCCCGTGAGAAAACTTGTAAGGTTTAGATGGCGTAAGGCTGCTTCTATTGCAAACCGCCCAATGTTACCAGCAAGGTCACTCACGAAGCCTGATACAGTGCCGTCACCTGAGATATACAAAACGAAAAAAAAAACATCACGGGCTTAAAGACGATCTTCTTTTACGTAGGACACGTGTTTGTTATTTTTTTTATTTTTTTTTATTTTTAGCCTTTTGAAAATTACATGAAACTTCTTATTTATGGAAAATTCTCGCCTGTAACTGAAACAAGCCTTAGCATTATAATTATCACTTAGCATCGTGGTGACTCAATTGCTGCAATGTGTGTTTTTTTGTCTTTCATGCAATATTTGTGTACTTCGCACATTAAAATATTAAATTCGCGTCATCATTGTACTATAAAAGATGTTCCCAAGCGTCCCTTGTATATATAAAACGTATCACAAACGTACCAGGCAGGGTGAGTGTATCTTCTGTGTTACACAGCGGTATTGGCAGACGACTGCCTGCAAACACTGTCCACGTGTCACAGACCCCATCCACACAGAGGACTAGGGACAAGTCTATCTCAAACTGCTTGTCCATAGTGATCTTATCCACTCGCCATCTACATTGGGAAATCAGTAACAACTGTATAATATCGAGACACGTATCTTGCAGCTGTCAAAGGAATATGTTGACTACAAATCCCAGTGATGTTAAAACATTAATGATTAATCAATAGCCTCAGTAATTCTTATGTTTTTTTTCCAAAATACCTTCAGTGATTCACATTTACAATTTTTGTATTTCCTATGCTGGCATTTGAAAGCTCCTCAACAATCATGGAATCACAGAACTCGACTAATCTGAGACCTAACAGTAAAACGTGCGTTCAATTCGCGAATCTTATCAATTATACTGAATTTGCAAAACCTTGACAAATAAACGCAAACGTTTGTCAATGTCAACTGTACCTTACTCTCATGGCGCTATTCACAACTTCCTCCATGACATCTCCGAGAGGGTAGTGGAACAAGGTGACACTACGTTCCCACTTCTCAAAGCCCACAGACAAGGTGAAGTTGCACGGATCCAGGATGACCCAGGCATTGACGCTGCGAGTCGTTATCTTTAAGTCCATCTCCAGACAGCATCTGATGCCCAGGCAGGAGTCAGTGACAGTGCACGAAAGGAAGTCTTGGAGATGGGCGACATCAACAGCTGGGCAAGCTGAGGAAATGACAAATACCAGTTGTGATAAGGACAGTGCAGTGATTGGAATAGTGTACGAAAGGGTTAACCATAAACCTGGCTGACGATAACACCAGCTGCGTCGCTAAGAAGGAAGTCGATGTCTCTTTCCAAAGTGACGCAATTTTGTATTTTTGGGGGGCGAACTATTGTCTTTAGTAGGTCTATTCTTTGATACTTTGACTAAACCCATGCAAAGCCTTGTACTATGCAATGATTCTTCTTTGGGGCCCCTGAAAATAAAAAGGTATTTACATATCCCAATGGGATATCCATAAATGGCATTACATGATATCTCTGAACAAAACTAGAGGCATGTGCTCATGTATTAATGTTTTTCGTTTCACACAGTGAATTTGATAATGCTATTAACTTACTACTTCTCAAAGACCCCGGAATTCCGATGTCACAAGAAGGGCTCCGTAGATATTGCTGCAGTCGGTCCAGATTAGAAAGATATCACAATTTTATTCAAAAACGAATAATAACAGCTAGACAATGAAACAATAATATTAAATATGAAAAATTATTATTGTGTTAACTGCATATAGGATTGTGAGCAAACACGTCAAAGCGACACTTCCAAAATATTGTTTTAAAAAAAAGCACTTGATTGTAAGTAAATAAAAGTATGGAACATATTGTGAAATCGTTGAGCATGGTACTTGCAGATGTTACTATACAGATGGTTAGGATCGAACAATAAAAACAAACAATTTTCTGAAAAAGTACACCAATTAAAAGACGCGAAACAGCTGTTGACTTCATGCATATACGTACGGGTACGCTAGGTATTATGCGTTTATTACTTTCCCCGCCACCGACACGAAATTTTGACTCTTATAAAACTTGTCACTTTTATACTTTAATTGGTTGAGCCTTCAAACGTGACCGGTCACAATCCCGATTTTCTTACTTAGGCATTTGCAACACTATTAATTAGTCCATATGTCACAGAGTTGCGGCACTCGGGCCCACCCTGTGACCTATGGGTTCTGTACGAACGACAGATTCCACTTCTACTCTACTTTATTTTCAGCAACGATGGACACAAAACATTGAAGAGCTCAGTAGAACTATAAATTGACAGTTCATTTCATAAAAATTACGACGAATGCAGCAATATTTGTGTAACCGCCATCTTAAGATCGAAGCACACAATATAAAAACCAGCAAGAAACTTTTTTTACTCACACTCAGGCCAAATTTCTCCAGCACCAGGTCAATGGCAGAGTTTCCGATGCGACCGCCTAGCTCCCTTATGAATCCCTCCACTGTGCCATCACCGGGTAAGGTGAATGATGTGGCATTGATGTTGCACAGGGGTATAGGAACCCAGACATGGTCTAGTACTGGGGTCATGGTGCAGGTGTCATCAATGCACAACATCAGGTTCAGGGTCACAGAGAAGACTTTCTGCGCTGACAGTTTTTCAACTGAATATCTGTAAAGTTAAGAAAGATAATATTTATAATTAGCTGTTTCGGAGTACATTTGGATTTCGTTATTCATGGTTTTAGAATTTTCTGTTAAAGTGTAAACACATAAACCTGTGTGAATCCTGCTTTCTGACAGGGATCGTTGATAAAAATTAGACAGTCGCGGAACATTTATCCCCTCGCCTCTTTGGAACGATGAAGACAACGAAAAATCCAGTACTTATATTTTAAGAGACCACCAATCCCTGGTCTTCTGAGCCAGTTTTTTTCTTTTTTTCTTTCCACCACTGCGTGCCACAATAATTATGTTAGTTACTAATATAAATAATACATGCACTTACATACATACATGTGTTCATAAAACATAATTACCAATCCAAGAAAAACGTGAACTGATTTGTTTTAAAAGTCTAATTAGAACTAACAATGAATAAGCCTTATTGAAGAAAAAAAAGAGAAACTTATCTTAAAAACTAGACAAACCTCAACATTACTGCGTTTCCAATGTTGACAGTCTCCACCTTCCCCCAGGTGTAGCTGAAGAGGGTGATGTTCAGTTCCCGGTTCTCAAAGGCCACGTACAGCCGGAAGTTGCAAGGGTCGACTTGAATTCTTGTGCTCAGCATGAGTTCAGTGATTACAAAGTCAAGGTGGATGCAGCATTGGATGCCAAGGCAGCGATCGTCGATGGAGCATTGGACAATATTCTCCAGAAAGGGGAGGGAAATCATTGGGCAGTCTAAACACAAAGAAAAAATGACCGTTGACTTGAAATGGTTGTTGTTGTGTTTTAATAAACGGCGTCAACAGTGACAGCAGCTGCCAAGGAGACAACAGCGACAACAATGGTAGCAGTGACAGAAGCGGCAACAGTGGCAACAGCAGCAGAAGCGGCAACAGCAGCAGGAGCGGGAACATCGGCAATGGCGGCAACATGGGTAGCGTGGGCAACAGTGGCAGCAGCAGAGGCAACAGTAGCAAAAATGGAAACAACGGCAACAGCAGCAAAAGCCTAAATCTGCTACAGCAGCAATAGGGCCAACAGCAGCAAGCAACCGCGGCAACAACGGCAACAGCGACAACAAAGAAAACAGCGGCAACAACGAATAAGACAACAAGAACAAAAACAAAACAACAACTACAACTACAACTACAACAACAACAACGATTGCATTTCTCTCACGCTTCACCGCTGCCAAGCACCATGTAACCCCACTTTACCGTACCCACAAAATAGATTTTGCCACATAGTGCTACCGCAACAACTTATCTTTTTGAAAAAATAAAGGATTTTGAGAAATCGAGCAGACTTACGGTTATTTGACTCCTTCTCGGGAGGCAACTGGCACGTGCTTCCAATGATTACTCCCTAGAAAACAGAGCACATTAAAAACAACATAAAACATAATACACAATTTGTACAAGATTGTGAAATATAACGAATACAAAATATCGGAAATAACATGTACATCTGAAACTGATACAATGAAATAAAAACATATTGGCTTCAGTTTGAGTTGTGGCTTAAGTTAGATCTGAAGTCCCAACAGTAATTGCAGCACCGTCTGTGTTGGTGACATTGTAACATTAAACCGTTGCCAAAAATGGTCTTAAATCAAAATTCAATTAAGAAACCATTATGCAATCGCTACACTTTCAGCTTTTTTATCTCTACAAAGTTAACGTTGTTGGAGGTGCTGCCAACGAAATTTGAATAAATACAAACAAATGGGTGCATGTTCACAGTTGCAGCACCGGGAAAAGCGTCCTTATTCTTTGCCGCGCAATAACAGCTACCTTCTATGAACAACCTGATTGTGTGTTACAACAAGCATGTTCTGCCCATCTCACCTGTAGGTTGAGTCCTCTTAAGACGCGCTGGACAGCGGCCGGTCCCACATTGTCTCCCAGCTCCATCCGGAATCCTCTGACCGAGCCATCCCCAGGCAAGGCCAGAGAAAACCTAGCAGTACAGAGAGGTATTGGGATTCTCTGGTCAGCCATGATTGGGAAGTCTGTAGTGATGCCGTCGATGAGGAGAGAGAAGGCCAGATCTACTTCATACTCTTCTGTGCTGTCAAGCTTGCTAATTGAAAACCTGCACACAATAAACAAACATTATTGTAGGTACCCCATTTGAACCTTAGTATTTTTGTCTTAAGGGTCAAAGCTAGACAATGGAGAAAAAAAACATTGGCAGGGTACCACGTGACGCTTTAGGGCAATGTAATTGTTTTGTTTGATTTGTTTGTACTTCCGTATTACGTATGTCTGTATGCATATTAGGTAGCTTTGTTGCGGCCTCTTTCCGGCACTTTCTTCGTAAAATGTACAGAGTATGAATAAGTTGATACTGCTGTGATTAATCATGGCAACAGGCCACATTCTAAACAAGAAGTCATTCATATTGATTGCTGATAATTTCTTTTTTCCCCAAGCAGTTTAGAGTTCAGGGATAAACAATTGTCAAGCATTTATTTGTGTTACCCATTACAGTGCTAACAGACCTATGAACAAGGTGAAATATTTTAACTGAGGATGAAATTTTACTGCAAGAGTCAATATCTTTTCATTTCGTGAAGGGCACAAACAGAACTAAAGCACAAGATTGCAGAGAGTGTAGCGGGTGCATAGTGTCACAAAAGGAGGCTTTCAGTTTACACTTGTGTCTGCCAAATCAAGTGGAAAGGAACTTCCAGTTAAGCTCAAAATAAACACTACTTAAAATTATTCAAGTTTTACTTAGTTTCAAGTTTACTCAACAAAGATTCAAAAGGTATCTTTTGTATCTAAAACCTACCCGACACGGAAAGCGTTTCCAATCATGAAACTTTCTTCCTTTCCCCACTCGTAAGAAAACAGCGAGACGTTGAAGAACCACCGCTCTAGCCCGACAGACAGCGTGTAATCACAGGGGTCGATGATGAACCAGGCCTTGGAGCTGATCTGAGTCACCTTCAAGTCTAGATTTAGACAGCAGTGGAGACTTGTGCAACTGCTGCCGATATGGCAAGTAAAGTTGTCTCGAATATGCACTGGACAATCTGGACAAGGAACAGACGTATTCAGTAAATGGTTCCTACGCGCTTAATAACAATTAATAACAATGAACTGTGACTACATGACCTATTTTTTGTTTGAACATTTATATCAGCCGTGCGAAGCACGCTGATATATTGTGATCGTCACTTTTCTGTCTGTCTGTCTGTCGTGCTGTCTGTCTGTCTTCGGGCAAACAGTCACTTGACCAATGAAAAAAAGGCCATAACTCCTAAACTATTCAGCCGATTTCAAACAAACTTGATCAAATTAAACCTTGACCCATGCCCTACATAGCCATGTTCATATCCGGCCACTGGTCACCTATTGGTCAGTAGGGGTCATTTTATGAAAAAAAATTAAAAAGCAGTTTTACATTTTAAATTTTTGCAGCCGTGTACAGTGTATTTTTTATCTGTAATTCTCAAATTTCACATTCCTGACTTATTTGGTTGTCGAGTTATTTCAAGTTTATCATTATTCAAAGGCACGTAAAAACAATACAAAACATAGGAATTCTGTGAAGGTTTCAACCACCACGAACGATGCTGTGGATGTTGTGTGACATTCAAAAACTATGTCATCCGTGCGCGTACGGCCGACCAGGGTGACCGTTTAAGCCGATTTTCGGCTAACTTTGACAAAATTTTTGTTTAAAAAAGAAAGAGTTTGACGGAAAATTTGACGGAATCGACTTTTTTGGCAGATTTCTGGCAGAATTCTGCAAAATTGGTTATTTGACAGAAAAACAGCAAACTTGAACAAAGAAAGTGTACATTTGTTTAAAAATGATTCAATCCTTTCAAACAAATCCTTGCATAATGGGACAGGTTAGCTGGTCTAGGTGCTGAGGTTCACTGGGAAATGGACTTTGTCATGGCCGGCGCAGATCCGCGTTTTGCTCGAAATTTACCAATAATTTCACAACATCCTTATGTGACTAGATTGTTTATTATGTATGAATCTTAATTAAGGTAATACTACCAATCTGCATGTGATTTTAAGTGTTAATAGTGTATTTCGAGTAATTTTGGGTAATTTGGCAGATTTTTGATAAATCTGACAGATTTTTGATGTGCATTTAGCAGAATTTGGCTCTGAACTGACGGTCACCCTGCGGCCGACCTCATTGACAGGCAATTGCACGCTCAGTGCCGCACTCTCCATAGTCTTTGTACACAACCGCTTAAAGCTATAGGCCATCATTTGCAGCCATCCGAAAAGTAACTGGCGTAATTATTGTTGAAAACATACTTGGTTGAAAGATAGTAAGGGGAATAAACTCCCTGTGAAATTATTCTTTCTGGCAAGCTGTCATTTTGAAGTAATCAACGAAAGAAGGCCTTTCCAACGGTAGGAAAACTTAATTTAGGACAATTTAAATTAGTAGTTCGTTTTGTTTTTCGGTGAAGCGCGCGCAAGCATTGGCACGACGCACACTAAAAAGCACGCGCGCGCAGTTGCTATAATTCGTCGGATCAGTGCGCGACATCGCGTGTAGCTGCAATCGGCTCAGTGAGAACGCGTCTCGGACGCTGAATTCAAACACGATTCAGCAACTTTTGATTTGAAATTGAGATCCTAGAATGCTGTTTTTCTCGGAATACACAGCTGAAGCTGAGCTGAAACGTCATCAGGTTAGTTGTTCAGTATCCTTCATTAGATTTTGAACACTTTTGTTGCTTCAAACGAACAAAATGCACAAATTACAAATGATGGACTATATCTTTAAGTGGCGTCTGGATACTGCATTTAGGTTTGTTTTAGCGGCAGTGCCACCTGCGTGAAGGTAGCCGCGTATTCGGCCAAATACTCCGCCGCGGATTAAAAAGTACGAAAGCCAATAAACAACACTACTGCTGTGATTAATTTGTGATGGTATATGGGGATTAATCTACAGGCATTAACTACTGTTTCATGTATTGTCTTGGCGGCTATTTTATGTAATGTTTCGTCGGGCTTTATGTCAAAGTTTCATAGTTGTTTCTCTTACTTTCTTTTGCCGATCCCAGCCACATGTAGCAATGGTCACCTTGTGGTCAGTGCGAGTCAGTACTCAGACAAACCGTTAAAACGGCAATTTAGGCTGATATCCGTGCTTCGGGAAGTACATTAGCTTTAGTTCTAGCTGGCAATTCACAACAAGGCGGTGTTTGACGTCACAGTCGCGAGTAAGGGTAAACCGGGATTGGGGTAGTTAAGACTAGTTGAAACTACCTCTTTGTCAAATAAATTTGGTAGGTATCATATTAGCTCGCATGCGTGACCAAAATGTTTACGCTCTGTTGTCAGGAAAATGTTCTGATGATTTTATTCCTGCGGGAAATTAGTCAATACTCACTGTCGCCATCGTCAGGGAGTGCTGGAGGGAGGTCGCAGGGTTGTTTGGACAAAAATGTCTATGAATAAATGATAAAAAGTACGCATATGATTACAAGTATATTCATACAAAAGACAGGTTATCATAATTCAGAGTTATGAAAGTTTTATTTCAGAACCCTTTTCAAAAGAATCAAATCTTTATCAAAGCTGATATTGGTCAATGAGGGAGATCTGTCAAAACCAAGCACGTGCAAATGTATATTGCATTCAAGTATCAACGGGCGAACAAACGATCAATGCTCTCACCTTCAGTCTCAAAAAGTCAAGTACCAAGTCAACTGCTGCGTCAGTTACTTGACCCACAAGGCTATCCAGGTAGCCAGAGATGGTGCCATCCCCAGGCAGGGAGAAGGTGGTACTGGAGTTGCAGATTGGTATGGGTACATGAGATGCCTGCAGCAGGTGAATGGGTCGACAGGTGCCGTCTATGCACAGGGTTACTGACACGTCAATTAGGAACTGCTCTGTCAGCTTGTCAACATTAAACCTGATTAAAATTAGTTTAAAAAAAAAACATTAATGCTGCATTTATTCACGCTTTTTATCAAAGCATGCATATTCTAGATAACTTTTTCATTAAAAAAAGTGCGCTTCCCTTATCTGCATAGGCCTACTTACGCTATATAAACAGAGTCACTGATACCAACAACTTTATCCACTCCCCAGTCGTATTCAAAGAGCGTCAGATTTTTGGACCAGGACCCCAGCCCGACAGACAGCTGGAATTCACAGGGGTCTAGGAGGGCGTAAGCGGTGGTGGACAGCTGAGCGAAGACCAGGTCAAGGGAGGCACAGCATGTCAGGCCCAGGCAGTGGTCATCCACTGAACAGGTCAAAAGGCTGGATGAAGACGGTAGCCTTAAGAGTGGACATCCTGAAGAAATAATCAGTATAGAAGCAAAATATATCACTGGGTGCACTTATTTTATTTTACTGATAATGATACTTTGAACTTGGAACTGATTTCATCCTTGAAGCAAACTCATTTCGCTTACGCAATCAGTGCTTGAAAGTTAACGGCTGTAAAAAAAAATAGTTCGGAGTAGCATTAAACATTGCCCGATCTGAAAAAGGGTTAGCGCTTCATATTGGACTTTGTTTTTAAGATATGTCACTTACTGTTTTCAATTGGGGCAGATGTCTCCATTTTACATTGTTGTTTGCCGACATATTGCTGAATTAAAATAAATTAAAACGAGGTTTTAAATTAACAGGTGGCAGAAACGAAATAATGCAAAGATTTTCCTTTCAGTCAATATGTGCTATACGGTTCAACTTTTGATAGCGATGCTCACGATACTAGCCTTTGAGAGACAGAAGCAAACGACAAGTGTATTTAGGAGAAGAAAGTTTTGTAGATAAGCCGAATATGTGAAAAGTCAAGTTGTGCACGGAAACACAACCTAAAATGGTCAATGCTCTAGTATGGAGCAGTGTTGTAGTCGAGACCGGATAGTCCGAGACCGAGACCAAGACCGAGACCTGAAGATTCGAAACCGAGACCGAGACCGAGACCAGCCCCTTCAAGGCGGACCGAGACCGAGACCAATATGGTCCGAGACCGAGACCGAGACCGCTGATAATAAATAACAATAGTCGAAATAAAAAACAAGACACGTTATTATAGTTGATAGTTGTAACCTTTCTATTCACAAAGATTACAGACCAACATTTTGACCAGTGGCAGTGTTGACAAATTGATACATGCCACCTTACTTGAGCAAAAAGTAGTTACATTTAATTAAGAAATATGGGCTTTGACATGTTGTCTGCACCTAATCGTGACAAAAGTAAAAAGTTAAAGGCAGATGTTTCATCTGTTATAGCAACTCGGATCCTAAACTCCACAGTCACCCCTTGGTTTCAGCTATGACTTCTAACGGATATTTAAAGATGCAATTTTAATTTTACATTGTGCCTCTTTTTTCCTAAAATAAATATAGGACTTAACTTCTAACAAGACTTGTGTAATTGATTTTAAAAAATGGGAGCTAGAACATGTTAAATTAATTATAAATTTCTGTCATAGAATGTGGACTTGTACATGTAGACCCACAAGTTGCGAAGTGGTAGCCAGAATGTGCCAGATTTTTAATTTTTTTCTGAACGGGATTTTAATTTTTGAGGATTAATGGGGTACTTCAAAATGAGCAGCCAGAAAATGGGGTCTCATCATACACTCTCATGTCAACAGTGAGTGGTAACTGGTAAGAGTGTGCTGGAAAATCAGGTAGGAAAATTTACTTTTTCTTCAAAATACTGTCCCAAATTAAAGAGAACATTGTTTGGGGTCAAACTAATTTGAAGCACCTCATTTATCATCAGAATACAAGTGATTACGCCCACAAGGGTGGGCTAAACTACACAATCCCCGAAAATGGTTGATCCTTATTGCATAAATTGTTACAAGTTTATACTTTGCTTTATGTGCCCGACTCAACAGATAAATGCCGTTCCTTGTTCCAACTTGTTCCAAATCGTTCAGTGACTGGTACTGCTGCAGCTTTACATGTACTTTGGGGACTTTCCAAGGTGCAGTCCAGTCCAAACCGACCACGATCTATAACAAGCTTGATCTATGGGCTAGCAAATGTTTTAACTATCAACGGTACTGAACAAAGTGAACAAAAAGTAATCGATCGAGCTGTAAAAGCTACATATTGCCGGTCTTGACCCGAGACCAGCGAAAATATCGAGACCAAAGGGGACCAAGAATGAGACCACAGCTGCCGAGATCGAGACCGAGACCGAGACCAGCAAAAAATGGTCTCGAGACCGGTCTCGAGACCGAGACCGGTCTCGAGACCTACAACACTGGTATGGAGCTATTAATAGTTCATGACTTTTTCTACCAGTTCCATTCTAGCTATTCCAATGTTTAACTTCAGTGCAATCAATTATTTCAAAGTGCTCCTTTACGTAGCCATGACCGTCACGTTGTCCATGCATTTTAACAAAAATATTGATTTTTTTGGCCGAGTATACGTACATGTGTATGTACGCTATGTCATCATCATTTATGTAATTTTTCCAAATTAACAAAGTACACTCTAATGGTTGACAACGTATTTACAAATTGATCGATTTCTGCTTAATACTGGGTCTTCCATTAAGTCTTTTGATCAGAACTGATCTCCCATGGGTCCAAATAGGGGTAATAATAAAATAAAACATTATTTGAACATTACAATTGATAGAATCAAATTATTATGTATATTCTCATTGCACAGTATGAAACAAACATTATTTTAAAAATGGAGACATAAAAAATGCTTTAAATTTAGCGACGAAGCTGTATTAGGGACATGGAAGAAATTATTCTTGCTCCCTTCAGCTACACAAGTTGTACCTACGTCTTATAAGACGTGCGTAACTACTAATTATTTTAAAGACTTATATTTGGTACTTACGACTTATCTTCTGCGTTCATCTTATAATTCCTACGTACAACATATAAATTTAACACTTTTTGTACGTATGACGTTTGCACTTTAACTCGTGCGTATATGACTTAGGTGTCGCACGTAGAAGATATAAGTTGTACGCACAAGTTACAATTCATAGGTCGTACGTGCGATTACGTAAGTTGAACGTACGTACGATATATAAGTCGTAAGTACGCACGATACATAAGTCGTACGTACCTACGATATGTAAGTCTTACGAGGTATAGTTCGTAAGTGCCAGTTATAAGGAAAACGTATGTGTTTAAGGCACACGTACGAGTGCGTACGAGATATAAGTTTTACTCACGGGGTAATAAGTCATGTCCCTAATACAGCTTTGTACGAACACGTTACCAATGAAGAAGAAAATCTCATTGTAATATGTACAAACTTTTCTTATGCAAACAGGATGCTTACCTCAATTCCTAGTCTTCGGACACCAGCCTGAATGGCCAACTCCCCAACGTTCCCGGCAAGATCCCGGGCAAGACCTGCAAAGCTGCCGTCCCCAGGCAGCTCAAAGGAAGCATTGAGGTTACAGAATGGGATAGGGACCAAGGAATCCTGAAGGACTGGTGTGGTCGTACAGTCACTGTCGATGCAGATGGAGATGTCCAAATTGATCAGGAAGGATTCATCAGCATCAGACTTGTCAATAATCATGCTGTAAAGGAAACACATGTAATTTGTAAAATCTGTTTCCTGAGTCCCCCTCAAAGAAACTCCCTCGCTACTGAACATATGTAGCCTACTACCAAACTACTTATTTCTCTGATATCAAGATTGCCAAAATCATAATTGTCCTTCAATTCAAGCATGCATGGATTCAGTTAACTTATCATTCAAAATTGTGTAAGGTTCATTGATGCTTAAGCCTCGTAGCATGTGGGACACAGACGCAGTGCATTATTTTATAAAACAGGCACATGATACAAATAAAACCCATAAAGCATGGTTTTCTTACTGGTAAAAGATTTCAAACAGAGCAAAGCCTCAGGGTTGACATTTTTGGGTGATGTGCCTGAGTTAATTAATTTTCTACAAATATGAAAGTTAGACATATAGCTCCAGCGACCAATTGGGCTTTACATTTGGCGTATTTCCATTTTCGATTCAACAAACCTTAAGGTGACCGACTTCCCGATGGTGACCACCTCCCGCTGACCCCAATGATAGGAGAAGATATTCAGATCCCGACTCCAGCTGCCCAGAATCATCGACAGCTGATAGTTACAAGGATCAAATATGAAGGAGACCTGGGTACTGATAGGAGTGATCCCGGGAATGGGAAGCTCCAGACAGCAATCGAACCCTAGACACTTCTCCAGTAGCGTGCAGATCAGGTTCCTTGGAAGGTGGGGTAGTTTGACATTTCTGGGGCAAACTAGGAAAATATAAAAACAAACAAATGTTATCGTATCGCTATTTCGTATCTTTCAGCCATATAACAGCACACCCGATTCTACACGAAGATCGGCAAGATATAGATTTGTGGCCGTTAGGGAAACTGATCGTTCTGTTGTTAAAATACTACGTTTTAACACAAAGTGTCAGGCAATCTGACTGGAGGCTGGCTATGCCTCTCGTTTTTTGTGTGTGCCAAATTCCCAAAAAAGTACTTAGTGAGACCGACAAGAATTAAGTGAAATATCCCTTAAACATTGACTTACTCTGTTATTTTACGTACTGTTTGTAGTTGGCACTTTATCAATCTCAACGCTTAAAACTATCTCTGGTTAAACATAGAAAATAAGAAATATACTACACTATCTGAAAAATAAATTAAATGGCATCACGAAAGATGTTTAGCTTACTTCTTTTCCAACCGTTCTGTGTTACTTGTGGACGGACGCATGGCAGCCGACTGATGTACTCCTAATATTAGCAGAACGAATTAATTAGTAAAATGGCAACTAGAGATTACTCACGCTAGTAAATAATAAACCCGTTCATTGTCGGTGAATTTTTTGTGCTTAAATATTGCTAGGAAATACTTACAAGTAGCCCCAGGTGTTGAAGAATTGCATCAACTGCAGAATCCGCCGCATTCTGACCAACCATCTGCAAGAAGCCTGAAACAGTTCCATCGCCTGTCGACGGAAGAAGATGTATTAAATGAGTTTCTAACTGCTCTAACTGCAACATTCCTATGTTAGCTAAGATGATTAAACCACTTAAATTGCAAGTACACGCCTTTGCTTGTGATCCGTAATTCGAACAGAGGCATTTTATTCAAAGCTTACCAGGAAGTGTAAATGTTGCATTCTCGTTGCAGACTGGGATTGGCACTCGGGTCCTCTTGAGGATGTCGATAGAGGGCGTGATACATTCTGAATCTGGCAGGCACAAGGACAGTGCTAGGTCCAGTACAAACATCTTGTCCTCAGTCAGCTTATCTATGATGTAGATGAGTGTCACAGCCTTGCCTATCTGGATCTCTTCTTGCGTACCTGGATAAAATATCATAGTTGAACATTACAGCGAATCAGTTGCAAGCCTATCGTTCTATTTTGAAATAAATATTTCGTCAAGATGTTTTCTCGCCTTAAATTTCGCACTAAAAATAGATTGAATTTGAACACTGACAGTAAAAGTAAAGTCATTTCAATTCAACTTTAGAGCAATATCAGACTTGATACCAACAGCACCACTTTTCACGCCGCACTTACCCCAGTGGTAGTCAAATATGGTGAATGTCAAAGACCACTTTCCAAATCCTATGGACAGCGTGAACTCACACGGATCTAGAAGCAGCCAAATGTTGACTGATAACACAGTGATTTCTAGATCGAGTTCGGCGCAGCATCGAACTCCCAAGCATCGATATGAAAGCTCACAAGTCACTCCACTGGGCAGCGACTGCAGGCTGACTTCTGTGCAAACTGAACAGGATAAAATGGCAACGATCAAAGAAAGGCCTGATTCAATTGGCAAACTCAACTAAGTAACTTCCGACAATGTAACAATTCAGGAAATAAAGAAGTTAGGATAATTAAAAAAGCAACAGAAAAAAAGAGTGCCATTAGACAACAAGCACTAAATTTTAGTTCGCAATTCCTGTTCGTCAATTGGAATACGATACAATACGATACATTACATTACCTTACCATACCATACCAAACCATACATACGACGATATGCCATGCCATGTCATACCATGCCATACCCAAGTCTCACCATGCCATATGCCATCCCATACGTTCCCATACAATACCATTCCATATCATACCATACAATACCGTATCATTCCATACCATACAAATCATTTATAAAGCGCTCATACTCATAAATGGTTTCACAGCACTGATCCATAGCTAGAATAATATGAAAACATGAATCGTAAAATATATGCAGAAATATGTTTTCAGGGTATTTCCAAAGCATCCAAGGAAGGATACGTGCGGATGTAGTGATGGAAATCATTCCAGAGTCGAGGTAAATGTGCAAGAAATGCTTTGTCACCAGCTGCAGTAAATGGTCTAGGCACATGGAGCAGGGTCATGTCCAGGCGAAGTCTTGCAGAGTGATGCGGCATGATGAGAGAGCAAAGACAGGTCGGAGCTTTGTTGTTCGGACACTTGTAAACGAGACTGAGGACTTTTGAATAGAAATACGTTGCTTGATGGGAAGCCAGTGTATATTTGTTTCAACTTGAATAATTATACCATTGCTGCACTATAATGGACGCCCTGGAGATGTTGAATTTGGGATGGTGAGTTTATTCCATAGAGCCGAGAGTTACCGTAATCAGGTCTTGATGCTACTAAAGCTCGGGTGGCATGCTAACAAGCATTCTTATTAATTTATCCGTATAGTCTATTGCGAGCAATATTGGATAAGTGGTAGCGTAGTCGGCGACGGAGTTTGGACACACGGCGACCCATTTTCAATGTAGAGTCGAACTCAACACCAAGACTTTTTGCAGATGATGCAGGAGGAATAGAAAGGTCCGAAATCGTGGGGGGGAGGATATTGATACCTCAAAGACAGTGGACTAGTCACAACAAGGAATTCAGTTTTGTCACAATTCAGCTTTTTTATGTTTGATGTTAACCATTTCTGTAGGTATAGTACGCATTTGTCGGGAGAGCGCTGTTCACTGAGACGGGAGTTTTGGGATCAGCAAAGGTACAGTCCAACGTCATCAGCATTATGAATGATGGTGCATACCTTCTTAATGTCTGATAACGCCTGACACCGGGCATATAACATAACACAAAAACAGAAACAAGCAAACCATTCGAAACACTCTCCTTACCTTCCTCGTCCTTTGAAACAAGTGCGCCTGTGTCACACTGTCCATCGTTTATCTTATCTCGAAGCCCAATGAACTCCAAAAAAACGTTGACGGCTTCCTGTCCAGCATTCCGGCCTACCTCATTAACAAAATCCCTCAAGTTATTCCCGCCTGTACAAACAAACAGAAAGGCAAACAAGGTATCAGGAGACCGAATCTTACATTCGATCTGTTCATTTTTTATATGCAGACAACATTATTACCAGAAGCAACAGAAAACAAGCTGATGAAAGACATGAAATGCCTAGGACCTAATTAAAGTTCCTCGCTGATACTTAAACCCACGGCCTTATGCTGACTTAACAATCCCATTCTGCTCTAATCTCGATCATCGACAATCCTCATTAAGAATCACGTCCTCAATATATTTTTAAGATTTTAAGCAGATCCCTACCAACTTTAATTAAACCTTATCTATGAAAAAGTCAACAGTGCAAAAACGTTTGTCTGGCATTTAATGGACCAGCACATTAAACTTATTTGAACATCCAATAGACATGTCATTTCCTTATTATTTGAATCTGTTTACCCGGAAGGGCGAATGAGAAGTTAGAGTTGCAGAATGGAATAGGAACTCTGTAGTCCTGGATGATGTCCACATCAAAGATGCAATCATCGGCGCCTTGACAGATAGATGCCCCAAAGTCAATCTCAAACATCTTCTCCGATTCTAGCTTGTTGATGGAGTACCTGAGGGTGATTGGACCGATGTTTTGCTGCTCTAGTCGCCCTGTTAACATGCATATTTTAGAGTTCAATAAATTAATTATAGACAAGACACGTATGACGTTCTAATGGCAGGGCTTTGAATTTTTTGGGCGAAAACTGTAACAAAATGCCCCTTAACATTGACGTGTTTGTAAAACAGATGAAAAGTAATATTGATTTTCGCGTAAATGGCGGCCATATTGGATTGCCCAGCATCATTGTAGTTGGTCACTTGGAATGAAGTTTAGTCTTGAAATGATGTTTGATAGGTTGGTCAGAATAAACATAGGTTTTGACTCACAGAAATGCATTTCCATGTTTTTATACGTTTTTTTTTAATTCCTTACAGAAATGTCCCATGGGCATCCCATGGGATCCCACTGAGGTCCCATGGGATGGGAAACCCGTGGGGTCATCAAGAACACCATGTAAGTTAAAATGATCACCACGGGTGATTTTATGCTTATCGTGGAAAACCCATGGGAACTGTTGTCCATGGAGATTGCATGGACAACATGGGAACACCATGGGGATTTTATGAGCTCCATGGGAACATATGGGGATTGTATGGACACCATATTCGTAAAATGACCGTGACTCACCCCATTCGTAACTTAACAACAACTTCTTGTACTGCAAGTGCTGAAAGGCAACATACAAAGTGAAATCACAGCCGTCAACTTCCACCAAGACTTTGAACGAGCGGCGGAATTTTAGGTCCTCAATGTTGAGTTCCAGACAGCAGTCTAGACGGAGGCAGTCCTCACGCAGGGAGCAGTAGGCCACCTTGGCCACCTCCGGGGGAAAAACTGGCAATGTTGAGAACTGACAACCTGTGCAAATCGATACCAATACATTGTAAACAAAACAAAAACCGATAATAGTTTGAAGTCATTGTTAATGATGGTAAATTACACAGGTCAGGTGTAACAGGAAAACAATATCAAAAGACGGCAGTAAATGTTGTATTACATTTCTACTCACTTCTATCATGCTGAGAAAGTCTGGCTTCCAACTCAATCCTAGTTCCCGTAATTGCAAGTTGCCTCTCCTTCAGAGCAGCAATGAGCTGTGAATGACTCATACCAGTTGGCGTTGGGCAGGGTTCTTTACTGCTTATTAATTCCTGAAATGGGAAAAACCTGTCATGAACTTGAGATTGATTTTTTTTATGTATTTTAAAAAGAAATCTAAACATTGCTGTGACTCTGTGACTTCCCGAATATATACAGAGATGTTTAGGCTGTGTTCATATTCTTCTGTTAGCCTATGGCCTTTTGGTATTTTTTCTTGTGACTCACTCCATGACGTACATCCTGAAATCATAATCAACCCCCCAGCTGTGTCAAAAGTTTTTTTTGGTCATAGAAATTCATTACAAATAATGCAAACCCCCCCCCCCCTCCCCGCTCTGACACCAAAAAATTAAACTGCTAATAATGTCCTCCTGTGCACAAAAACCGGATAGAACCAGCTTGGTTTGGGGGTATTTGTACACTATGGTGTAATATAGTGTTAACAATCGTCGGATTTGAACAGCGCACCCTAGAAGTATGGTACGAGCCCCCCATTTTGATTTTTGGAGGCCAAGTGTCCGGACAAAAAAAATGTCGACATTTCAGAATTAGTTGCTGATGAAAACCCCCCGAAAATTAAACTGCTAATAATGTCCGCCAGTGCACAAAAACGGATAGAGCAAGCTTGGTTAGAGGGTATTGACATTTCAGAATTTGTTGCTGATGACCCCCCCCCCCCCCCTGCAAAAATTCCTGAATCCGCCCCTGATTGATGATTGCACATTAATTTCGTTCCTAAGCCTCCAACATCGTATAACCTACCTTGGGTATACCAAGCACATCCAGAGCATAGTTCAATGCTGCCTCTGTTCTTGCTTGCAGTAACTCCTCCCCGGTGTCTTTGAGTAGATTCCTCATAGTAGCACGGCTAAAATACTCCTCAATGTCAACTGCAGATTAATATTTTACAAGACATAGTGCGGTTTTTATTTTATAGCATATGTAAACCTTTATTCGGTTCATGAGTCATTCACAAGTAGAATCAGAAGTCAGGTTACAAATAAAAGAGGATAAACAATGACAAAGGAATGCCACCTCGTGGCTCATTTTGATGACTTGTGTCTAATAATGATAACTGGTGGTGATTTAAAAGTGGTGGCCGTGCAGCCGCGTTTAAGGCAGAATCCGCCGGAAAAGTAAGGGTAGCACTTGACTAACTAGAAAGGAAGTGGAGACTTGTGACCCCTTGTTTATGTTTTAAAAATACAACTGCAATTATTAAATTATGTCAACGGTGGGATTGTGCATACAGTAGTGTTCTATATGGTTTTTCATTTGGATGTCTACTGCTTACTGTCTGGCCACGTGATGGTTCCATTCAGATAGCAAAAGGGCAAAGAGATAGCAGAATCTTTCAACACGTGGATAGATGGCAAACAGTCCGCATCTCCAGTCTTTGGGCAGAGGGCTACGGACATGCTGACAAGTAATTGAGTCCTGCTCTTCTCGATGATGACTCTGGGTGATAAAATAAGCACAGTGCATATATGGATCGTTTCCCATCAAATGCATTCATAGATGGTAACCAAACACTCTCAATGGATTCAATAGAAATGGTTATCACTTCCGTAACTATCGTACCAGTCACACCAAATTATTACATAACGTTATTTTGATTTACTTCAAAAGTCAAGTCAATAACAACGTTTTTCTTTTTCGAATGTTTTTGCTGTTATTCACAAGAGGACACACCACCATCATCCAACATTAAATACAAAATACCTGAGATGCAGCTCCATGTCATCAACAAACGGTATGTCAAAGGGCACTGAAACATTCCATTCTTTGCCTAGAGATAAAATACATCAAAGTCCAAATATCGTATTAATTTACATACTCTACGTTTCAAAGTCCTCGTTCCCTTTTCCCATTGCGTTCCCTTTTCCCATTGTCTCTACATGCCTTAACTAACACGGCGACAATGAAACTTACCAAACTCGGTATCCAGGATGTGCTGGGTGTAATTCCAAGAGTTGACCCCAAGTACAAACTGGAACTCGCAAGGGTCAAAGCGCATGAATGCTTTGAAGGCAAAAGATACCATGAAGAACTTGACGTTCATACAGCACTCCACGCCGAGACAACTAGGATCTATCTTACAGTACACATTCTCTGGCAAGGAGACTTGTAGTAGGGGGCAGCCTTGTCAAAGAAAAACAAAACAAAGAAAGTTTCCACGTTACTATGTGTATAAAATTCGTCATTAAAAATAATAGGTTAATATGAAAAGTAATAAACTTTTGGTGAACAATGGATGACCAAGCACCAGGCATTCTTCTTCCAAGTTTGCTGGAAAAAACATAAAAAAACCATGATTAGTAATCATGCGCTGTCGCAATATTGCGTTTAGTAAAAGCGGGTATGATGTAGATGTTGGGATATAAAATGGTGCATGTATTCTTAACAACGACGTCACGAATAATTAATCATTCCAAAGACTAAGAGTGTCGTTACAAGGCCAAGCATTAAGTTTTTCCTAAATTGGCCAACTTCTCTGTTGAATTGAATGTCCGAAAAACGTCTGCCAGCGCGGAGGATTATGTGTTGAATTGGGAAGCAATAATTTTGAAATGTGTTTAAGCATCAAAAGAATATCATGTTTCATAAATATACAAATCGTTTATTTTTTTTTTTTTATTTGAAAACATTACTTGCAAGGTATACCATTGCAGGATATGTTTGAAAGACGAACCACTTTACGCATCACAATTTAAACATACAGGGTATCCCCCACCCCCCAAAAAAATGTCCCTCTGGAAAGTGTACAGAATTCTCGAAATTTATGGGGACAAAAATTCAATTTCAATTATAGAATTGATGAGCCCAAACATTTTTCTTTCTTGTGTGAAGTTTTTGTTAGATTCGGTTCAGTGGTTTTAAACAAAGGCCATTAACACCTGTCCATTTTGCTCCATTTTATAGACCATAAATTTGGGGATAGAGTAAACCAGAATTGATTGCTTAGGCTTAGGAACAACCAAACAAACCAAACAAGACAACTTCAGATATATACGGATCAACCCGCACTTACGATCGTCAGGTTGCCTGTATCGCTTGAGTAAGGTCTCTCTGTCTCCTTGTGAGCTTAGACCACGCTGTTGCAGCTCAATTCGCAACATATCATTGGATAAAGACTCGGGAAGAACGCACGGCTTGTCACCAACAAGTTTCTTCAGTTCAAAAAGACAAGTCAAAATCTAAATTTTTTAACTTCTTCGTGCCTTAATAATACAGCGTAATAATTGAATACATGAGTAACAGCTTAAAACCATAACCCTCCCAACTCCATCAAACTCCATCCCACCATTTATTTTTTTTTTGGGGGGGGGGGGTGGAGGGAGATTTTATTGGCAAACCATGAGTACCATGTAAATCAAAATCCACCTGTAGCAATGGTGGATTTGTGGTGGATATCGGCGGATTTGGTCCTATAGCATTATGTGAAGCAGAGTCAGTGGTGGATTTTGGTGGATTTGGTACAGTTCTTTAATAGTCACACTCAGTAGGAACTTAGGTTAATGTAATTTATTACGTTTATGTTTCTGCAAAAATCTAAACAACTGACTCAACTATATCACTAGATTACAATTCTATTAATGGATTACAATTGCAAACATTTTAACGTTAAAAAAAACGACTACAACATAATTGATTTAACTGAAAAGGTGTTTTTTTCTTATTTTGCTCACAAAATACTTCTGTTAGTCACTGAGTTATCACTTACAACAATCGTCTTGAAAACGGTCAGCAAGTCATCTGCCGTTTTCTCCAGTCCAAGCTTACGGGCAAATGCAAGAATGGATCCAATCTTCAAGTTCCTTAGAGTGAAGTTCTTAAACGGAGACTCTATGCCAAGTTTTTGCTCAGGAAAGCCCAGTACTTCCTCGATCTGTTGTCTGTTGCCTTCAACTAAATGGAAACGATGGGAAATGGCAACCACGGCACAATAGCTTGTTAACAACGTATAAGATAAATTATGAAATTTGACACAGGTATATATTGTGCATTACGTTACGTTCTCCGCAGAAAAAAAGTTTTTAAAATAATCAAAAAAAAAAACTGCCCAACAGACAAACAAATTATTCCATATACCTGTTTTATCAAGAGAGGAGGTTCGTACTGGTGGTAGTTTGCTAGGGTCGGGTCTATCGGTAGTGGTGTCAGGGGGAGGACTGCGCTCAGGGCTGGTGTCTATCGTCTCCCCATCCTTGTTGCGTCCAAGCAAGGAACCTTCCTTCACTACATTTCCCTATACAAATGTTAAGAAAAATCAGTCATGTTGCCGCAACAATTTGTGCCTTGGAGTCTCGGCAAACTCACCAACATGCCAATAAAGCCCATTACTTGAACGTTGTTGTAATAATAATGATGATAATATAAGGGCGCTTATATAAACTACCGGAAGAGGCTTGCAGAAATTAGACAAATTACAAAGTTGGCAAACAATAAAAAAAAAAAAATATTATGATGACAACCGTAAGTGAATCACTGTAAGTGACTGTAAGTGAATAATAGTCTCAAGCATCGTTTAAAGTCATGGCACCTGGGTGTGCTGTCATTTTCAAGAAAAGTGAAACTTTGTTTCCAGCGATAGTCGGCCGACCATCGTTGGGACAAAAAAAATTGACTGTTTTCAAAATACTGCCCTCAATTGGCCAAATTTAGTTTAATCAATTGTTTTTGGAATCAGTTACACATCTGTAACGGGTACAAGCCAGCTTGTCTGGTTGCCCGACCTGACAAGCTGGTTTGCACCTATTACGGATGTATAAGCGATTGCAAATATATATTTTTTTCTTGGAACGAACACAAAACTTTAAACATGTAACAATACCGTGTAACAATATTTGCTATGAAATACTCCCCCTCACATCCATCCGTTGAAAATCATACGTTGTACATTATCTGTAATACAGACTTCAGAGATATAGCCTTGAATTTACTTTGGCGTTTTATATGCAAGAGCAGCAATAATTGTGACCTACCAACCACACGAATTTGAAATCGTCACAGACTTGTGTCCACTTGGGTGTTTTCAAAGGTCTCCTCCCAAGGTAGTTGCTAGGATTCACGTATCCCTCACTGGCAGCTAGGTCAGCAGCTGAAACATCGTTATCCAGGGCGCCGTCTAGAAGGGACGCCAGGCGGTTGGGTTTGGATTTCCTCATTGACAAATGAATGTAGTTTGGAGGTCCACATGTTCCAGAAAAACCGACTGTGCCAATTACAGTGCCAGCTATCACCTTTTTTGATTAATTAGAACCAAATTGCTGATGAAGTGTTGAAAACTTGCATTAATCCGCACATTTGAAAATGATACGTTTATCACACACTCATTTTTTTTAGTGTCATGCACCCTGATTACACTGCAAACCTTTAAACGTTCTGTCCTTGAAACTGTCCTTTAAACTTGTCTGTAGATACCACAAGGACCAAGTGCGTCGAAGTACCGCCGTAGAAGGATTATAACGGTGTAAGGAACATTCATAGGTGTTTTGGGTGAAATAACATACTGATTGTTCTTTTCATGCCAATAATGTTGATGCAAGGATCAGCACATTAAAATGCTGAACATGAATCGCCCCAAAAGCGAAGGAAAATTGAACTATCAAATGTATCGCATGTGCGTTGATGACAAACGAAAATAGTGTTATTGAAATATTATAGTGCCTGCTCAGCATTTAAAAAAAAAGATTTTTCATAACTTTCCAATTAAATTGGAGCTTATTTTTTTTTAAAGTGTAACGTCGTAATGAGTGGGGAACAAGTTGAAAGAATTTGAGCACATATGAAAAATATTTAACTATAAAATAAAAGAATTGAAAGATGTTGCGTATTTTTACCTCAATTCCCTCTGTTTCGGAGATGGTCCTATTGGGTTCAACGTTGTCAATGATGATCTTGATATCACGGAAGGCCCCACCACCAGCCAGCAGAGTAACCTGGTTGAGCTTACCAGCACTCTTGAAAAGGACGCCTGAAAATGGTGCCACCAACTTAAAAAAAAAAAGGAACAAATGATCTGCGGTTTGTCTTTTTCCTTGTCGGTTTGTCTTTTTCCTTGTCGCAGGTAAGTCATGTGTAATCTTAGTACCTGCCAATATACTATAAGATGACAATGTGCCTTTTTGCAATTAAAAGCAAACGGGCAGTGAATGAAGTACTTACCACTGCCCCTGCTGATATTTCTAGATCAACACCTTGATTCTCGTAGTGTCCAGCTGAGTCCGTTGGGTAGAAACCTCCTGATGCGCACGCTCCGGATCCCGGTTCACGGAATTTCCTTGGGAATCTCTCGTGAGCCTTGGGCCCAAAGAGTTTCATGACAAGTGCTTGAGACTTTTGGTACCTAAAAAAATCAAGGTGGAGAGCAATTCTATGTTAATGTTTGTGTAGGCCTAATTGCTTTCATTGGCCAGCATACAACAGCCAATAGACAATCTAACATACACACGTGTGGCGTGCACATTATTTCGAATTAACACGTGCAAAAGCGTAATTTGTGAAGAGATGCGTAGCCAAAGTTTGGTATTTTACCAAGTTCGATGAAGAGCGCAACGATATAACAATATGAACCAACACCACACACTTACCCTTCCTTCAGTGTTTGATACGCTTCTTTGACAGCATCAACAGCACTGAAGACGAGGTCATACAGCTCAAAAAATGGGCCTAGGAGATTCTGAAGAGGTTGTATTGGATCCATCAGATCTTGAAAGACTGACTCAATCTCACCTCGAACTTGTCTCCTTAATGTATACTACATATGGGAAAGAAATACCAATGATAAATTGTAGGAAACAATAGAGTCGTATCTAAAAATATAATAGGGAAATCGTATAGAAAATTAACTGAAAGCAACTCCGCAATCGGGAGCAAACATATGTTGCTGATAATTGCTGTGCGTGATGTTTATTGTTACCCAGGGCAATAACAAATATCTTCCAGATACAAGAATTTTTGATTGGTGATTTGACTGAGCAGTACATTACACTGTCCCATTCCAGTTTATTGTATAATGCTTCTTTCATGACTACGCAACCACAAAGGGAACATGACTATAAAGCACCTAAATAATTATACTTACTGAGTCAACAACATCCCCGGTTAGTTTCTTGACGGGATCTGATGAACTGTCAATCTCGTCAACCCAGATGCTAAGATCTCTTCTGATGTTGCGGAGGTGTTCTTGTAACTCGCTTAGAATGCCATCGATGACCTTGGGTAGATCAAACCAGTAGGGCCTCTGACCTGTGCGGCATGACAGAACTTACTCAAATTCTTCCTGGTAATTCTGTATACCTCAAACCCAAACCTCAAATATACTGGTCGGGTCAAGTGGTGGAGGAAAAAAAACCAAGCAAACGTCTAGGTGTGCCTTACCTTCCTTGAAGAAGTTGGCTGCTTCTATCTCCTTCTTCGCATTCAGGATTTCAGTCACGGCAATCTTAATGCTGTTAAACAGAAAACAATTTGTAAACAACATGTGTAATCACTGTATGGGTACAAGGTGTCAAAATTTGCGCATTACCACACCACAGTAGTAAATAAAGGCAAACTATCAATGTAGTGTGCTTCGAAATCCCACACAATTTCATTTACATTACCGCGGCTTGTACTTGACTTACGAACAAGGAAATGACAATATATACACCGCATCTCTCTCCTGGTTATATTGGCCAATACATTGGTAAAACCAAGAAATATGCGTAAGGTTTTTGAAGTGGTTATTATTTTCTTAGGAACAGATTTTGTGCAACTTTCTACTCCTCTTAATTGCATAAAAACGATTTGACATCCCTTAGATTTTGGTTGATTTAATTCAAATTGCACTTTATTTTAAACTTTTAAAGATTTCCATTATTTTCTGGACAACAGAGGGCGCTGTACCTGTAATGTCAGTATAGGAAAACACTGTTCAATTCAGCGGCTTTCTTTTAGAATAAACTCCTTTAGACAGCCATCTTCGTAGGGAAATTACTTTTACTATACCTCCCACATATTCATGATCGAGAGCCAAAATCTCACTGGTCAATTCACCATCACGATGCCAGATTACCCTAGTCTGGTTCCCATACCCAAACAATCTGAATATTCCTGACGAATCTGAGGTCAGGCAGCCTCCGGTAATACATTGTATTACAATTTACGTCACGTGACTAAAACGGGAGAAATTCCTCCTTTTTCCGAAAATTTCCAAAGTTTGCCGAATTCGTTTCGTCGACAATCGGATAGCGCACCGAGTATTTCCGAGTATAATATAGGTTTAATTAACTGCTAATTGCTTATTATGTTTATGAATGAGTTGATAATTAATATTCATTGCTTTCACTTAGAAAACTTGAAATTCAACGACGATTTTGTGCATCAAATATACTCGGATCGTATGGGCGAACTTTTTGCTGCGTCATGTACAATTTTGAATTTGACGATCGTTACCGAGATTTTTAATCCAAACTCGATCTTCATCTGGCTCCGCCTGCTAACAGTGCTATTTGGGTACCTAATTTTGAAGATTCCAGATCAACATTAGTCAATGTTATCTTACTGAAACATCAAACTGTATTATCCTAACTGTATGATACTACGAAGCAAGTGATAAAAAAGGCTAAAAGTGATAAAACGAAATCGGAAACGAAGCCGAGCTTTGAAAAAGGGCCATCAATGTCGTCAAGTATATTTTTATCCACGGAGGCTGCTTGACCTACAATTTAGACGTGAGCGTCGGGAAAAATTGTCAGGTCTGGGAACCAGACTAGGGTTACCTGTGCGGCAGTCTACTACGCATGCGCTTTACAAAGCAATCGTGGAACTGTCGCACGGATGTCGTACGCACGCGTGAACATCGCCCAAGCGATCTGCACACGAAGAGATGGTTGCATAGTAAGCGTAATTTTCCCAAGCTCAATGATGCCGAACTGGAAAAAAATTGTTACAGTAAAGATCCCTTCCTGTAAAAAAGAAAGTTGTCCATAAACAACTGTAGTTACTGTATTGCAAACGAGCTGAAGTTGAGCAAAACTATTCCCTTAGTGAGCTGGACAATTTTCTCCGAAGATTTTTTTTTAAAGCTATAGTCCATCATTTGCTGCCATCCGAAAAGTAACTGGCGTATTATTGTTGAAAAACAAACTTGGTTGAAAGATAGTAAGTGGACTCAACTCCCTGTGAAATTATTCTTTCTGGCAAGCTGTCATTTTGAAAAAATCAACGAAAGAAGGCCTTTCCAACGGTGCGTCTTAAGACGCACCGTAGGAAAATTTAAATTAGTAGTTCGTTTTGTAGTTAGTAGTTCGCACAAGCATTGGCACGACGCACAGGCGCGCGCGGTTGCTATAATTTGTCGGATCAGTGCGCGACATCGCGTATAGCTGCAATTCAAAACAATTCAAAACATGATTCGGCAACTTTTGATTTGAAATTGAAATCCTAGAATGCTGTGTTTCTCGGAATAAACAGCTGAATCTGAGCTGAAAGTTCATCAGGTTAGATGTTCAGTATCCTTCATTAGATTTTGAACCTTTTTGTTGCTTCAAACGAACAAAATGCACAAATTACAAATGATGGACTATATCTTTAATAGGTGCATACTGCAATGAAAAAACAATCGGCAACTGAATATGTATGAGGTATAGTAAAACAAATATAACATGGTTTATTTCGGGTGGACTGTCAATATAAGCTGCCCTTGGTATTGGAAGTTGACAAACTAGTTTGTCAACTTCCAATACCTCGGGGAGCGAATATCAACTGTCCACCCTCAAAACATGTAACTTAACTGCGTCTTCAACGCCATCAGGTACGTGCAGTGGCGTAGCCACCGGGGGCGTGGGGGGAGACCGCCCCCCCCCCCATGAAACCTTGTCGCCTCCCCAGTCGCCCCCCACTGAGATTTTGAGTTTCTAAAGAAAATATCATTGATCTAAATCTAAATAGTCGCGAATGATCCACATGATGACCACTGAGAAACGACCCTTCAACCGGCGACCGCGGACCAGTAAGCTGACAACCGGCGTGACAAAGCGCATAATGATAATCTCAAATGCGTACTAACACCCACTGCACTGCTCGCTCGCACCACAGAACACGTATTATAGACAGGTGGTCCGTGGGTCACACAGTTTCAGTCAGCGATATCACGCGAATCGGCCACGCACAAACTTTTGCCTCCATTCATATATAAGCTAAATAATAATAATAGACCAATTAAAATTCCTTGAAATCAGTGGCGTAGCCACGGGGGGCGTGGGGAAGGGGGGGCGACAGCCCCCCCAGTTTGCCCCCCCCTTCCCCACTGAGAGTTTGGGTTTCTAAAAAATTATCATTGATCTACATGACGCCATGGGCGTCAATCCTGGGGGGACAGGGGGACTGGTCCCTCCCCCCCCCCCCCCCCCCCCACTTTTTGAAGGGTGGGGGACACAATATCAAATGTCCCCCCCCCCCCCAGATTTTTGTACTACAATGTATCTTTTTCCAAGAAAATATTGGTTAAAGTGGTCAGAAATTGCCTCAGATAGCACCACAGAGCATTTAGAATCCAACATTTTTCGGGGCCCTTAAGCGGGCCCCGAACCCCACGCCTATAGCTCAGAATTCTGGTAGCTCGGATTCAATGACTCCAACCTCGAAAACAATGTTCAAAAAAATTTCTTATGCCTTTAGCTGAGAAAACCTCGAAAATTATGTTACAATTATTATCCTTTGTGCAAAGATAATTATTGGTTAAAGTGGTAAGAAATTGCCTCAGATCACACCACAGAGCATCGAGAATCCAATTTTTTCGGGGCCCTTAAGCGGGCCCCGAACCCCACGCCTATAGCTCAGAATACCGATAGCTGATTCAATGACTCCAACCTCGAAAACGATGTTCAAATAATTATCTTTTGCTAAGAAAATATTAGTTAAAGCATGGAGGAAAGTGGTAAGAAATTGCTTCAGATCACACCACAGAACATCTAGAATCCAATTTGTTCGGGGCCCTTAAGCGGGCCCCGAACCCCCACGCCGTAAGGGCTTCGCGCTCGCATCAGTTCTGATCAAGGTATGCCCCCCCCCCCCCCCACTTTTGAGAAGTAATTGACGCCCCTACATGACGCCCCCCATAAAATGTTCCAGCCCCCCCCCCCCCCCCCCCAGCTACGCCACTGGGTACGTGCACGCAGTGTGCAAATGTTCTAAAAAACGCGCGCATGTTGCGCGAAATTTCTTCAAAATACGGCGCAGTCGGTGAAAATTTGACGCCCAAAATGTTGATGCACGTGACAATCTGTAGCAAGTGACGTCATTTTAGAGAGGCATATGGTGAAACCCAAAAGATGATCATTGAAAACAGTTAAGAGAAACGTTTGATCATTGGTTTGTTGCTGACACAACAACGAATCACCAAAGAAAAGAAAAATGATGACAGCAAAATATCCACAATTCTGGAAACTTTAGGTGCTGAATTAAATACCTTTAACACTGAGGTTTCTGCCATGAAGATGGCAAAAAGAAAAACATTGAAAATAAAGTTAAGCAGGACACAAAAGAGCATTTTCAAGGATTCCAGTAAAAAAAATACATTGCAAGGGCACTTCAAGTATGTCGAGAATTTAGTTATTTGGAATGAAAAAGTGTATTATGTCTGATTTCAGAGGCTGGAGCCAGTAACATTATTTCTATCGCTTATTTATAATCTGTATATACGTCAGGATATGCCTGACGCTCTAAACCTACTTGAGGACTCCTTTAAAGATGGCTCCAATAGCATTCAGCGGTGACTTTAGTAGGTCTTGAATGGATTCCCCAACAAAAACGATAGACTTCCAGATCTGTTCTGCTGCCCACGGCAAGGTGACAGTGATTGCATCGCTGACGGCCTACAAAAAAATGAAACAAATCAAGGTTCATCAGAACTACTGCAAAAGACAGTATCATTATCTGGCCATTTAACAATAGAGCAAATGACAGTGTACATGTAACTTTTCTTCCCTGTATGCAGCTCCATGGATCTGATATGTGGTATTTATTTCATGGATAAGGAGGTGTGGATAAGAAAGACAAAGTCACAGGGGCCAACAAGTTGAATTGCATAACTAGGATGCAAATATATCAAGCAGCCTACCCGGAGCACACTTCTTCCGTAATCAAACCATACAATTGAATCCTTTTGTTCTTTGTTGGTAATCTATACTTCCCCACATAATTGTCTAACATCATTCACTACACTTGACTGCAAACGGAAAATTCTGCCACCTGGTAAAACTCCATGACATCTGTTTTGATATCGCTGAAGAGCTGAGTAGCCTTGTTGACGACACTGATCACACCTCTGAAGGAAGCTGGCATCTGATCTGGGTCAATCTGAGACAATCTGGACATCACCTTGTTGGCCACCGATCTCAGATTCTATATTTGGCACATACGCAATCAGAAAGTAACGAAATAATCCTCGTAATACCATAAAGAGCAGCTGCTATAGGTGACGTTACACTAGGTCATTAGTTCAAATCAACTTAATAAATGAAATATACCTGTATATGCCGAGAGAGAGACAGAGAGAGAGAGGCAACACAGTGTCAAGGTCAAGATATACGTACTGTTATCGTAGCGGGGATATTCTCTAGTGAATGAACAAAGTCGTCAAATAGCTGAACAATGCTGATCTCGCTGTTGAAGAGTTTAACAACAACGTCCACTGCCCTCCTGATGTTCCCAACTACTCGCCCGATGATGAGATCATACAGTTTTACCAAGTCACTAATGCAATCCACACCGAATTCCTGATTGTGAGCAAACATAATCGCAATTTCGATCAGGACTTTTACCATTACATTGATCACAATCACGTATCTAGCTTCATTAGTAATTTCATCGCGGACTGCCAACATACATTAATGAAGAAAGAAGGTAAGCACACAAGGAAGAACCAAACTTCACCTGTAGTATGTTGAGGTTATAATCAACGTAACCGTTGAAGCAGAAACGAGCCCGGACGATATCCATTGAAAAACCCACAAGTCCAACGAATACTTTTGCATAAGCCTCGTCCAAAGCATCTACACCCAGATGACCACTCAGGGGAGCTGTGAGAAATTTTGTTTGATGAAACGAATAGGTCTTAATTCATTTGATTTGTACCGAAACGTATCTGTTATGTAAGATTTTGGAAAGAATGTTGCACCCCGACGCCACTGTTGTTGTCATATGTTATCTCAATGAAGGTCAGTCATTGCAGAAATATTGGAAAGACATCAATCTGGGAATGAGAAACACTTCAAAATTTGTAAATAGTGCACCCGATTTTCCCAATACTTTGAACACAACCAAAGAAGTGGCGTCTGTTAAAGTCATTCTTTACAAGATATGTTCTCAATTTACTGCCAGTGTAGTTCTGCTAAGTGCACGATGATTGGCAAATCTTATATCGAACACAGTAAGTGATGAGAGGTCACGCAAACAATTTCTCGCACCAATTATGCCCATCCAATTTATATTATAGCGGACTTAAAAAGAAGTCAGGCACATGGAATGCATTCTCAAAAACATACCAATTTCCACTTTGAGTTCATTCTTGATTGTCAAACCAAACTCTGCTCCGATCTCTGGGATGCCAATGGGCTGCTTCCAGTAAATGGACGGACTGGGCAACGTAAAAGAGAATCCTTCCCAGAATCCCCGTCTCAAGCGACGCCTGGAGGGCACGCTTATTGTGGTGGAAGCTACATCTTGGGAGGAATTGGCTGCAAAATATCTGGTACAGAAATATTATGGGTAATCATGTGAACTTTTAGAAATAAAACGAGTCAATTAGAAGATATCGTTATACTACAGTAAAGTAGTCATAAAGTTTTGGGGAATTGTAAGGGAGGAAGAGAATGTGTCCTTTCCTCAAGGTCATGTCTGCGATCATATATGCGCTCCCACTGCGTCCTTGAAAAATGGCTGGGGCGCAACAACAACTATTTCATCGCAGCAAAAACTACATAGGTCGCCTGATGGGCGCCGGAGGGTCTTTATGGTCCCCAATGGGCGCCAAAGTTTTTGTACATGCTCAAACCAATAGCAACACCTCTGCGCTCTGGCCGGGGCACAGCAATTGCGCAACTCGGGCGCTGCGCGAGCGTGAATCGTGCGACATTGAAGTAGCATTGAGGCAGCCTAGGCGCAAGGCAGTCGATGTAGTCTCCATGAGAAAGTAACTCGACTGCGATGAAGTTGTCGAATAAATTTGAAACTTGACTGCGGATTGACCGTTTTGTCGTGGTATTTATACAGCGCAAGTGACAAGCTACTAGGACGTATCAACAGCGAGCAGAGCGTAGTGTGAGCGCAGTGACAGCGCAGCGGCAGCGATTAGATCGAGTAATTGGGTTTGACAGGGCGGCACATAGAGAGCGAGTTGAGCGCATCGACGTAAGCGCGGGATGAGCGCAGTATGAGCGTAGCCTGAGCTATTTTCTGGCCATTTGAGACAGAAAATTGTCATTTTATTGCGTCCTTGCTGTGATTGTTAAATTTATTAATTATTTTTTGGTCGCCGTATGGTCTAGTCTCCTTTGAGAGCGCATATGTGATAGGCCCTTTAGGTTCGTATTACCGGGATGCTTTGGAAATTTATATTTACAGTAATTATATAACAGTATATTAATTAGAAAATCAACAGTTGAATGGAGAAATTTGCATGGGCGACACCTTTTTCCCAGTCAGGATCCCGAGAAAACCCTAAGTAATTTGAATGGGAAACAAGTCATGCTTTCAAACCACGGTACTGGCTTTACAGTAATCAATGAGACAGAATGCTAAATTTTTATCCTGTATCACGTTTCCTACTCACTCTTCCGGGGACACAAACTTGGAGACATTTTGGTGACCTCCCATTGGATGATTCTTGTAGAATAGTGAAGCCTCGTATCTGACATGCTCGTCCTCATCTTCATCCAGGGCTGACTTGAGAAGAATCCCAGCTGCCTACATGCGACGAACAAAATAAAGCTTGTCATTTATAGGCATATGCGACTGGAAGGGGCAAAAACCATGTTCTTACTTTAATCAAAACTACCTTTAACTGTTCGTGTTTACTGTTTAGTTGAAAACTTTTTACTTTTTTGGCATTTTTTCTTGCAAGATCTTTACTAAAAGCATTGGAACAGTTTTCGTTCTGGAAAAAATATTTACTTAATTAACAACTTTGAAAGTAATTGCATCGATTTAGAGACCGGTGACCAGTCTACCCACAGAGCGGATTGTGTACAGGCAAAAACAACCTTAAGTAAAGATTTTATGATGAGGGTTACGACGCCCCAAAAATAGGAGAACGAGGACGAATTTTCTGAAAAGTGCAGACAGCATTATGTTAGTAATTATCTGATAAGTTACGCCCAGTCTGTAACTTGGGAATAATAGTTATTACAATTTACCAATATTTTCTGAGAAATAAATAAGCTTTGAGGTACCAAGTTGTGATGGTAGTCTCTCATGGAGTGCAAGCCAGCCCTTTTCAGCAGTGGATGAGTAGCGCTGTTGTTGGTATAGCTCTGGATGTGAGGGAAGGAGCGATGGAGCCCAGCATTGCCCAGGGATTCAATCAAAGCCACCGTGTCGTGGTGAAAATCATCTCTTTCATCCTCGGTCAGAGATGTCAAGGTCTTTTCATAGGACCAGGGATCTGAACATTGCCAAAAATAAACAACTTTTTAATGACTAAGATATAAGCCACTTTAAATCAATGAGAACGTTTACTTGACCTGTCTAAAACTGTTGGCTAACCCTCAGTTATTCCTGAGTGGAAAAAGATGATTGCTTCTGATCATGAATATCAGTCATGAGTCATGTGTAATGTAATATATAGCAGAATACTAGAAATAGCCATAACTTAAATGGTAAAAATGTTGACAGCAACATTGGCAACTTAGTGAAGTGGCCTTCTCCTTTCAACTCTATTTAAAAAAGATGTTTCTCCCTTACCATGTACGCCGAGTTTGTTCTCAATCTTGATGACAAGGGACTCTGCTTGAGCTCTGTATCCAGCCTTCCATCGGTGACCAGCGAGGGCACCGAGTACCAGCACAGCAACCCGCTGTATCTCTGGGTCCTTTAAAGATTCTGTTACAAAGCAATTTTCACTCTAATGTTTATTCAAAGAGTACCAAGGGACCTCAAAATTCTAGGAAATTTAATAATCAACTACCGGCCTATTGTACAAATGCTCTTTGGTTTATGTGAATTCCAAAGCTTTACAGTTTTCTCTTCATGAAGCATTGCAGGCACCACTTTTTTCCGATGGTGAGGACTTTTCTGATATAAGATCTCAAAATGGCAAAAAAAAATCAATAGTAGGCCCTGCCATACACTCTCACAGTTTAGAGCGATTTAATTCTGACATTTTGCAAAAATACAAAATGGCTTGGAAAATCGGTCACCTTTTTAAAGAAAAATCATAAAACTCACCGTGGAATTTTCGTGATTGGAAGACGATATCTTCTACAGTCTCAAGGTAATGCTGGGGGGAAATGAAATCGGTGAAAAACTGCATGGTTTATAATTTCGTACGTCACAATTATACAGTTGGTTCAAGGGAACAAGTTGAAATCTTATGTACTACCTGTGAAATGGTATGTATGAAGCCAGCAGAGGCAATGAGTAGTCTCTCTACCAGCTCCTTGTTTGGTTTCGGCGACAAGAGGATGGCATCGGTGAGGAGTGACTGAGAAGTATCAGTGTGCATCGCGGCAACCGCATCCAACATGTTCAGCCTGTCCTGCTTGTCACGAACCCGTCTGGGAATAAACGATTTCAACGTGTGCACACCGTATGAGGCTATTTGTGCATGTAACATTATTCGGGTGACAGTTTAGCTTTTCGAAAGAGCAGGCACGCCTAGGCCTATAAAACAGTTTTTGTCGATTGTTCGAACCCGTGAATGATTGCATCTAAAGCAATATGTTTAAATAAGCACACGCGAAGTATCTTCTTGTTTTTTTGTATGGTTGAAGTTCATGGGATTTGAATACAAAAGTCCCACTGCCAAGTGATAAACATACTGCATACCTGGACAACGGTGGCTTGTACATTGGAACCACTATCTCTGCCAGTTTCCGACCATCAGGCACGAAGTGCAAGGTGTGAACTAGATCCTGGAAACAGTGGCTTTGTTCATTGGATTCTGTGTGTTTAAAATTAATCGGTGCAAATGTTATGCTAGCTCAGAGCGGTTTTTATCATTAAACCTCCTCATTTTGTATTCTAATGGGGATCCGCTTTTATTCCCCGGTCTTCTCCCCTAATTAACAAGAGGACATTGCCTCCACTTTGACCTATAATTAAAAGATTTTTTTTTAAAGATTTTGGACAAACTCTGAACACACAGAATTCTAAATTCTAAATCACTGACAGAGATCCCAAAACAAATCGTTCCCATGTGACATATCAACCTGTTCAATATCACGCGACAATACATCTTTAGTATATTGTGAGACCTTCTTTCTCTCATCATGTTACCTGTTTTGTGCCAATATATTGTTATTTTAATGTCCTGCAGTAAATATTTTCATGTTACAAATATTTAAAATTTATGACAATATTTGCCGTAAAGTTGAACTATAGTTGACAACTGAATGGACTATAACGATCTCTTCACCTTTCCGTGGAGCTTTCCTCATGCACGTCAGGTTGCCTGAAATCTGTTCCTTCAAGTACGTCACATCGAAGTTCACATGTCTAGGCTGAGGCTATAAGAACCGTATTCGATACGTGGATTGTGAACAGTAAAAGTAGTGATATAATACTGGTTCCGGATGTTTCGGCTTCAATATTCAGGTAATAACACCTTCACAGCACGTGTTTGTCACAAGCACATTCAAACATTTCATTTATTCTTTCCCCAGTGGAGCTCAATATCCAAAGCAGTAACATTGTTTTCAATGCTGCGAAGGAGGTGCTGTTAGTATCACTTTATTTAGATGCACAATAAGCACTCCATTTCGTTCTGCATCCGTGGTACACATCCACACATCCACACATTCTCCATGTGGGAATGTAAATTTTGACTTAATAATGGTAATTACATCATAAAGGGATAAAACACATACGTTCAACTCCGAAGAGGGATTTTTATACATGTATTGTACATTCTGAATGTACTACATAATAACCTTATTCTTTCTCTGTTAATTGTACTTTGCTTAATAGAAAAATCGTACGAGATGACAAATTTAGAGAAATGTCAGACTTTGGCACGTACATTTCTAGATGTACGCATATCGCAAAGCTACACCTGACCTCGGAATATGTTTATTTTCTTAGTATACCTGTTTTAGGTGTATTGAGTCTGTAACTATATCCTCATCAGCAGGTGGCCCAGTGGGTGATGCATAGTATGCCTCCCGTACAAAGGTCAGCTGCCCTTCAGAGATTGTCTGCATCTCAGGAAACTCTAACAAATAATAATAACAATAAACCAGTGAAAACCCTTTGTTTTGATTTGTTGGAATTAAAGCCTCAACATTCAACATTTTAACAAGTTAAATGGGAGAACCACAAATCTTTTTTTTCTAAATGGCGAAATTAAAGGGAAATAAAATGGAGCGGTATATGATTCCTTGGAGTTCTCTCTTGACATATATTTTCCGTTAATGTTTAAATTTCCGCGTCTGAAGTTGGTTTTCTTAAAAATTGCAGTTTTCAATGTTAAGGTTCACGAATACTAACTTTAAAATTAAGTATGTAGCATTAATATGCCAGGTTTCGTCGTACAATGTTGAATTGGGATTGATCTATCTCACCAACTAAACCAACTTGTACATGATGCTTAACCGAAAATAAGGAAAATCTAGATGAACATTTACCAACATCATCTTTTGTTTGTTCACGTCCTCCATGCTGGTGGTGAAATCTGGAATGAGACATAATGAATGCCATTAAGTCTTTGACGATACAGAATTGTTATCCGCTCGATATTCATCAATGGACTTCACCCGTTTGTGCACATTTATTTTATTGTAAAAGTCTGATTAGTGACCTGTTAAAAATTATTCGGTCATGTTTAATACACTCCAGAAAAAAAAAAACACCAAAGATCCGATTTAACCGGACGTAATATTGATGTTAACTAATCAGATTCACGAAACTGGTCACATGGTTGTCATCATGTGCCTAGTCATCATGTGTCTGATCACCATGTGACAATTTTTTTACGGAATCGGGCATGTGTGCGGCTAACGCTGTTGATAACCGCAACGGCAAAAAAAAAGGACCGGTGATCTGTAAAATCGTAAAATTGGAAGGTGTGCGCCGCAAGCGCCACCCACTGCACTTTATACACTTTTTCCTGATAATATCAGCAAAAATGTATATTATACTCTAGCTGCTTTGCACTAAAGTGGCAGCATTGATCAGTATACTCCCGAGTGAGCTGAAATTGTCTTTGTTTTATTCGACCCTAGAGCAGGGTGATAATTTAGCCTTTAAGCACCAGTACTGATGGATACGTACTCACATTTAAAAAAAAATATTATCTTAGCTGGCAGTCAGCCAACATTCATAGCGAATGTAAGAAAACAAAACGGCGAAAGGATGCTTAATTTAGTTTAGGGGACCATGTGACGCCCGGGCCTTGAAATGCCCAAAACACCCCGATTATGATGGGGGTAATAAAAATGCATTAAAAAACCAAAACCAAAACCAAAAAAAAAACAGAACAGAAGTAAACCAACAGTCACTTCGGTGTTTCGTAGCCGAACTCTTTGCTCATATGGAGATATCGGATGGCATGTTAGTGCACACTGTTTTAATCAGCTGTCGATTTGTTTCATTTATTGAATAACAGGAATAACAGGACACACAATGAGAGAATACGCAACATTGGAATATGCTATACAGTCGAATCACATATTTGAACATTTCTAATTTTCTAATTTCTAATTTTGTTTTAATAATATCAATGGGGGCTTCATTTGGTGTATGGTATTTAATTATTCGCTTGACTGTCAGCAATAATGCATATAATTTGACGAAAACGCTGCATTCCCAAAATGGTGATAATTAATCTTCGTGTGTCACATTGTTAGACGTATTCTCAAAAGTAATTTTCCATTTTGTGAATTGTACTTGTTGACAATTAGTCATGGCTTTATATTTGAATGCGAACAGTTGAAGAACATACTTTATTCACGATCAAAGGGCTCCGGTGCACACTTTAAAAAGGAAGAATGTTATCATATTTGTATGAAACCACTCATATGGTCGAAATTATCGGTGCAGACTGCCTTTCGATCGACAGTGTAAATAAATTCAAACACTGAAAATAGGTCAGGATCTCGTGTAAATGATAAATACAGTGTAGCCTATACGAGTATGAGTGTTGACCGATACCAATGTCGGCAAACCATAAAATGTTTACGCAAATTACGAGGTTTTCAGCTCCGGCTCCACAATTGTTTTGAAACAATTATCTACAAGGAAACTGACCGAGTTTTCGAGCATTTCTGTAGCAAAGTTAACACTATTATGATACTTATTGCTGTTTGTCCCGCGATCTGTCCCCAAGTTTTGATTTCTTAAGGACTAAAAAGCCTCTGTCTAACTCATCCCATTATACTCAATTCCAATCAAGATGTACCCAAGTTATAGTCTTATAGACCTACACGGCAAAAGTCTATGATAAGCGAGCAGATTCGGCAATTAAGTATGCAAAACAAAACTGCGTCTTGGCCTCGAGATTTTGATCAGCGAGCGCCTTGTGTTGGGTTTTCCGTGGTATGGTTGCATTACAAAAACTTGTTGACCAATCAAAAGCTTAATCCACATGTCTCGTCAAAATGAAGTCAACATTTCTAAAGTCGACTCCAATTGCCTGGCGGGCAGGGTCGCACACAATTTGCATTGATCAGATATGCCAGACGTTGTAGAGGGCTCCGATATAGACAACGGGTTAAATAGTCACAATTATTTATAATTGGGTACCCAGAAACTTCGAAATTGATAACAATATAATTCAGAGCGGTACTTATGTTAAAATGAATACAATCCTTTAGGAAAAAACAACTATTATTTAATATTACAGCCAGGTGTTTGTTCGCCTAAGATTCTGCTTCTTTGAAAATATTGGATGGTATGTTGGTGTGCTCTGTTTCAATCAGCGATCTTTACTGTTTGATGTATATGTATCTGACCGTCTCTCCTGAAGACGGTCTGAGCATACTGACCGCAACGTCGAGTTTATACCTCTGGTTCTCTTCAGAACCATTCTCTTAGTTGAGAAATTATTCGCACATGGTGCTTCCGCAAACCTTTCGTTATTTATATGTTTTTGTACTGGGAATAAAAGGGCACAAAATGAGAAACGATTTCTCTCTTTTTTCTCGCTTACTTTTTATTTGTATTCATGTTTTGAGCGATAATTAATGTTGCAGTAGATTTCCAACATAGCTTTGTTGTGCTCAAAATGTTTTCTGTTTCCGCACTCAACCGCTATTTTCTCTTTTGTTGTTGCATGTACACTACTAAAGGCCCGTTTTAACTTAAATTAAAACAGCACTGTAGTTACTCCAAATACCATGCGCATTCATAAAATGTTAGCCCCAACTTTCAATTGAAATGAGCTAGGCAGGGCGTTTAAAAGAGCGCCGAGCCATTCCCATTGGGAACGACGATAGGGCAACAACCCTGTCGCCCTAAAAGATGGTGCCGTGCCTTGCCCACGCTTTGCCCGGGATGACAGTTTTGCCGATTTTTAGGCTACATCTGACATATCTATTTGAAAAAAAACGAACATTTTAGCAGATTGCTAGCAGAATCATGTAAAATCGGTGATCTAGTAAAACAAAAATATAAAAATATGGGTCGAAAACAAGCTCCAATCAATTCAAACAAACCCTTGAAGAGCGCTAATATGATAGGTAGGCCAGTGCAGTCTAATCGTTGATGTTCCTGGACGACTACACAGAAGAGTACTATAGAACACGTTAGTCAGGCTCGACGCCATTTTTTTATGATTTGTTTCATAGGAAAACACCTGCATGTGAGGATATGTGTTTATGATAAGTTTCGCGTTATTCTGTGTGGTTCAACAGATTTGTGTAAAATCTAGCAGAATTTTGAAATGCATCTGGCAGAATTTTGCGATTTTCGTCAGGTCACCCTGGCCGTGCCATCGCCGTGCCAAATTAGAAAAAGTCAAAATATTTGAGTTCGGCACGGCAGTAGCACGGCGTCCAGAAGTACCCAAAAGGTAAACAAAAACATGCAGGTGATCTGATAATGACTAATCACCATTGGGCCGGTTGAAGCACCTCGTAATAATAGGGCACGTGTACAAAGTACCAATCTATTTTGGGTCCTGATTAAAACCAACTCTCTTCTATGGGATGTTGTCAGAGCTGACAAGATAAATGGGTTATGCAGTAAACCAGTTACAGTTGGTTTACCCTGATGAATAAAGACACATATACGTGATTAGAGACATTTTTTTCAGTCGATCCAACACTTGTGGTGTAGTGGTGCTGAATCATCTGGAATATATTTTCAGAAAATCATATTTATAAAAAGGAGAAACGTGAACTCCTACCCTGGTGCCGATTCTCTTGGGGCATCAAAGTGATCCAGTATCTTGACCATTAACGGGAGCTTCATGGCAGGATGATAGTGGATTTCCTATGATGAACAATAGGTAATCTAGGTAATTACACTTATAGAAGGCTCCCTCTGGGCTCATTTAATATCAATCAGTACACTCTAAAAAGCCCCGGGTTAAATGAACTCGGAATCCGGGTTATATCATGCCTGATACTTTCGGGGTAAAATCTGACACTTTCTGGGTCGAAATGACACTTTTTCTGACCCACTTTCCTGGTCATTCTGACCAGAAACTTTGGCAAAAGAGTAAATGTGACCCCAAAAAGTGTCAGGTTTGACACAGGCACGGTTGAAACCAATTATTCAAATCTGTCCCGGAACTTTATATGTAATGCATTGTACTGTATATGATTCACGTATCGTCCAATAAGCCAGCCAAGCTAAAAAGTTACTTGTATTGAATTTCCGACAAAGACCCTTCATGCTACCTACTTATTCTTTAACTTTATATTTCAATTTAGGTGTTGAAGACGTAATGGGTTGTTTACAACAAATCGACACAATATACAAATGTTTACTCTTCCAAGAGGGATTTCGTTTTATTCCCTGTTTACATTATACACATCAGTCTTGAGAGATTATTCGGCATAGGAGTGTCGGGACGCTCAGCGCTTTTTAAGAAAACAAAAACAACAAAACACATAAGTATAGCCGTACCTTTTGGTGTTTGGTTTTCCCGTACGGTATTGGGTGAGTACGTCTAGTCTTGGTAAAGACAATAATGCCATCATTGCCCGGTGCCATCTGAGCCGTGTAGGACGACTCGTGGTGACCCTCGTGACCCGTCTCATTGCAGTCGTAGCTCCAGCCACTTTCCTTTATCTGTTTGAATGGACGATGTAAGCAAATCGCTTTATCAACATCCATTTTGAAGAAAAAACCTTTAGTCGGGTTATCAGACCAGCATATTTTGTGGCATAATAGTTCCTGAATATAAAAACGTGTTCTTTCATTTTACACATTTCAAATCGGAACTGTTTCTGGTTTGAACAGCCCTCCCCCCCCCCCCCCGATAGAAGGTTCACAGCTCCAGCCCCCCCCCCCCTCCCCACCCCACCCCCTTTGATTTTACGGAGGCTGGGTGTCCGCTGGAAAAAAAACACCAGTGTACCTTTATGCATTGATGTCGAGTGCCCTTTTCTCGTCACGGCAGCGGGCAAACAAAACCCTGGTTACGCGCCTGCGCGGTGGGCCTGGGTATCCCCCCCCCCTATCCCCCAGTGTTCTGGATATAACTTTGAGACATACGCGTTAATTAGACATTTTGCATCTGATTTCCTAACTATTTCACTCTCAGTCCTTTCTTGCAAGATAATACCTAAAATCCTAAAAATTAAAAGTTAAGAAAAGCTCCAACATTCATGCTACCGAATGTTCCGGGTCAGCGTACCTTGTCTTGTGGAGGATGTTGCAAGTTACTGGCTAGCAGACTGACCAGACCTTTCTTGGCCCCTATTACGTGATCGTCTTCATCACGTGGGTAGTATACTTGACCAATCGCTCCGTTTTCACTGATATCAAAGGAAAACCTATGCACCAAAAGAAACACAAATAAAACACAAATAAGACAATTTTTACTAGTTCACCTTATTTTACTGGATGCATTATTAGTATTACCAAGGCAAAGCGACCTTTGACATTGATTAAGTTGATAAAAAGTCAGATTCAAAGCGTTATTTTTTAAATTCTCTCTACTTTGAGTGTAAAGTCATTTCAGTTGCGCGTTGCGCGTTCTCAATGGTGATCTTATTCTCATGTGGACTCTGGTAATGCGTGTAGGTAGTTTTCGATTCTGTGTATCGTATACTTTTCCGATTAGTCCTTATTTTATTTGCATAATTAAACTTGAATGTAAACATTTTTGAAGCACCTTGTTTATTCACGGTGCACACTTCAAAAAGGAACAATGTTATCTTATTTGTATGAAACCACTCAATAGGTCGAAATTTTCCGTTTAGACTTCCTTCTGATTGACGAAGTAAATGCACTCAAACAGTAAAAACAGGTCAAAGTCTCGTCTAAATGATACAGTCCAGGGTATACGAGTATAAGTGTTGACAAATATCCATGTCGGCAAAACCATCAAAACGTTCACGCGAATTACGAGGCGTACAGTTTCGGCTTCGCAATTGTTTAGAAACAATTAGGTACAAGGAAACTGACCACGTTTTCGAGCATTTCTGTAGCAAATTTAACACTATTATGATACTTATTGCTGTCTGGAGATTGTCCGTGTCATATATCCCGATAAGAACAGAAAAGTTAACACCGCTTTTTAGACGGCCTTCAAACTCCTCAATATTGTTGGGAAAAATGCGAAACGATTACAAGCGACTGCCACGGGGATGTTTATGTTCAATATTGCATTGTTCACTGACACAAGACTGACACAAGAACGAACCAAAATACGGTTTGACACCTTAGCAAACTGTTTACATGAAAAACGTGATATGAAAATGTGTGGTTAATGCATTTCTTGAGCCTGGTTTTTACAGAATATTGGATTGAAAGTACCCTTTTCGTAAAATTACACGTGTATGAAGTAGTTAAATTTGATGGGTAGCTGAGCAAAGGGGAGGACCCTGGCTTCAAGGGCAGATTCCGTATGCTTTCAGATGGCGAACCTAATCTGGAACTTTAAAAATGTGCAGTTTTCCGATTGAAAGGAAACAATGTGATTTCTTGGTAGACAAAGCGTGGGCATTTCACATAATTAACACAAATTTGCAGCGAAAAAAAAGGATTTTTTTAAATATTTTTTCACACCATTAAGTGCAGCTTAAAACGAATTAAAACTGTTGGGATCGGAAAAATAATATGTTTTGTGATATATAAATTTTTACTATACAGGGTGTTTCAATAAAAAGGAAACCCAAATTTTAAGAACCAGTATGGACAGACTAAATGTTTACTGGCTATAAAACTGGTATCATCTGAAAGCGTAATCTCTATGCTTTTCAATGATACCTTGTTTACATTTCCAGGGTCATGCATCACTGAGCGCCACGTCGTGAGATTTTGATGCAAAATTGCAGTTGGTTCACTTTCATGTCAAACACAATAGGCATGGGTGTGCATGATAATAAGTACTCAAAAAGAAGACAAGAGTGCATAAAAAGAAACCAAAAAACAAGTCGGGTTGGTTTTAAATTTGGATGTTATTGTTTGTCATGAATTTCTCGTTTTGACCAAGCTACGTTCAAAACAATGTGCCATTTTCCCGAGGATTAACATTCAAGCCATTTCACAGACATTTCCGTAACAATAGGCACACCGCGCACAGTGTTTGTTTGTTTTTGTGAAAGTGAACCAACTGCATTTTTGCATCCAGTTGTCAAGACAATGTTGCTCAGTGATGCATGACTCAGAAAACCTAAACACGGTATAATTGAAAAGCATGGAGATTGCGCTTTTAAATAATACCAGTTTTATAGCCAGTAAACATATTTTCTGTCCATACTCATTCTTTGAAGTTGGATTTCCTTTTTTGAAACACCCTGTAAATTACAGAGCGGCCTATGACGGGACTTACTTTACAATAATAGCAGGATATTCTCAAAAGCAAATGATATAAAGAACTGAATAGTAGCAGGTACACAAGAATTGTTGGGGGAAAAAATGACGAAGGGTGAATGTGTCAGAGAAAAGTGAAATGGCTGGAAAGATAATGAGAAAGGAGGGACAACAGCGCAGGGAACGAGAAAGGTAATAAATGAGGTTGGACAGCATGAAAGGCATAAACAGCCTTGTTCCAGTTGTTCTTTCTCGGATAACTCTTTTGAAGTACAACTACTACAGTCCTTTGTTTCCAAAGTGGTAAAATTTCCTTTTAAAGATCACCCCCCCCCCCAAATGTATTAATAATAACTCACCACTCGCTAAAATCTCGCTCCTCGCTCAATAGCACTGAAAAGTATTAAATAAGGTAGCTTTTAAAAGACCATCAACTATTGCCCGCTAAACGTCACCATTGCCTTCTATTGCGTCATATAATACCATTTGAAAATTACTTATAACAAGTAATGTCAGTGTTTCTCAATATATTAAAATAGTGCTCTATATATTTTTTTATTAAGCGGTATTCAATCTGTGAATAGGGCCCCATAATGTTGACACATAGGTGCATTGTAAATAAAACTTATTGTGAAGTGTTATTTGCCGTCATTCATATGAAATCGACTCATTCTATTTCACCCAGTGTTTCACCAACACTGGGTAAAATACCACTCGCCAACATGTTTTATTGTAGTGCAGCACAACAAAGTACGTGTTTGCACAAAAGATCCCCTCCTGGTTCAAACAAATACTGTTAACTTCTGGTTGCTGTTAGTTCATTTTTGCAATTTTAAATTGGAGAACAATATAGTCATTTTTAATACCTTGTTCTTCCTGGCTGGTAACAGACGCTGAGTGAACACGGAGATAAATCTCCTGCAGCTCGCTGCTCTTATTCAAACTTTTCACCAATATGAAGCCAATCTTATTGTAGCGAAAAGACAATTGAATGCAGTTCGCATCAGAATGTTATTAATCAGAGTGACATTAATCTTTGTCAACGTACGGAGCAAAAAGTGTGCTAAATGACGGTTCAGCGTGCAAATGGTCTATAAGCAACAAAGATTGTGAAAATCAGAGATTTCTGAATTCTTTTAATTTTCAAAACGTTTTTTTTTTCCAAGTAAAGGGGGCTAGATGTGGTGAATGGAATTTAATTACTCCCTTGTCATTCTCAAGCAGCATTCTCAATGGTGATCTTATTCTCATGTGGACTCTGGTAATGCGTGTAGGTAGTTTTCGATTCTGTGTATCGTTTACTTTTCCGATTAGTCCTTATTTTTTTTGCATAATTAAACTTGAATGTAAACATTTTTGAAGCACCTTGTTTATTCACGGTGAACACTTCAAAAAGGAACAATGTTATCTTATTTGTATGAAACCACTCAATAGATCGAAATTTTCCGTTCAGACTTCCTTATGATCAACGATGTAAATGCACTCAAACAGTAAAAACAGGTCAAAGTCTCGTCTATACAGTCCAGGGTATACGAGTATAAGTGTTGACCGATATCAATGTCGGCAAAACCATCAAAACGTTCACGCGAATTACGAAGCGTACAGTTTCGGCTTCGCAATTGTTTAGAAACAATTATGTACAAGGAAACTGACTGCGTTTTCGAGCATTTCTGTAGCAAAGTTAACACTATTATGATACTTATGCTGTTTGTAACGCGATCTGTCCCCAAGTTTCGATTTCTTAAGGACTAAAAAGCTCCTGTTTAATTCATCTTATGATGCTCAATTTTAATCAAGATGGCGTAAGGAGTGCCTGAATCAACAGATTTCCACTACTTTTCTTTCTGTTTTTCCTTTTGTCTGATCTTTATCGACTGCTTAGGAATTTTTACAATTTGTGGGGAATCGACTCAATGTTTATATGTTATAATGTCGAAATAAATTATTGCCAAAAAAAACCCCTTAACAATGCGAAAAAGTCTGGTTTCAATTCGTCTGGAGATTGTCCGTGTCATATATCCCGATAAGAAAAAATAGAAATACCGCTTTTTAGACGGCCTTCAAACTCTCTCAATAGTGTTGGGGAAAAAATGCAAAACGATTACAAGAGATTGCCACGGGGATGGTCATGTTCAATAGTGCATTGTCCACTGACACAAGACTGACACAAGAACGAACCAAAATACAGTTTGCCACCTTAGCGGCCTCTATACATGAAAAACCTGATATGAAAATTTGAGACTAATGCATTCCTTGAGCCTGGTTTTTACAGAATATTGGATGGAAGTACCCTTTTCGTAAAATTACACGTGTATAAAGTAGTTAAATTTGATGGGTAACTGAGCAAAGGGGAGGACCCTGGTGTCAAGGGCAGATTCCGTATGCTTTCAGATGGCCCACCTAATCTAAACCTAGTGGGGTTTTTGTGTGAAAGTGAACCAACTGCATTTTTGCATCCAGTTTTCAAGACAATGTTGCTCAGTGATGCATGAATCAGAAAACCTAAACACGATGTAATTGAAAAGCATGGAGATTACGCTTTCAGAAAATACCGGTTTCATAGCCAGTAAACATATCGTCTGTCCCTACTCATTCTTTGAAGTTGGATTTCCTTTTTTGAAACACCCTGTATATTACAGTGCGGCCTATAACGGGACTTACTTTACAATGCTAGCAGGATTTTCTCAAAAGCAAATGATATAAGGAACTGAATAGTAGCAGATACACAAGAATTGTTGGGGGAAAAAAAGACGACAAAGGGTGAATATGTCAGAGAAAAGTGAAATGGCTGGAAAGATAATGAGAAAGGAGGGACAACAGCGCAGGGAACGAGAAAGGTAATGAATGAGGTTGGACAGCATGAAAGGCATAAATAGCATTGTTCCAGTTGTTCTTTCTCGGATACCTCTTTTGAAGCACAACTACTACAGTCCTTTGTTTCCAAACCGGTAAAATATACATATAAAGATCAAACCCCTCCCCCCAAAAAATGTATTAATAATAACTCACCACTCGCTAAAATCTCGCTCCTCGCTCAATAGCACTGAAAAGCATTAAATAAGGTAGCTTTTCAAAGACCATCAACTATTGCCCGCTAAACGTCACCATTGCCTTCTATTGCGTCATATAATACCATTTGAAAATTACTTATAACAAGTATTGTCAGTGTTTCTCAATATATTAAAACAGTGCTCTATATATTTTTTGATTAAAGCGGTATTCAATTTATAAATAGGACCCCATAATGTTGACACATAAGTGAATTGTAAATACAGCTTATTGTAAAGTGTTATTTGCCGTCATTCATATGAAATCGGCTCATTCTATTTCACCCAGTGTTCACCAACACTGGGTAAAATACCACTCGCCAACATGTTTTATTGTAGTGAAGCACAACAAAGTACGTGTTTGCACAAAAGATCCCCTCCTGGTTCAAACAAATACTGTTAACTTCTGGTTGCTGTTAGTTCATTTTTGCAATTTTAAATTGGAGAACAATATAGTCATTTTTAATACCTTGTTCTTCCTGGCTGGTAACAGACGCTGAGTGAACACGGAGATAAATCTCCTGCAGCTCGCTGCTCTTATTCAAACTTTTCACCAATATGAAGCCAATCTTATTGTAGCGAAAAGACAATTGAATGCAGTTCGCATCAGAATGTTATTAATCAGAGTGACATTAATCTTTGTCAACGTACGGAGCAAAAAGTGTGCTAAATGACGGTTCAGCGTGCAAATGGTCTATAAGCAACAAAGATTGTGAAAATCAGAGATTTCTGAATTCTTTTAATTTTCAAAACGTTTTTTTTTCCAAGTAAAGGGGGCTAGATGTGGTGAATGGAATTTAATTACTCCCTTGTCATTCTCAAGCAGCATTCTCAATGGTGATCTTATTCTCATGTGGACTCTGGTAATGCGTGTAGGTAGTTTTCGATTCTGTGTATCGTTTACTTTTCCGATTAGTCCTTATTTTTTTTGCATAATTAAACTTGAATGTAAACATTTTTGAAGCACCTTGTTTATTCACGGTGCACACTTCAAAAAGGAACAATGTTATCTTCTTTGTATGAAACCACTCAGAAAATTTTCAGTTCAGACTTCCTTCTGATCGACGATGTAAATGCACTCAAACAGTAAAAACAGGTCAAAGTCTCGTCTAAATGATACAGTCCAGGGTATACGAGTATAAGTGTTGACAAATATCCATGTCGGCAAAACCATCAAAACGTTCACGCGAATTACGAGGCGTACAGTTTCGGTTTCGCAATTGTTTTGAAACAATTATGTACAAGGAAACTGACCGCGTTTTCGAGCATTTCTGTAGCAAAGTTAACACTATTATGATACTTATTGCTGTTTGTCCCGCGATCTGTCCCCAAGTTTCGATTTCTTAAGGACTAAAAAGCCTCTGTTTAATTCATCTCATGATGCTCAATTTTAATTAAGATGTACCAAGCTACTGGATTATGTACATACGCACAACTTGAACCATATTGAATAATGGAAGTATCTGGTGGAAGTACTTGCAAAGTCTAAAAACGTTTACCTTGGATTCGGCATGCAGTGTTCGAACCTTCTTCAGATCCGTGGAAGAATGGAAGGTATAGATGTACTCGGTGTCCGGTTTAAACCGGATGAAACTGGCCTGGATAGGACTTATCAAGAGGTTGCTTAAGGACAGGGCCAGAATGAGCTTCAGCATGGTGAGACTGAGCCAATGGTTGCTTCTTCGAGCCGGCGATACCATCTTGATGGATGGCCCGCTTCGTTAGCAGGGGAACCCGGTATCAAACAGACCTATCTCAAAATACCTGAACAAAATAACGATTGTTGCAAATTATTACAGAAATCAGTATGACGGCTACCCTTTAGCTACTCAGGATAAGGTTTATTACTTTTATAGGCCTGAGTCGACCATATTAAAATAATGGAAAGCTCGGTAAAATGAAGTTAATTACAAATTTATTAAAGTCTGCTCTGACGAATAATTTGAAATGTGTGAATAAAAAACCCTGATGTTTTAAGCCACATGTAAAAAAAAATAAAGTGAGGCTAGAAAACATAAATAGTCTGGCAACATCCCATTCAACATAAAACACATTCAGGGAACACAACACATTTTAACCAGAAATGGTTTCCTCAATTCAATGTTAGTGAAACCAAAAGTGTACACAACATAGGCATATTTCTTTTTTAACATTGAGAACAAAACTCGGCGTTTGTTAAGTAGGCCTACATCACGTTGTCCTAACCCATTAAAACCTTTCAATTGTTACCTTATGCCCACCCCCATTTTTATAACTCAGCTAATATCGATTTTAAGTTCGCTTGTGTTAGTATATTTTAAAAACATCAACATTTTGCTGTCGAATGTAATGCTTGTGAGAAAATGATACAACATGTGTGTTAGGCTTTGTAAAACAAAATAATATTGAATCGTTTGGCTCGTCAAGGTGGCACAGAACAGTAAAATTCATCACCCTCGTTGATACATGCATGAGCTTGGAGGGCTAGATTTTATCAATAAGTTGTATATTTTGTGTACACGTACTCGTTATTTTCGGTTTGATGACATACATTTGTAACCCGTTAAAGTGGCAACATATTTAGCTCAGGGACGATGCATTTTCACATGAATTATAAATAACATTTTAAAATATGGAAACTCAGCCACGTTCTCGGGTGTCAGCAGTACGCTCCCTCAAATACCTGCTCTCACAGGAACCCAAACTATTACCTGAGGCAATGTCTTACAGATCACACTGAGAACGAAACTCCATTTATTTGAAAAGTTACAGTTCAAAGTAATCATAATAATAATCGCAGATTCTTATAGAGCGCACATATCCTAAACAAAGCTAGATCAAGGCGCTTGACAAAAAAGTACAATCAATTAATTAATTATTGAGCTCTTAATAATTCTGTCTTCAAACGGTTCCGAAATTAATGTTGTCACCGAGTTAAACTAGCGGATTTTTTAAGGAACTTTTTCCATAGCTGGGGGCCAGAATAACCAAAGGCACCCTGGCCGATTGATTTGTTACAAATGGGTGTGGTGAGTGTTGTTGAGTCTTGTAGTTTACGGAGTCGGCTGTCGCGGTGATAGAAGGCGAGGAGATTGTTTAGGTAGACAGTTGCTGAGGAGTGAATGCATTTCCAGGCGAAGAGCATGATTTTGAACTTGATTCTCTCAGAAACTAGAATCCAATGAAGTTCGTGAAGGACAGGGGTGATGTGTTGAAATTTGCAGGTTCCAGTTATTAAGCGGGCTGCATGGTTTTGGATTCGATGTAGTCTGGCAATCTGATAAGCAGCAGCTCCATGTAGGATAGAATTGCAGTAGTCAATATTGGAGAGGATGAGAGATTGGATAGCAGTGCTACATGAGGCAGTGGTCAGGTACTTCCGTATGTATTTTATTCGGCGCAGGTGAAAGTTGCATTCTTTTTTTTTTACATACGACTGATACATGATCGCTCATGGATAGATGACAGTCGAGGATTACACCTAGATTTCTGAACTTGGAGGATGACTGAGCTACAGTTACACCACTGACGATGTTAGTTGAGCCGAATTTGCGCAATTGGTAAGGGGACGTATTTCGAGAAAACCTGTTTTGTTATCATAAAGTTTCAGCCTGTTTGCGATCATGTGACGAATGACATCGGACGTGAGTCCTTCAATCAAAGTAATTTGATACCTGATGATGTAATGATGACGGCCCAATTTGTTTCTTAAATATTCGGACCTGGTTTCAGGTTCATGCCACGTTGTACATGTATCACTAACTCATTAACAGTTTGGAAGCAAATTTGTTTTGATTTTTGAGGGCTCTGTTTTCAGTTTGATTACACCTAACTTTGAACTTGTGAACGGTATAACCGCGGAGAAAAGGTCAGGCGACTTTACGTACAGACAATTTTTTGTATCAAGGTATGGTCTATTAGATTACAAAGTATGAACAAACTCAGTCATTTTGTTAAAGAGTTATACTTTTATAAATGGTTCATGCTATGAGGTATTCTAAGGAACATATTCTGCACAACTTCCCCCTCCTAAGTGTATGAAAACTATACGACATCCCTTTCTGATTAGTTTTATTGAAAAGTGCACTTATTTAAACATTCAAAATGTCCCATGCTTTTCTGGACAACTGAGGCCTCTGTTTTTGTGATGTTATTTCAGGAAGACATTGTTCAGTTTAGGGGTTGGTGTTGAACCCAAAAGTTTGCTCATTAGCTTTGTACCATTATAATGTATAATCACATGTCAGAACAAGGTTCAAAATTGGAATGTGACAGAGAAGCGGAAGATTATTTTAAAATATCTTGAAAAAGGATTTAAGTTATCTTGAAATTGATTTCGAGATATGAACTTCGAGATAACTTGAAATAAATGTAGAGATATCACGATTTGAATGTAGAAGTATCTTCAAATAAATTTAGAGATATTGTGAAAGTATTTAGAGACATCTTGAAGATAAATTCATCTCAATATAATAACTGAAGGGCTTTTAAATTGTCAACATGTTTTAATACTAAGCTATATCTTGAAACAATCAAAAGCTACCTCCTCATCACCATGAATATATGTGCGCCATATCATTTTATTAAAGTTGTCAATCTTACTTCAAAGTAAGAAATAACAAAAGGTAAGCGTACAAGTTCTGATGACTGTGTCTCGCAACTTTCAGTTGACTTCCCTATTATTTACCTCATTATAATGCAGTATTTTAAAAAACAATTCACAGATATTAACCATGCACAAAATGTAACCAGGCAGGAATGTGGAATGTATGTACAGGCTACGATCAAGAATTACACATTGCAGTTTGCCGGCTCAGAATAGAGAACGACATGGAAGACATTCAAACGTATTCTCTCTTTTTTTCTCGAGATAATTGAATTTGAAGAAAAAAATAATCAAAATCAAATCCTGAAATGTAAATCTAAGTTGATTTATTTCAATCTAAGAAGTCAGTGCTCTCAATTTTACCAGGTATAGCCGAAGACATTGTGTACTTGAAGTCCATTGTGTACTTGAAGAATGCCAATCTGCGTATTTTAAGGCATTTTTCTCCTATCTTGGATTGAACATTCTGACATTGTTTACAATATAACAATCCAACTGGATCAATATATCTTTTGCTTTTTTACGTTTTTCTATGTATATGCCTTTTTGCGTCTATGAGTCGTCATTAAATGTAAGAACTAAGTTCCACGACAAATTGACCTATAATTCTTTACAAAAGAAATGACATCCTAATGACGTCACCTATTTAGTTGACAATTTTGTGCTCATGATCATGACCTATCAAACATGAGAATTAAAATGTTGGCATGATTTGTTTGCTATGGAAAGAAATTGTAAAAAAAAAAAACACTTAACAATTCAAAGATCCACATAAAATCATATGATGTGACAACAATTTCGACCGAAGTAAAAAAACATATTCCTGTCAATGTACAAACCAATGTTCAATCTGATCAGACTTTCAGTTCTCTAGATTTAGTTTTTTTTTTTAAATGCACTTTTAATTTCACGTCTTGTGACCAATGACGTCATCGTGACTTCACTTCTCAGTGCACACATATCAAGTTTGGATCGATTTGATCAAAGAAAGTGTTCATTTTGTAATGAATATTTTTTCAAATCAAAAATTCATAAAAACAGCCAATGACGTCATCACGACATCATTTCACATTTTTCATAGGAGATCAATTATTTACCTATACACCAAGTTTTATTGAGATTAAACATTTTCCTATATGTTTTTCCAATTAAAAACAAAATTTAAAAAAACCGCATGTTGATGACGTCACCATGACGTAACATAATCATTTGTTCTCTTTTCTTGCAAATAGCTATGACCTAACTATAATTTATTTTGAGAGAAACAAGAGGGTATCTTAAGCTGTAGAGGTTTGTGAGATGCCGTCAGATGTTGTCCCTTAAGCTTTGAGTACGTTGCTGGATTCGATCGATGGGGCGAGGGGAGCGGAATAAGCAGGAGCATTAGCTGAAATTAGTATGTTTCCATTTTTACCAAATATTTTGTACTTTCTTCTCATTATAATAACACATCATTGAAAAAAAATATATCAGGACTACAAGTAAAACACATGTAAAACGTAAACAAATATCGGTTCGATTATTGATCCATTAGAATTTTCTAACATAAAGTTAAATGGGCACTTACCGTCTGGTTGTAGAATCGTACAAAATATGAATACGTGTACCTTGAAGCTCGCCTCTTGGTAGTTTAAAAGCTTGAACACAGCCAACACGGTTTTGATTAAGTAGCCAGCGTTCGGCGGTTAGCTTTGAAACTGCGCATGCGTGTGTTCATTTCTTAAAAAAATAACTCAGCCTTTACTCCCAAAGTGTACACGGAGTATTCACGTATTGTGCAGTGAGCGGTTTTAGCCAGCTTTGTAGTGCGATTCATACAACCTCTGCCGCAGCAGGAAGTATGAGTCGTAATCACACGTAGATACTATAGTCTAGTGGGACATCCACAAGTCTTGAAATTGCATCGTCTGCATTGCGAACAGAATCCGAATCCAGAACTAGTATCCACATACAACTCCTATCAGGTAATTTTCTAAGGACGTTGAACAAATTATTTTAATACAGCACGCGTTCTAAACAGAATATGACTTCTCTTGTAAGGACTATACACGTGTTCTCGTATGGAGTTTTGACGTTTAATCATTTGTCGAGGAAATAATAGAGTTGATGAGGTCT